TGTCCAAGTGAGCAAAAGTAACACGATATCATTTCGCATTTCGGTTGCCGTCCCGACCGAGAATCAGCACCAGCCAGCGCGACCAGCCCCCATACGGAGCCGTTCAGCGGGGAAACCAGGCACCTACGCGGCTTGGAGAGCTCGATTTTCCTTGTTGTCGGTCGTATTGTGTCCAGTAGCAAAGCCATGATCTCTCCTCGCCGAGAAACCCTTCGTCTCCTCTCAAAATACCCATCATTTGGCGAAGGTGGTCATCATTTGTCTACATTAACGAAGATGTGCCATCATTTGGCGAAACTCCCCAGGAATATCCTCACCTAGGAATAAAAAGTGGGTTCCCAACGCCATGACTACCGACATGCACACTGTACAGTAAGAAGTGTAATTAGTGTGGGTCCGCTCATAGTGTGGGCGCGCAAATAGTATGGTCCACACTAATTAAAACACTCAATAAATTGTATGAGTTTCACTATGGTCATACAAAAACTAGCATTAAATTTCGGGAAGATTTACCCACACTATTTTTGCGTAGGCAGGAAAATTAGACCAGGCGCAAATAGTGTGACCCACACTAATTACACTTCTTACTGTGCTGTACGGACAAGAAGAACTCCGCTCGCATCCACCAGCTATCATAGTCGATCGTCGGCTTGGTGAGCCTGCCAATAAATACACCACGATACCATAGACCTTGGCGCTTCCGAACTGCTGGGTCGATCGACGTACTATGAGTGCCTGCCAGTGGAGTATCGCTTCCAACGATTTAAATCATTTCTTAGCATTCGGTAGACAACTACTTCAAAGTAGTACTAAGTACTACACTAGTAAACACAAATGCGGTCCCTTCTGGCATGACGTGGAGCGATACAAAATATTCCTAGCTGTCATTGTCGAAGCCAAGCAAAGTGAAAAGTGAAGTCAACACCTAAAATCCAAACAGTGTGTTAGTTGACAACCGAGTACAGCATAATAACTAGGCGGAAGGACACGAACCTAGATGTGCGAGTTGGTACTGGAGCGTAAAAAGCATGAGTGAGAATAGCGAAGCTTGTACGGTGCTGAACTGCGTCTCCAACACGAACGCGAGCTGGTGCAGGGGCGAAAAGGCGAACTTACGTCGCAGGAAGAAGTGGACAAGAACGAGTGAGCCAACTTCCAGCACTGCAAACACAAGCAAGTTGGTCACTGCGGTCGCCCCCCATTTCCCCACTCCACACGGATAATATACCACGTTCGGCAATTGTTCCAGTACGGATTTGTACGCCAGGTAGACGAACGGCACGACGCATTCGATGTACTCGACCAGCATCAAGTACTCGAAGTGGAATAGAAGCGGCAAGCCCAGTACAACCAAATGACCCGATTGACTGGCCTGTCGGAAGCTGTTGTCTCCTGAAACTCCTTCGCTCTGCATCGGTGACGGAAGAATATGAATTGGAACCACCGATGTGCGGCGACACGTCCAAGATGCAAGCCAAGACCGAGATTCGTCAGAAAATACCGTTCTTGGGTTTGTGCTTCTTGGACCAAACGTGCCTGATGCCTCCAGCTTTTTCAGGCGAGTGTATAATTCTCCAGATATCAAGTGTGGTTGGTAGACGTACCCGTCCAACGATCTCCCATGCGTTTTCGGATTGCGAACCACATCGATTATCATCGTGATCAAGTCTCCTGAGTCCGCCACACGAGACGCCACACGAGATAATCCGTCGGACTGGGTTCCAGCGAGCTGCTCGGTTTCGCGTCGATCTTGCAGCTTTTCGAGAATAATTTTCTCCTGTGATGAAATCTCCCGGAATGTTGCCAGCAAATGCACAACATCCACGGCGATGAACATCGCGGTCAGGTAGAATGATGACGAGTTGGACATACAGACCGAGATGAAGAGCGAGCCGTAGAAATCAACGGAAAACGCCACGAGTTCTGGAATAAAGTCTTCCACTGGACGGGTCATGCGAATCGTTTGCGGCGAATTTCCAGATCGACAGCATAATAATCACAGCACCTTGGTACGCGTGAGGCAAAAGTCGTACAGAACTCGGCAGAACGGGTACACCCCGGTCACTGTCAAGTTCATGAAGATAGTATCTTGGAAATTTTTGTACTGTCGCTGAAGAGTTGAACCTTTCACGAAAAACGCGCCGCCGTAAATGAGTCGTGTGAATATCGGGACGTAAATTCCAATCGTAAAAACTCCTAACTGCCACATGAACGGCACAGGGAACCCTATAGCGACTGTCTCGGCAAAATAAGTCCCCATCTGCGCAGCACAAGTCACAAGTGCTAAGACCAATTGCCGGCATACAGAGGTATTGTTCTCCGGAACGTAGAGATCAAGTTGCAGATTCCCAACCCCGAAGATGAGCAATGTCACGAGGCCATGTCGAATCCAGAACATCCAGTTCACTTCCCACCCTTCCGACGGAGACCTCAATCGGAGGTATTCGAGTAACACAGCGGCCAGCAGTGCAGGTACGGGCGTGAGGAGGCAGACCAGGATCACTCTTGTGAATGACGTCGTTTGGCAGTATTCGTGCAAGAGTTCGAGCCGCTCGATGGAGTAGGAGCCCTGGTGTCCGACCTGGATTTGACTCCATTTCTTCTCGAAACGACTCCACAGCGACGACGCTTGTGGTGACGTTGGAATTGCGGTAGCGCTCGGACGTTTAGCTTCCTTCGGGCCGTCCAAGTGGGGCATTGTTGCTGCTGTCGACGAAAGAGCGAATGTATTACTGTAGTACTTGACAAAAGCTGTTCTGCGGACTTAAAATACACCTACTCGAAGGATGAAAATAAACTCCACCTTGTGTGCTGTTTTTAGCAAACTCGCAGATCAACGGTAACATCACAAGCGACAGAGGGCTTTAGGTTACAGAGACTGAGAAAATAAATGTTTACCTGCTCAGAATAATAAGACGTCGCAACCATCCTGAACATTGCGAATCTCTGAGGGGTGCTTACGGACAATTTTGTTCTGGATAACCTCGAGCGATACAGTCATCTAGACAATCTGAAATTTAGAGAATTGTTGTATATTGACGCAGCGAAGCAGTTAGAACCAAAAACGAAAAGTTAAACATCGCGAGGGGAACTCGAATTATATCACTAACGGAAAAAAAAATATCCATAACTCTGGTTGCTGCGCTCCCTGCGCCAGGATATTAACCGATCGCGAGTGGAACTCGAATTATATCACTAATGCACAAGGTAAAAATAAACGGAATTGAAGCGACCCACACGTTGTGGATAGCAAATTGCTATGTCAAAACCAGTTGGGTGGAATATTTCGCAGAAATCCTTCGTGGTATTGATGTGAAGCCAACGTGCGGATAGCACAAACACCATGTAAAGGTTTTCTTGGATCTACGACCCAGTTTTTTTTTGTACTGTAGTCACAACGACCCAGGGGTCCGTAGCGCCACCGTTTCATTATCGATACAAGCGTGCAAGTATGATATTGTTTAGTGCAAAAAAGTGAGGATTCGCCATTTCTCCTATGAAATATTTCCATACAGCAGCTCGACGCTGAAATGCCGCACGAGGCGACCGAATTGATGCAAACGAAGTTGCACGCGTCGACCGACACGAAGAAACCAAAACGGCATGAGGCAGCGCAAGACGTACGAGCCGACTGAGGCCATGATATGAAGAAACCGAGGCAGCGCGAGACGAACGAGCCGAACAAGGCCGCCGGCATGAAGAGACTGAACGACGCCACCGTCGTGAAGAGATCGAGTGATACTAACGACGCGAAAAAACCTAACGACACCACCAACACAAAGGTCGAAGCTCTCCGAGGCAGCTTATGATGAAGAGTCTGGACGAGACCACCGACACGAGCTTGCCAGACGAGGACACGACACAGTCTGGCCGAACGAGGATACCGACACAAAAATGTTGCCCGAATCTGACGAGACAGTAGAGGACGAAGAGGTCGAATGAGGACATTGACAGCCGACCGAGGACGCCGACACGACGCGGCCGAAGATACACGAACGAGCGCGAGACGAAGGGGCCGGACGAAGCCACCGACAGGGACCGAGTACGAGGCCACCGACGACGATACCAAAGCAGTCCGAAGCTTCCGACAACGGAGGGGCAACCGCACACGAAGAGACCGAAGCTGTACGAGACAGCTGGCGAAGACGATGCCGAACGAGGCCATCAGCACGAAGAAACCGAATGATACCACGGACGCGAAGACCGAAGCTGCACGATGCGGCTAACGACGAAGAGACCGACCGATATCACCGACACGAAGAAACCGAAGCAGCACTAGACCACCGATATTAAGAGACCGAACGAGACCGCCGACACGAAAAGACCAAAGCTGCACAAGGTAGCGCGAGAAGAGAGCCCGAACGAAGCCATTGACACGAGCAGGCCGAAAGAGGACACCGACCCGAACACAACGAGCGATGCCACCGACGCGAAGAGATCGAAGCTCACAAGGCGAGTGACGGCGAGAGCCCGAACGAGGACACCGACATAAAGAAGACGAACGAGGCCACCGAGACGAAGATGCCGAAGTTGCAGCAGGCAGCGCACGACGAAGAGACCAAACGAGGCCCCGAGACGATGAGAACAAACGAGGCCGCCGCCACCAAGGTACGAAGGTGATGCACGGTTGACATTCTTGAGTCGCCAGCGATGGCGCGAGACGATAGCGCGCGTGAGTCGCGCATGATCTTGATATTGAAGCGACGAGGATGATAGCGTTCGAAGTCTCTGGCGTAGTGAGGGCCGGATGCCGCGCCTCCCTCGTCGCGTCGCCGAGACCACAATTGAACCGACAGTATCGTTCTCTGCCGTCTGAAACCACCGATGGGCTTTCTCTGGCTCGAGTCTTGTCGGGCGATTTCGGAGGCCTTGACAAACGTTGGGATGCCATCCGGACTCCGGAAAAACAAATATCCATAACTCTGGTTGCTGCGCTCCCTGCGCCAGGATATTAACCGATCGCGAGTGGAACTCGAATTATATCACTAATGCACAAGGTAAAAATAAACGGAATTGAAGCGACCCACACGTTGTGGATAGCAAATTGCTATCTCAAAACCAGTTGGGTGGAATATTTCGCAGAAATCCTTCGTGGTATTGATGTGAAGCCAACGTGCGGATAGCACAAACACCATGTAAAGGTTTTCTTGGATCTACGACCCAGTTTTTTTTGTATTGTAAGTGCAAAAAGGTGAGGATTCGCCATTCCTCCTATGAAATATTTGTGGGCAAGCTAAAAACACAAGTAGTTCGAAGGGCTTAGAGTTCGATTGCAGTTCTTAAGCAAGATGTTGCATAAGACAGGTTTCTAGCTCACAACACTTGGCCTTGCGCCCGACCTGTATTAATGATACAGAGATGGGTTTTCCAGGTAGGTCTCGTAACGTGTTGACAGCCCGGCTATCCGAGTATCCCTTCACCATGTATGCCACTGTGACTTCATACGGGACATCACCATTTGCTCGGTAAGTCGCAAAGTCATCGGCATAGAGCTTGATTTTTGCCGTTTGCTTCTCAGCTTCCCTCGCCAGATTCTTCGCCGTACCGGGGAAACGCGACAACAGTGCGGACCAGGCGCCTCGCTCTTCCTCGTTGTCATCACAGACAGCGCGCAAAAGTCGTTTAGGAGTGACGGTCTCGGCTCCAGGATCCAACTGTCCCACGTCGAGCGACTGCGGGATCGTGGGCTGACTGACGTCCGAGGCTGCATGTCCAGTGGCGAAGAGTCCAGCGGCGGCAACGACGAGCAGCGTGGCGGAGAGTCGCATGGTGAATGAATGGGTATAGTGGCAGCGATAGCTGGGCTTGCCCTACTACTTAGTATTATAGTAATGCAGCGAGCTTGGTTAAATGTGAGGTCATACTAAGCGATAGCCGCGCATAGTTAGTTATAGCAGCACGTAGTCAGCGATAGCAGCGAATAGTCAAGCGACAGGGGCACGTAGTAAGCGATGTGAACGTATAGTTAGCGATAGTAGCACGTAGAAAGCTATAGGAGCGCGTAGTAGGTGATAGCAGCAACGTTGCAAGCGATAGCAGTGTGAGTACATGTGGAGCAATGTGAGCTGAAGGTGGATAAACAATTTTCAGCGCGCCCAGCCTTTTTTTACTATACTATTTTTGGGGATAAGCACATTATAGCAACCGACCACTACATATCGGTAGGATAATCTGTTATGGGGATAGTAGATATTTTAATTAAACTGAGGGTGTTATTGTGTATGTAGTTCATATGGCATGCCAACATTGAAATCCCTCTGTCGCTTACCCTCGCTCTACCATATTATTGTGCAGTGCATACCTGCATTCTAATAGCACGAGACGGAATTAGCATAGCACACGGTGTACTGCATCGTGATTGCATGCAGAGTTCTTACTTTTCATCACTATTTTAATGTACGTACTGGAGGTGACACAGGAGCGTAGCAGAATAGAAACGTGATAATTACGCATAATTTTGAAGTAATTTTGAAGTTTTAAAGCAGACAACGTAAAAGTATTGGCGTTTGCAGAGGAACGATATATATCCGGTAGTTTTTTAAAGACGATTAGCACTTTATATAATGCTGAGTACAGGAACAGCGAAACGCATACTTTGATTGTTATCTGGGTTTATAGTCTGATTACAGGCTGTATTTACTAAATGACATAGCCTACGAACCAAATAACAGAAACTATGGTAGTGCGATAATGTGATAAAACAAAACGTATACAGATTTACTGACCACACCGTCGATAGCAACATATACCCCGCCACATCAAGTAGTAGCTCATGTCAATGCTTATTTCAACTACATTTACTACAATGGCGACTGCGGCAGAAGTTAGAGTCGACTTCGTGCCGCCCGGGCGCAGACGTGGACAACCACCTCAGCTACATGATGTCGCTTCGGGAACAACTAGCTGCTCTAAATGCTGAAGTTAGTGACGAGTGGATGGTGGACTTAATGGTGCGCTCGATGTATCAGTTCGGCTACTACAGCGCGTTGAAGGCAGCTATGATAGTTGGCCCGACACAGTTTGAGAGGCCGATCCAAGCGAGAGCAATGATACTGACGTTGGAGAAGAATGCTGGTGTGGAGAAAATGCTGTTACGACGACGAAAGAACGGAGGCGATGGGGCTGCTGGGCGCGATGGTGATGTCGGGCGAGGAACGAAACTAGCTGATCAAGACAAAGATGATCACTTGCGTGACGAGGGACCTCAGCGGAAGAGGTCCATGTCCGCAACCAAGATGCCAGTCCAGAGACAGATTGACTTCAAACGTGGTGCGTGCTTCCGATGCCACAAGCCAGGACACCGATTCTTCGAGTGCCCGGATGCAGAAGACGTTGATGTTGCTGCAGACGAAGTTGCAGCTGGGCGCGACAGTGTGGACGAAGACTAAGTTCAAATTTAGCAGATGCGGTAGCTCGAGGGAGGCTCCGGCGTCGACAGGTAGGTAATGCAGTTTGATTGCTTCGTTAGAGGCTGCTCATATCGATTTCGGCCCCGGCCAAAGGGCCTCATCAGTGAGCTTCCAATTCCGCAATGAGCACTACGACCGCTATCTCTAGGACCAGGCTCTAGCAGCCAGTCATTCTACGCGACTCCTCGTAAGATCTCGTCCCGAACTCCATCTGTGACACCACGCACGTGGCTGCCACTGGTGTCGAGCATGACAAAGGAAGTTGATGCCGCTGAGCAGGCACAACTAGCAACAGAGGGGTATGGAGACATTGGTTGGACACCAAAAGTGAGGCAGTTATCGATGGAGCAATGGTATGGTGACTCACCTTTAGAATAGCATCGTGAAGTATATTGTCCGACTTTTAATACATTTCAACGCCAAGAAGATCTTGTTTTAAAATCATGTTGCCTTGTACCGTAGGACGTAGTGAATCGCTCCACTATTAGCATTCCATACAACACTCCAGAGGAACATTCAAGACTTCGATTTGTTTGGTTCTTCAGGCTGAGTCTATTTGCAGGAAAAACTCCACCAGAATACACGTCCAGCTACTAATACTACGTAGTAAATCTCACGCATGTTACATCCCGAGACGGACCCCGCGCAAGAGTGACTCCCACCAAGACTACACAATGACTACCACCACGACGAGAGTCTTGGTTTTACGAGAGTCTTGCCTCGCCGGCACCAGAGTAGGGCTTGTAGTTGCGCGGCGCAGCGAAGTGAAGTAGGTTGAAGACGCACTGGAATGCGGTGTAGTTGGAGAATTCAAAAGTGAGCCGAGTTGTATTGCATCGGGGAAGGCCGCGGCCAAAAAACCCTTACAGTTCTCAGTGACGACTGCGGCTCGCACCAGCGAGCGAAGGAGGACCAACGATGGCCATGATCCTTTCTCGGAGAACTCCGCAGAGTCTCTCCTGGACCTTTCCGTCTCCCTCATAGTCAAAACCACTCACACCAAGTGCTCTTCATGTTCATAAGTATCTAACTGGAATGACTACCTCCAACTTCCTCATCATTCACTACTTGCCTTCACAACGTTCGCTCGTTGAAGTCTCGTACTCCCACTTCATCCCTTGTTCGATACTTGATCAAATGCAGACATGCATCCATGCAGCACGCGACCATTCGCGTGTCAACTTGCCCTTCTGCTCGAAGTCCGTAGCCTTATCTCAAAGTTCGCATCCGCGTTCGACGCAGCGCCAGCCTCCGTGTCAGCAACGGCCTCAACCATCACGCACGCATCAGGAACGTCTTCCACGTTCAGTCGGCTCCGTTGACGCTCGAACTCAGCGGGACCCAACGCCTTTGTGAACACGTCCACGAAGTTGTCGGCGGTCGGCACGTACGTCACCTCCACCTCATCCTCTTGGACATACTCGTTGATGAAGCGCGCATGCTTCGCCATGTGACGGACCCTCGAAGTGTTGCCATTGCTGGCCACTACTGCGATCGCACTCTGGTTGTCGCGCCAAAGAGGCACTTGCAAGTCCTTGTCACCAAAGCCCAGCTCAATCAGCTCACGAGCCCACACCACCATCTTGCAGCACTCGCAGCACGCCACGAGCTCAGATCCGCAAGTGTCTTCCGTCACACGTCGCTGACTGTGGCTCTTCCGCATCCACATGTTGCCGTGCAAACGCAGTAAGTAGCCCGTCACAGATCGGCTCGTCTCCGGGCACGACTGGTGGTCAGCATCACTGTAAGCATCCAGCATAGGAAGTTCAGGCGTCGCCCTGTACACCAGACCCATGCGCTTGGTAGCAAGCGCGTAGCGCACCACGCGCTGAGCAGCACGATAGTTCTCCACCGTGTAAGCGCCCATGTATCGGCCTAGAGCTCTCACTGCATTTGCAAGGTCTGGACGGGTGCAGGCAACTAGATACTGGAGCGAGCCCACGATCTCTCTGTACGGCAAGCTCGGGTCATTAATCTTAGCCTCATCCGTTTCGATCTTCAGTGTCTTCTCATGGTGGAACTGGGGGGACCGCACAGGTTTCGCAGATGTCAATCCAAAATTTTCTGCAAGTCTTTCAATGTAGGCAGTCTGCGAGAAGCACAGCATGCGTCCTGGTATGTAGTTCATCTCCATTCCGAGAAGGTGGCGCACTCTTCAGAGGTCCTTCAGCTTGAACCGGCGGCCCGGCTCTAGGATCACCTCTCGGACGTCAGCAGCAGTTCCAGCCATCACGATGTCATCAACGTAGACAGTAAGAAATATTACACGTCCATTGCGGCGTTTCCAGTACATCCCTGCATCATATGTGCACTGCACGAAACCAAGTTCAACTAGAACCTTGTGCAGTGTGTCGTTTCAGATCTTCGAAGCTTGCTTCAATCCGTAGAGCGACCCGTTCCGTCCTCATAGCCTTTCGGCTGCTCCATGTAGATGACAACATCCACCAAGTCACCGTTGAGGAAAGCTGTGACGAAATCGGCATGCGTGCACTCCAGTCCAAGGAGCATCGCTATCAGCATGACGAGTCGAACATACTCAATGCGAACAACAGGAGAGTAGGTGGCCAGATAGTCTATACTAAACTTCTGCATAAAGCCTAGTATCGCCAACCTCGCCTTCAATCTCTCGACTTCTCCTCGCTCGTTTCGTTTCGCCACTAAGACCCAAACAGAAGTAAGAATGTTCGGCTTGCGTCGCCCCTTCCTCGGTTTTGGCCGTGCCACAAGCTCCCACGTTCCGTTCGCAATCAGGGCTGCGTACTCCGCGTCCATCGCTGCACTCCACCCCTCAGCATGCTCAGACGGCAGTGCTTCCGTCCTCGTCGTGGGGTTCAGAATGTCGTTCACCACTCCAATCAATATGCACTGCATCAAAGTGAAAGTCATCAGCCACGTGCTCTGGTTGAACTTGCTGTTCGGCCGACGTTGACGTCCCGATTGGCGCACAGTTGCGCGTGGGGTAGGAGTAGCTTGAGCACGAGGGGAACGACCGGTACTGGTCCTCGCCGGTGGTGCATCGCTCGCTGCATTCGAACCAATCTGCGCTCCAGAAGCCCTTGTCACCGCTGGCGATGCTGCACTGGTATTCACACTCCCACTGGTTCCGGCAGTCTGCGAGCCCACATTTGCACTCGCATCTTCTGCTGCAGTCGCAGTTGCGCCCACTCGAGCTGCCGTTGCTCCACATGCTCCACCGTGGCTCTCGTCAAGCTCAAACTCCTCGATGATTTCCCAGTCACTTTCATCGCTACTGCTCATACTCACATCTTCATCCGCATCAAGACATTGCTTTTCTTCATCATCGAGCTCAGGAGTAGGTCGAACGTCGTCAACGACAGCAACTTGCTTCACAGGGAGGAGGGCATACGGGATCTCAATAGGCATTGCTGTACTTTTCCCGTAGTAGCGCTTGGCCATCGGCTTCTCCACGAAATCCCCCCCCCCCCTGCTACATCTTCACGGACATGAACCGATCGCTGCTGCATCATGCTGCCAGTCTCGAGATCAAGCAGGCGGTAACCCAATGTCGACTCTGCAATGCCGAGGAACACTGCAGGCTTGGCCCGCAATTCCAGCTTGTTGCTCTGCTTCACCTTCGGTACGTGGTAGTAGGCCACGCAGCCACACACCTTCAAATTCTTCAGGTCCGGCTTGCGGTTCTAGAGCTTCTGCTGCGGCGTTATCTCTCCCAGCGCTTTCGTGACACTCATGTTGTCGACATGAGTAAGTCAGTAAGTGTGTGAGGTATGTGTGTGGATAGATTCTGATTAATTGCTATATCTTTTGCATTTCAACGAGTAGTGAGTCAGCACTGGGCAAGTACATTTTAGTGTGTATGACGTGCATATTTGACACTTCGTTTTGGTTATAAGTTTCTTTTTGTGGATGCTACGAATATGTATGTATGATGCGTGTGCACACTTTCACACTAACCGTCGTATCGTTTGCATTTCAGCGATTTTTAGCTTAGGCTTGAGCAAGTAGGTGTGCGTGAGTATAAGGTTGCATGCTGGGTACTTGGTTTTGCTTAAAAAATATATAGCGTGTTAAGTTTAAATATTTAAAGGGTTTAGTTATGTGTGATCGAGACTTCCTGAGTATTACATAGATACGTTAAATCGAACGCCAACCATTTAAGCTCTAATCAGCCCAGTGGGTTGATCCACTGTGTGCCATGTGTTACACTGTCTTATTACTGTTGACATTTTAGACTTGGTTATTGTATGCAGCTTTTGCCCGCCGGAGCCCAGCGGAGGCGGGGAAGCCACACAACTTGGACCAAAACTAAAACCACCGCCGCGTAGGGCGCTCGGCTACCGTCTTTCCTCGTACTAGACGCCTATGCGTTCTAAAAAAATAGAACGCCTAGTGGGCGTTATATTTGAATAAAAGGCCTAGGCGTTATATTCAAGTGAAACTACGAAACTCTGAAGGATGCAAAAGGTAGGCGTTGTATTCAAGTAAATCTAAAATCCCTGAAGGTTGGTAGTGGCCTCTAAGGCGCCCAGCTACTCAACCCATTTCCGAACTATCGACGGCGAGGGTATCTTGAGTTTTGCGGCAAGGGCGGCAAACCCAAAGCCGTCGACATCCTTGTTGTACTCTCCAGCAACACTGCGCTTGAATCCGATACTGTAGCTATTACGCTTTTTCTTAGTTGACATTCTTGGCGTGGGTTTTTATGTCGCGGGAGGGCGATTGTATAATGATACGACAAAACAAGAGCTCGACTTCCGCTCGTATGGCTGGCGGTCGGCACAGAGGTGCTACCTTGTCCAAATAGACGTTAATAAGAGTTGTGTTACGCTTGGGTAGGCGTTCTATGTTGCTATAGCTTCAATTCGAGGGTGCGATCAGATTCGGGATTGTTGACCAACCTCAAATACAACGCCTAGGCGTCTAGTACGAGGGAAGACGCTAGTCCTAAATATCAATTGAAACGGATGACGGGTCCCCGGCCCCGGGTCTCTCATCACATACCGGTATCAGATAGGTATTATGATCTTCGAATTACACAATGTGCGATGTAGTCGTTGATGCTGTTTTCTAGCAACTTCTTCTTGGGTATGATGGCGAGTGACCAAGTATTTCGAAGTAGATCATTTCAGACTCATGTTCTTGTTACCCAGCTTGTACTCGTGCCAGGGTATGCATGCCGCTCTGCCTTCGCCTATGATAGAACATAGATTTATGCAACTGTTCACCCGTGAAGCTCCTACAACGTCGTCGTTCTCTGTTGGTCGCCTACAGAACGCTTGCGCATTCCATCCACTTTATAAATCAAAAATGGAAATGACGCGATAAACATGCCCCCTTACTCTCGAAAAGTAAATAAATAATTGCCGATACCGATGAATTTGGATGGGGGGCCCCGGGGTCCCGCCAACTGTTTCTATTTAAGCAAGCCGCCGTCCGTAACGGAATATCACCTGAATTCCGATTAGCTAAAAATGCTACCGAGCGTAGCGAAGGCGGCTCCGTCGCCGAAGGCGACCCCACCTTAGGATATTGCGGGGCCGCAGGACCCGCCCCAGCCTCTGTAATACTAACCTGACATTGAGAGTAGTGCAGCGAGCCGACGAGGCGAGCGGAACGGCCGTAGCGAAGCGTAGGCATCCTGCTCTTATAGCGCAGCAAGCATTGCCAGCGAAGTGCCAACTAACAAAAATTCACCGCCGCGTAGGGGCGGCGCTCGGCTAAGTACGGTTGTCGTATGTTCACTGCAAGCACACTTTTTCGTGATGTCAACGCATTTATATCTTGGGAAAGGACTTCCCGTGGCCGGAGGCATTGGTAGCTGTTTGGACCTCATTCCACAATTTTCACCACTGCTCCATCGTCGCCGAGTTTTCTCTCGCCACCCAACGCCTCCAAGAATTAAGAGCGAGGATGCGATCGACCACCATCGCGCTGCTTGCTAGCGCAATCCTCCTACCGTCTTACCCCGCATAAAGCGCCTAGATGTAGTAATAAAAATCCGTTGCCAAAACCCCAACATGTAAACCCCAATTATAACGCAGAGTCTAATACAAGGACGCCCTCGATGAAAGGGTTTGGTAGCCTTAACTCACAACCAATGCCTATACATTTACCCTAATGTAAAGTAATGCTCACCTACAAACCAACCATTCCTGATGCCAGCAACGCTTGCTTGCTCCAACGCCCTCACTTTTCAACTCACTCTCCGAAGCAACACTACTACCAGCTCAAGCACTCAGCCCACCATGCCAAGCTCGCGTCGCAGCTACAGCATCACAGAAAAGCTGTCCATTCTGGCTGAATACGAAGCCGGTGTCGAGGGAAGTGGGTTTCACGCAGTTGGTCTACGCCACGGCGTCGCTGCCAGCACCATTCGAGGGTAGTGGCAGCATCGAGAGAAACTGAGGGCTGCGTCGCGCGACCGACAAGTCGCGACTCGCACGGCACGACGGCTCACCGGAGGTGGCAGAAGACCTGCCAACAGCGAGCTTGAGGCACGGCTGTATGAGTGGGTCATTAGCCGAACCCGAAAAGGCCTGCGGGTGAAGGACTCGTACATCCGCCTTCAAGCACGTAACATCCACCGCCAGCTACATGGTGAAGACGCTGTCGTCCTCCGGATGGCTTGCTCGGTTTAAGGCTCGTTGAAACCTGGTATCGCGCCGCCAGACCACGTCGCGCTCGTTGCCTGCTGACGCACCGGACGTTTGCCGCCTGTTCATTCAGAGTGTCCATCATCTGATTGTCAAGCACGGCATCCAGCCCAAGAACATCATTAACATGGATCAGGTACCTCGGTACTTCGAGACTGAGCCCAAGGCAACGATAACTACGCGAGGTTCGCGTGAGGTCCTGCTGCGCAAAGGCGGATCCAGTCACAAGCGGTTCACCGCAACGTTTGCGATCACGGCGGAAGCGGAGTTTCTGAAGCCTCATCTACTTTTCTCGAAGCTGAAAAACAAGCCGAAGTGCCCTCCCGGCGTCCTGGTAGATGTGAACCGGACGGGGATGTGGAATGATGACCTGCTTCTCGCTCATGCCGAGGCTGTCATCTGTTCGCGCAAGGAAACACAGCTCTATCGTGAGCCGGTGCTTTACCTGATTGAATCCTACGGCTGCCACGTCAGCTGGCAGACTCCAAGCGACTGGAGCGCTACAACATTTTTGTCGTGCTGGTCCCACCCAACCTCACCAACATGCTGCAGCCACTTGATGTTGCTGTTAACCGCAGCTATCAAGAATACTACCGCTCAATGTATGACGCGTATATCAGCGAAGCTCTCCGTGACCCCATGCTGCAGACGAAAGCTGGAAACCCAAAGGTCACGCGATACGACGCGGTGGCGCAGTGGACCCTTGATTGGGTTGCTTCGAAGGACCCCGCGGAGGTGAAGAAGGCTTCGGTTTGTGTGGAATAGTGGCGAAGGAACGCTTCAGCATGGATCGGCTGCACGCTCCGCTGAAAGCCATACTCCGCTCCGACTTCAACATGCATACATGGCACACAGTCTACCAGCACCTGGTGAACGACGACTCAGAGCGTGAGCTGGTACGTGTGTCTGCCCCGGACTGGTACATTCCAGACAACGAGAGGAGCAGTCTGTTCTGCTGCCTGTCTTTCGGTCTCGATATGTCCGTGCCCGAGTACGCCGAAGCGCTTACGACCTACATGGCTACCCTCGTGGACTTGACCGGACTGCTGGACGACGAGTACCTGGTCTCTGTAAGGAAAGGACTGATGGCCCCGGGTGAGCTCGAGATCTACGCGGCGTCGAAAATGCACGGGTGGAGCATCACCCTCAAGACTGTTGACGAAGGCAGCCGCCTCACCTTCAGCTTTGTCTATGCTGCGGAGAACGCTACCAAGGATGTTGTGCTTGTGCGCGGCGGTGGGTATTTCGCTGTTGAGATTGACGGATGCCTGTTGTAGGTAGACACAGAGCTAAATCAATACTGCATTGATTAATACAAAAAAACATGTTAGTTTCTGATTATTGTGGGCGATTGAAATTGACAAGCGTTGGACATACCTTTCTGTGCGGGGAATTAACGATTGACTCGCGACATACCCTCTTCCCATAACGGGCCCTCAATTGACACGAACCGGGATCGAACTATGAACCTGCGGTTTGCCAATCCATGCTTATACCGGTTGAGCCGTCAGCACATTGCAATTTCGCACGACTCCAGTCATATTTATCGCCTCAAAACTATGTTTGGTGCCATTGAGGTGGCCCGTCTTCAAGGTTGTAGGATTTGTTCGTAGCATACCGCCTAGGCGGTTTAAACGAATATTACGCTCACTGGGTGCTATATTTTATTTGTGCGCCTATGCGCACTATGCGGGGTAAGACGGTAGTCCTGACCGGCGACGTGCTCGCAGAACCGACAAAATATGGCCAAACCCTCACCGAAGCCCAGAACAAAGGCGTGAACGGCGAGGCTTTTATGAGGAAGCTTCGAACAAGCGTCGCGAAGGGTGAAGAGCGCGAAGAAGAAGAAAGAGGGATAAGCTTCTCCAGTTTCAAGAAGTGGTTTCCGTGGAAATCCGCCGTTAAGGGCGACAAGGTGAAGAAAATCTACAAAAATCTGCATGCGGAGCAGCTAAAGCGATTCCAGAAGCTTGAGAAGCAGAAGAGAGCAGCAGCGTTTGCCAGGAAGATGAAAAATCTGCGTCGTCAAGGAGCTCAATGAGCTTCTCGCGGATGCCGACAAGAGGGCAACACCGTTCAGAGCTTGGCATTCGCAACGTTCTCGACACGCTCAAGGGACTGGCGGAACTTCTCAGGGAGAGTGGATCAGTTCATGTGGGTCACAGTACGAAAGTTTTCTCAAAAACCTTGGACGTCAAGTTTCGTACCACTAAGTGGATGCGCGGAGGGACGCAACCATAGGAATAACAGTAATGGAAGCCTACAGCTTTTGAATAAATTCATGAGCTTGATCGCACCGTTCAAAACAGCAACAGCAACAAAAACTTGCCGCAGTTTCTTCTCGACGACAGACATCTAAAAGGGGCCGGTACCGCCATGGAGCTCAACGGTTGGTCAAGTTGCTCCATCAGTGCCGAGATTATCTGGAGCTGGTCAAAGTTGCTGGGAAGCGGTGCGCGTCCTACTAAGTCGGGGCTACGCAGACAGAGGCATGTTTATGGAGAGAGCGTTCATGCTGACAGCGAAACTTGGAGACCACCAAATCGTGCAATGGCTGCTGATACACCACGGAGACGGTCGTGGCTGTGATGGCATGACACTAATGGGGGCCTCGGTAGCGGCGGGGCGATACGGCCACGTGCTGGTGCTTGAGCAACTATTGACGCGCCTTGCAACGCGCAACATCCGCCGGTTTCCTTCTCCTGTCATGGACCAAGCCGCGATAATCGGCAAGTTGGAGATGGTCAAGTGGTTGGTGCGATGGAGCCTGACACACTGATGGACGCTGTGACTAGTCATGGACACTTGGAAGTGCTCAAGTATCTGCAGTGTTGATGTGTCACAGTGCAAGAAGCGCAAGCGAGAGACCTGTCCACGCTGCACGACCAAGGCCATGGATATAATGGCCACTTAGATGTGGTCAAGTGGCTGCACGCTAGTCGAACTGAGGGATGTACAAGTTTTGCGGTGGACCAGGCCGCAGTAAATGGGCATTTGAAGGTGGTCAAGTGGCTCCATGAAATTCGCTCGGAAGGCTGCGGGGGGATATTATTGACAAAATCGCTCAGCACTGGAGTCCCGTGTCACCGTGTTGCGGGGGCAGCTCGCGTTATCGAGAATTTTTTTTGCGAGCTCAACGCGTTTATTGAAAAGCAACTTTCGATGACGCGCGAGGAGCCGGAGATCGTGTGCTACCTTGACGTGCAGCGAGCTGACCACTCGGAGAGCGTGAGTGCTCTACGAGCTGATCTACGAATTTCTATATCATTTCCTTCAAAGATAGATGTAGGTATTAATACTGTGCTAGTTAGTGCTGTTTGGTCAGACAGCACGAGTTGGGATTTAATAAATACCGAGAAGAAAACGGATATCGAGGCCGTCAGCGAAATAAATCAATGAGCACTTTTGTTGCATTCGTGTTGGAACGATCAAGTCGATCTCCTGCAATTGACGTTCTCGCCAAGTAAAGCATCCGCCTTGGCCCATGTGGCGTAAGCTAAGCATGTATTTCGAAGTAAGAAAATCGATGCGTGTACATCAAGTTAAAATCATGTTGAGCATTATTTTTTCTCGCGAGCAGCATTGCAGAGAACTTGGTGACTCCCGTGAATTCTAGCTTTCGTGTAAATTGAAGCTGGAAATTCTTGTTGCACGTGTCAAGCGCCAGGGGAGGCAGCATCGTAAACAGCTATTGCTAGTTTTGATCCTTAGCCCGCGCAAAAGAGGACGGCAGTTGCCCCTATGCTTTCATGAAACCAACGCGGGCCATCCAACAACACAAAATTTAGCCAGTTCATTTCGCCGTCACTGACAAAATATCTACTGGCACACGCCTTAACGGAGTATTATGCGAGCTCTTGTGACTCGGCTTTGAATTCCATACCCCTACTGTACACAGCAGAACTTACTATGAAAAAATGTTTACGAACAAATTTCTTACCAACAAATGAGAACTCATAACGTCCTCCTACCAATTCATTACTTCCTCCTTCCTTAATGCTACTCGAGCCACCACAAAGCAGTATTACATGTAATCGTATCCTAAGGTTTTTGATTCACGGGTACAAATTAAACTAAAATGCCGCAGACAATTAGAAACTATGATGACGCTTCTGGAAGATGAGTGCAAGAGCAATATGGACAATCGAGTTCAACGTAGCTCTGAACATCAATAAGTTATGCTACCTGCCAGCGTCTTCAAGAGTGTCTGCACGAATTCCCAGCTTCATCACGCCTGCACCGTTTTGTCGCGGCCCACCCTTGGTTGTTTGCTATACGCAGGCGCACTCTCTTAACAAACGCCGAGGGAGCTGTTCAAGCACCACCCAGCGCTTATGACATCTCAATCTTGGACGTCAACCATACATTACGTCTCTCGTAGCTCCGTAGTCAGAACGTTTTTCTTATCGAGAAGTCACTAACCTGTAACAAGGATAATTTTTACTGTTCAATAAGTTAATGCTGTATACTAAGGAAACTTATGCAGATAGCCTATTTATCCCGATCTTGCAGTAGCCAATTTGTGAACGCGACCTAACGTATCGGCGGAACTTAAGGGAGCTTTAGAGACGGAACCACTTCGTCTTGAAAGTGCAAACAGAAGCAGGCCATCGGTGTGCGCACAAACTTCGTCGTTGCTCACGCAGACGAACGCCAGCCTCTTTTGATCTTTCTTGAGAGACTTCGCATCAAAATCGCCATTTCCACTGGCCACGGCTGGAGCTGTGATATACCTGTAAACTCACATTACCGCCCAGCGCTCGAACGTCCGAACTGAATCCTTCATTCACTCCTTTGTCCTGAAATCCGGCTGGAATAAGGGGACCGTTCGAAGGTTTGAGCCCGTGGCATCGTAATAAACGGGCAAACTTTGCGTGTAGTTCCCCTTGATTTATCGAGTAAACTTGTTGAATATATGTATTTATATACTCTCTGACGTCGTGTCTGCCTGTGTATACTATTTACCGCAAAAGAAAGTTTGAGGGCAAATGCCCATATTATCATGAGCCGGAGACTGGCTCAAGCTAACAGTAAGCTTGCTTGCTACTACTCTATCTATGTCGTTCCCGTGGCCGCACTGACCGAAGCGGTTTCTCAATCGCGATAATTGTTATTGTGCCCTTGCCGAAGAGCACGATAACGGTGAAGTGATTCTAACCGCGATCCATTCTGTAAAAGCCGCACTGCCTGCGAATGTGCAGCCGCGGTTCAAACCAGCGCGCTGGTTCGCAAAAACCGCATGCTTGGTTTGGAGTTACAAAATGAAACGCGTTCAAACCATGAAACCGATCCAAACCTGGTTTGCTGGTAATTTTGGTTTGGTTTGAACTGGCCGAGGTTTGGTTTCGTTTGGTTTGTTCTGGGTGTGATCTTGCCGCTTGAGTTCTGCGATAGACAAACACCACACCGGCCACAGCAAGAATAGATTCTTTAAAAAAAATCCCGTGTTGAGCTTGCTCAAAAAGAAAGAAACAAGCACGTTTCCTTTGGAGGTTAATGCAGTTGCTATTGCTACTGACCCCGGGTGAATCTTACATAATATTTGGAGGTCATCAGATGAGCAGCTGAAAAAGTTGCGGCAATCGTGTTTTACGAGGATGATTTTAGGCGCGAAGGCTGAAGTCATCCTCATCACGTCGATCTCCTGCAGTTGACGATCTTGAATTTACTAAGTTGTATTATGGTTCGACGGGACTTGAATCAAATGCTACGGCAATCGTGTTGACCTTTCATGTAAAGCCAACGGGTTCAGTCGGTCGTTAACCAAAGCTAAAGGCTAACAGCAAAGAGCGTTCAGCCGAAGGCTCTGATCTGGGTCGCTTACTGCAGATTCACTCCGGGCGTGACAACCGCCGCAAACGTCGACGGGTACTCCGCTGCTGCATGCTCGGCCAGGATGGCCTGTTCGCGGACGATGGCAGCCAGCACTTCGTGGCGGGTCACGAAGCCGCGTTGGGACTCCACTTGGCGTAGCTGGCGCTCCATCATGGCGGCGAAGAGCAGCTCCTCGTCGACTTGGGTCCCACAGATAACTGGCGGCGCAGTTGCATGCATCAGGCGCTGTCGGGCAGCAGGATCCGCCACAGGATTCAATGACGGGTAAGTCTTCGCGTACATCTTGAGTGAGCTCTTGAGCTTCTCCGGCAAAAATGGCGACTGAAAGCTGCCACGAACGACAAGTTGGCAGCCACCACGCACCTGCAGACAAGGCGAGAACGTCGTGTCTCGCAGATAACGGGCCCTACCACTACTACTTTTCTCCAGGATGGAGAAAAGTGCTCGATTAGACGTTAACGAAAGGCTCAGCGCAGATAAAATGTCCCCTGGCCGGCTTGAATGCTGCCGCTCACTGTTGGCTCGGTGCAGGCGTGACGACCGCAGCGATCGTGATGAGGTACTTGGCCGCCGCGTGCTCCGTCAGGATGGCGTGTTCACGGATCACCGCAGCGAAAAGCTCTTGGCGCGTCACGGTTCCGCGCTGAGCTTCCGCTTCGCGCAGTTGACGCTCCCTCCGGGCACAGAAGAGCAACTCGTCGTCGAGGGGGGTCCCGGCGAGAATTGGAGGCGCGCCAGCGTGCATCAACCGCTGGCGCGCGTCTGGATCGGCGACTGGAGGCAGCGAGCGGTACGTTCTCGAATACAGGAACATGGTGCAACGTGGTCTTGGGCTTAACCTGTACAAAGCGAATTGATGAATGGGAGCTGTGTAGGTTTGTTCACAGGCATGAGGCGCATCAGCCATGACAAAGAAGATCAGCCACCATAGCAAATCCGCTGAATCCTTGAGCCTATAGTCACAGGCAAGAAAGCACAATAGCGTGAGCTCGCTTCGACATCACTTCAGTGTCAGGATACCGCCGTTCCATAGTGCATGTGTGCTTTCGTGTAGTATATTTCTACTAGGTACTTAACGTCGCTACTGTGCCTTCGCCCGCGTGCTCGGATGTCTCGGACGCGAGGAGCCCAACACATACAAATCAAAATAGATGCCACGCGCCAGACGCGCCTGCCGACAGCTTAACCTTTCCAATACAGGATAAAGCCAACTCATCACTCCACACCTTGAAACGATTAACGCTGACGACCTGACAAACTGGACGCGTAGCGATTTAGCTTACACCACGCCTCCACTCGGTTGCCGTCCCAGCAAAGAGTGGTTCTTGCGCTGCTCGCTATAGCTCGGGTACACGGCGTCGCTGTCGTTGCTGTTGGTACGGTTAAGGCTGTTCGCGGACGGCGCTGCCAGCGGCACGTTGCTCACCTGCTGCTGGTATCCCATGGGCTTCGGAGCCCCCTGCTGGTTGCCGTACACATTGGCGTACGGCTGCTGCATGTTCTGCGGGGTCGTGTACGGCTGACCCGAGTTCGGGTTGTACTGCTGCGACGGGGTCGGGGCCTGGCCATAGGCCTGCTGGGTCGCGTTGACGCCGAATCCTCCGGCCGACTCGGTGCGCACAAACTGCGTGTTATACTGGCCGTTGTCCGCGTCCGCCTCCATGCTCTGCTGCATGGCGATGGCCAGGTCCCGCTCGTACTCCTTGCGGAAATATCGGATTTTCTCGGCGCGGCCGGCCGAGCTCAGGTATCCCGTGATAGACAGGATAATCACCGACGCCAGACACACCCAGAAGCTGTACCCGTAGAACCAGCAGTGCCACTTGGTGTTGTTGGCCTTGCAGCTCGTGTACGCCGAGTTGATCGTGTCGATGTTGTACAGCGTCTGCTGCAGCAACGCGCCCCAAATGACCAGCGACACAGCCAGCAACAGAGCTAATAGAAAAAAATCCAAAAATCCAACACAAAAATCCGTCAGTCTCTAACCATCTCAGGTCAAGTGGAAAAAATCCAAAAAGCACTTACATCCGGCAAGAGTGCAAAAAGACACCACGCGCTCCATGTACCCCGCCGAGGGGTTATACACCGCGCCGATGGACGTGAGTAGCCCCACCACTGACACAGCGGCGCCTGTTGCCGTTGTGGCCTGCACCGACCTCATTCTTTTGCCGCAGAGCACCTCGTGGAAGTCCGCCCCGTCGCCCAGCATGTAGTTGGGGGTGGTGTAATTATCCACGCAAAAATCCGAGTACTGCAACACTGTTGCCGACGCGTAGAACGGCGACTCGAGCGAGTTGGTCGAGTAGAACGCGAAGAGGCCGTACCCCTGGTACACGTCGTTGCCGTCCCGCCGGTAGTGCTGCTGGAACCACGCCGGGTAGACCATGGCGTAGAACGCGCTGCCCACGGACAAGAGGGACAGGAACACCGCTGCAAAAGGCGCAATTATACGCCAAAAACACGCTTTAGTTAGTTCCTGTTGCCATGTTGCCGAGTTGCTGAGTTGCCCCAGGTTAGGCTAGTGTTAACGGGCGGTTATGACAGTGCTAAACGACGTACTGAGGAGGGTGTTTTTCATAATCATGGTGGCGGACTGCGTGCACGAGCTGCAGCGGGGCGTCGAGGGAGTGAGGGAGAAGCCCGCGCGAGCGCCGTGGGTGTCTTGGCCTGCAGGAAGTCGCGCGGAGCTCGAGGCACGAGGTGCGGGCGACGCCACTACAGGAGAAGTGACTTGTGGCGAGTGCGGAGTCGAGTTGCCGAAATTTTGGGAAAATAGCGGCTGATTCTCTAACCGCGTGACTGGGTCTGAGTATGGAATTCCCAAAGTTAGAGATTAGAGAGCAGACTGCCAAACTGACTGGATTTCGCACACCGTCATAGACCGGACTTTAGGGGTGGGAACAGACGCGCGTTAGCCAGATACGATGGGTAGAATGTGATCTGGACCAAAGGTGGGTGATGCGGAAGGAACTGAGTTAGCTCCAAATATAAATCTTTGTAAGTTTGTGCATTAGTCAGCACCGTGTTTTGTGAAATCCATCTGCTCTTTCCGCCCGTACTGTCCTACACCCACACGGATCGCTTCGTGCTGTCGGTAAACCACCGCCTGGCCAAGCCGAAAAAGCTCTGTCGCGTGACGTCTTGCCTGATCCCGCTCGCTCGCTCGATGGATCGCGCGCAAAGTGCAAGGGCAACAACTTAACGCGTCGCCGTTTTGTGCCGATGGCGAGTCGCCACTCGCTTCATACATGTGCATGTACTGTAATCATTTCTGTGGCTCACACTCGATGCCATGAGGACAGCTTTGAGGACAGGACAGGCTAGATTTTGTGGCGAGTCCAACGTCCATAGACCGATCAAACCCCTCCCCATTTGGCGGTGGTCCGCCAGCTCATACATTTTTTCTCAGCATCACGTGCAATGCTCGACAAGTTTGGCGCAGCTGGGCTTTTGTAGATACCGTGGGGCACAACGTCATTGGTTGCAGCCCCGCTGATCGATTGACTCAGTTGGTTTTGGGCTGTTCAAGCACAACCCTTCACTTCCTGTCCACCCCATACAAAAACCGAATCACTGTGCGGCTTTAGACGAAGGGGATCTCTCTGACTCGCAAGGAGTTCAGAAATGTAGCCATGTTGCAGTCCACTTCAACATGTTTGCCATTCAAATGAGTCATCCTGCTCCTTCGAGTGCAGCGTAGAACCCCAACACTATCGTTCTACCGTTCCATTCTACCTAGCCACTGACCAGAGGAAGGTGCAGGTCACGGGGCTGTGGTCGCTGCTGCGTAGGTCGTCATTCAACGACCGGTAGTTGTCCCTCACAGCTTCGGGGCTGAAGCTGGTGACTCCGCGACTGGCGTCCGAGCACGCGGCCTGTTCTACCTTGAGACAGTCCTCCCAGGGGCTCTGCGGCCGCGAGCAGTAGAGGATGCGGTCGCACCATCCGGGCACACGTTCTTTCAGCCGCCCTCCCTTGTAGAACGGCTCTCGGTACGTGGTCTGGTAAACATGCTGAGCCCATCGAGTATCCCTCCCGGTTCCGGTAGTAGAACCGCTCAACGGCAGCCTCGAGCGACTCGCCACCTTCTTGTACGTCGGGTAGAACGTGGGCCACTTGGCAGGCTCGCGGAAGGCCTTGAGGCTCGGTACGTGCTCTAAGTCGTCGGCCATGCTGTCGTACTGGTCGTGCAGCTCCTGCAGTCTTCCGGCACTCAAAAGATGAAGCACTTCGTCTCCATCCAGCGACTGGATGCGGTAGTTGAAGTCCCCCATCCAGATCACGTGGTCGCTGCAGGTAGCGAGGGTAGAATCCCCTCCCTCCACGGCGTCTTTGGTGAGCGCTTGAGATCGAGGGATTTCGCGCGAGAGTTTGTCGAGTTGCCGTCGCCGTCGCTCGATCCGGTTCGCTTCCAAGTGGCAGTTGACGAACGTGAGTGTCTGCGGATCTCCTGCCACTCGGATCGTGACTGCGACGCCGCCTTTCGAGCCCGTGAACTTGTGCGAACCTGCAGCTACAGCCTCGATCCTCCCGTGGAGGTGGCTAGCGTAGTACACGGAGAGTCCTGTGGATTTCCGCCGGATGAACGCGTGGTCGCCGTGTCCGCGGATCTCCTTCTCCTCTTGCTCTTTACCCCACCACGTGCCACTTGTTGCGTCGATAGGTTGGGGAGGAGCTGATTGAGGAGGAGGGGGGGCAACTTCATCGCCACATGAGAAGCTCGTGTTGGGGCTGTTGATGCTGTAGGCACTGGTAGATTTCGGACTGCAGAGGTTGCACCCCACTTCGCTCGCACAGAAGCTCGAAAGCCCCAAGGAACTGCCGAAATCCGACGACTCATACGTCCGCAGGTGCCGACACTCGACTTCCCGGCTTCGACTTCGACTGCGGAGCCACCGCCGCTTTGACGTCAATACGAGTCTCCTGTAGGGATCCTCAGGAGTCCCTGGTCCCTGCTTGAGTCGAGCGAGAACTGCAGCGTGTAAATGCTTCGTGACTTTCTCTTGTGTGCCGATGACGTAGATGTCGTATCCCAGTGGCAAGAGCTCTCGCAGTTCCTCAGCTGCCAAGTCATCGCCGATGTATTGGCCGCGTCGGCGGTGCGCGAAAGGGTCTTCTGCTGCCATATTCCACGTCGCGACGAATATCCGCAGCGGGATCTTGGGTGGAGGCGGACGAGGAGAGGGCGGGGGGCCCGGACACGTTTCCGGCGTCAACGCAAAGATCATATTCTCGTCAAAGTCGTCGACCTCGATTGAGGACGCTTCTCGTGTTTCGTCGGCCTTGTCCGCGTTATTATCCGCTGCGTTATTGTCCACTTTTATCGTCTCCTCGATAGGAGGATTATTCTCACTCACACTGCGTTCAAAAATGGTGCTAAAGTCCACAGGTTTTACGGCCACGATCTCGTTGCTCACCCTAACGGGGTACGCGTGGAACCACGGCGCTTGTTGCTGGTTGGACTTTTTCTCGAGACTTTCACGAAATTCCTCGTTCCGGGACTTCTCGATCTCGTCTTCGATCGCTTCTTCGCTCGCCTCCTCGATCTTCAGGCTGGCGACGCTCTCGTTGTCGAACTGGTTGCTGTCAAAGCTCTCAAGGTTCTCGAGGCTGCCCTGCTGTCGGATGTACTCCTCCCATTCGGCCTCGGCGTCGTCGAACGGAATGTCGTTGCACCAGCCCTTGGACGGCTTCGAGGCCCTCGGATCGTAGCGGCTCAGGTGGAGACCGAGCAGCGACGGCATCTCGCCTCGCTCCAATCCAAACGTCGATCGAAATATGCCAGAGAGAGAGGGTCGCTGCCAAGAGCAACCATCATCCCATGGGCGCGACTAGCCAACGTTTTCTGCCCTATTCAAGGAACCATTTGCCACCATTTTCCAAGATACTGACCGAGACTTTTAGCGTGGGGAAGACCATGCATGGGACACTGGCCAAACGCTGCAAATATACGTTGAGCATTGCATGGGACGCCGCTGCCAGCCTGCATCTTAATTTGACTTGACTCCCGGCACTGAAACCTCTGGTTGATCTGTCGCGAGGATACGTTGAGCCTTGGTTGGTGAGTAGAGCGTTGGTTTGGCAACGTTGCGTCTTGCGTGGTGGTTGTTCGGATTGACGCGAGTGCAGAGCGTGGTATGTCGGCGAAGCCATTTCCTGAGCGACCAAGCACCTGCTTCCGGCCCGCACGAATTCGTCACTCATTTGCCAGTCGCCACGTTGCACCTGCGAGTGCTGCTCACGCCGTGAAAGTCGCGTGGGCCTCGACACTTGAAGCACTTTCCTGTCTTCGAATAAGCTCCAAAGCGTGGAGGTGCGTGCGGTTGTTCGAGCTGTGTACTTGAGAGGAGGCAACGAGGAAGACATATGCCAGTACGTACGGGTTTAGTGTGCGCCTAGCACCAGCGCGAACGCGACTTGCAGCACGCCAGCACGCGCCCGCTCAGTACAGAAATGTCAACAGCTCAATCAGAGATCCAGCACTCTCGCCCTACCAACGCTGGACTTCATTCCTCATCTGCAGTACGCCTGACCACCGGAGCTAACAACTTTGGCGTCCTGGGGCCGCATCTGACCACGCTGCTCTTTCTTCTCAAACCACTCGCAAGTATCGCCAGAGACACGAGCCTCCTAACGTTACGTGAGTGGAGAGTACTGCGAAGGAGCTGGAGTTCGTCCCCACGAGCTAACATGTCGCCAGACGCAGCTTGGGCCAGCATTCTCACGAACTCGACCTGGTTGGTGGTTGGCGTCAAAGACTCGGCACAGCCGACTTCGAAGGCGCGTATTTCGACGGTAAATTGCTCGAGGTGCGAACACCATCACCAACGTACGTATGAACGCTGCATCTAGTCAAGACACCAGACGACCACCAAGGGGGTGCGTGGGTACTGTATTACTCAGCGTGGCACAGCCGCGAAAGCCCCGGTGTCAACGTTCGGACATCCGAAACCAAAGTCTGAAACGAACTGGTTAGGCCATTGCCGTGGCCAGTGGTGCCTGCCGCCACGCACGCTCCCGGAGATCATCTGAATCAAGCCATCTCCTGACCTCTACTCGATACTATAAGTTACCATCACTACCAGCACAAGTACAAGCGCCCCCTCTCTGTCGTCGGAACATAGAGAGAATCACCTCCAACAACCGAGTAACCAACAAACAACCACCACTTTGAGATGTTCCCCCGCAAACAGGAAGCCGAGTACTGGGATGCACTCCGGGGGTTTCCTCCTCCACGTTTACCCAGACTACAGACTCACCCGAGCAGCTTAGGCCGACCTAGCTTCATTGAAAACCTCAGCAGCCATGAATCCCTGACGCCAGCAAATACGAGTCCCCATTTGCAGCGCTATGGCGATCGACCCAGCGGTAGGTCGGTCCGAGAGCAAGCAGGAATGTCGCTACGTCCGACGTTGCCCAGCGTGGCAACGCTGTTACCTCCTCCATCTCGCAACGATCCAAGTCTCCAACCTCAGCTCGATGCGGAGCCTCAACGGCGCCCCCAAGCCTTCACACCGGCGCACTCCCTATCATCAGTTCCATCACCGACGGTGGTTTCAACCGGATTGGCCGTAGGGCTATCAGGGTTGTCGGCATTCGCGGACCCTCAACTCATCCACAGCAGTCGGTCTGTCGTGTCGCCGAGTCACCAGTCAAAACGCTGGTCTCCATACGGATCTACATCGACCCCTGCTGGTAGCAGTAGACTACTACTGAGTGACCCGTACGTAATGCCTTGGGACGAGCCCGGGTTTGAGCCCCAGAGCCATCGAAGACGACGAACAAGTCCGAGACGGAGGCTCGCAGCTTCGAAGGCACAAGCTCGAGCTCTGCGAATGGCGACGCAAGGAAGGCACATGGGAGCGTTTAGTCGCTACGAAGGTGACCCAGCGGCATACAGATTGCACGAAGTTCCGTTCGCGCCGCCTCCTCCTCCGATGCCACCGCTCGGTGTTTCATTGCCGCTGTCTCTGACTCTGCGTCCGCCTTCACCTCACGTGGACGAGGGCTTTGACACCAGCCCAAGCAAGAAGAACTCGCGGTATTTACGTGAAATGGACCGACGAACGATTCTAGCGCGCCTTGATCGTGGCGAGAAGCAGTCGGCACTGGCCAAGGAGTTCCGAGTCACGCGCGCAGCCATTTGCAACTTGAACAAGCACCGCGATCTGGTTTTGTCGCGGCAGCACGAAGACCCACCCAAAGAAGACCAAATGAGGATGAAGCGGAAGTCGAGGACGCCGAAATCCCCACCCAAAGTGGACCAAACGGGGTGCCGCTCCTGTTATCGGAGGACTCTCGTCAACCGAGTGTGCACTCGGTGGCATTGCAGCCAGCGGAGCGCCTGATCCCGCTCCTTTTGAGCCGTGACACGACCGATTCCGCCTTCCGTCGATACTGCGACCGCCTCATGACGATGGAAGTTCTCGCGTGGGCGCACGCGGGAACTCGCAACAATGCTCAACCCCCTACTCCATGCGGAGTGTCCATTGCGCCAGGGGGTTCACCGATGCTCTCTGTCTTCCAAGCGCTTGAACCCGAGCTCCCGACTGGACACATCAAGCTCAGTCTGCCACAAGGTGGGTCCCCCGTGGCGGCGGTGTTGGACCTCCCGGCCTCGGTGGCATCTCACAGCGTCTGCTTGTTCTACGCGTTCACTGACGCCGTGGGCGGGGTACGGGTGGCTAAAGGTGCTCAACCGAGGCGCGGTGGAAGAATTACTGTGTCTGGTAACGCTGGCCGTGTCACCCAAGCATGGGCATTGCAGCCGCCCACGTCGAGGGCCACGATGGCATCGACCACTACAGTCTTGGTCATGAAAATAAAGCCCAGAATGCACCGAGATCGACGTCACGCCTGCAACTACTGGCGAGCAGAATGGCCGACATCTACTGAATAAATACTAAGCACCGGTGCTGGATCCGGCCGGCACGCACACGTAAATTGCCGCTTGGGATACACTTCATTATTCGTCGAATAAAGTCGGTCGTCAAGTATCCGTTTCGAGTTGGCCTGGTATCTAGTGCTGTGGTGTGACTGACCTGAGCTGACACCTCCACTCGACTCTGCAGCGCGGAATTAGCTCTCTGGACACACCACTCAATGACTGACTGAGACGTTGCGCTCGTGGTTGCAATGCGTCGGGCAGCGTCAGCAGTGTGGGACACTGTATGAAGTCGAGAAATAGCGAGCCGTTAAGTGAAACTTCTCGAATTTCTAGGATGGGACGGTGCAGTGTAGTTCTTCTCCTTGCACTTCGACAGCAACAACCAGCTTGTACGGGAAAGCGAACCAACGGACCTTGGACTAGAACTCGATCTTATGGGGGCGTATATCCGATAACTCCGTCTTATCACCTTGTGGACATTCTGCACACATGGAGTGAAAAAATCCACCCCCTGCTCCGTACGCGAGAAACGGAAGTCGAGGCTAAAGGTTCCAAACACCTCGTGGTTTGCTCACGACCGCGCCAAGAATGCTGCGTGTTAATTGCTCGCGTCTGACAAGAGGTTCAGATAGGTTATTGACTAAAATGAGACCGATTTTTTGGGGCGGAAGGGGTCTGCTAGCAGGTTGAGTACATTCTGGTCATCCCTAAAATTGGCTCAAACGTGTTGCTTGGTTGCGTGCTCAGAGCAGAAGAATGAGAAGGATCCGAGTTCAGACGGAGACCGAGGGGTTTCAATGGAGCGTTTCGAGTATCTCACAGGCATGAGACTTCGGGGATGTAGATGTCGCACAAGAGTTCATTCACGCTATGCCACTAGCAGCGAATCAATGAACCGGAGGTTATGTGTTTTGTGGTTTGGAGTTTTAGACCAATGGTTAAAGTTAGCACTGGTAAGACAAGGAATTCCTCGGTTCTTTTCTTGTCTTTGCTGCTGCAGCAGAGCGCGAGCTTCAACGTTAACCCAAGAGCGCTGGGAGCCTCGCAACACCTCAACCATCGTTCCTATTAATCACTCCGCCGAAACCCCTGGCCACACACTTTTGAATGCCTTGACAGGTTCCAGAAATTCACGAAAGGAGAAACGCTACGGGCAGAAACTGCCTCCTCTCCCCTCTTTTCCTGTCCCAGACGGACGAAGCTTCCACCGCTTCATTCAACGTTCTTCCGCCTGTCAGCAAGACCGACCAACCACCCAACCACTTGCCATTAGCAGCGCCAGCACTTGACGCGCTCAGCCCACCACGTTCAATTTCCACTTGGATCGAACACTGCAACCAATGGCACCAAGCGATCGCCTGACCAACTCCCCTCCGCCTCCGATGATGCTCAACCACGTTGAGAAGAGCGACTTCCAGATGTGCTTGCACGCCCGTCAGCCTTTCATCCGCTACGAAAGCCACCGTCGACGTCCAAATAGCCGCATCCCGAGTCAGGGGCACGTCACCAAGCTCCCGGGAGTAGCAGCACTGCTCCGACGCCACGATGCAATGCAAGCCAAGGGGCTCATCGCGTCCACGCCCGTCCCGGTCCCAGAGCACGACTTCGAGTGCTGGACGCCTCCACGTTTTGCAGGAACTTTGAGTGATAATACCGCCTCCCCCAAGTCACGATGGACGCCTTTGACTGCAGCTCTCGAGACCAATCCACAGACTCCGCTTAAGAGCAACTGGAGCAGCAATACGTACAGGTATGAGTCTAAAACTCAGCAGACTTGGGTAGCAGGAACCCCCAAGACGTCGTCGCCGGCGGTGGTGCGGTCTCCGGAGCCTGTTCGAACTGAATCGCGCCCGAAGACGTCGAGATATCTGCGCGAGATCGACCGTCGACGCATTTTGCTTCGGATCGCGCAGGGGGAGAAGCAGTCGGCGCTTGCCAAGGAATACCACGTCAGTCGAGCTGCCATCTGCAACCTCAACAAGCACCGAGCCGAAGTTTTGTCGCGCAACCACGAGCACCCGCTGGCCAAACACCCCAAGCGGAGGATGCTGAACAAGCCCAAGAGGAACGAGGTATCCATAGTGGACAACCAAGCGAGTGCGTCAGACAGCAGTAGTTGGTAAATCTACCACCACTTACTTATCTATCTACCTGGGAGCTCTCACGTAACCAGGAACACCAACCTATCGACAAAGCAGCAGCGATGCTCGATACAACAGAGCCAGAGTCATTACACTTCCAGACACCGTCTTACTGAAGTGATTTGAACCTGTTTGCACCCTCTCGAGCTGGCCACTTCTTCAGTTAACTACACTGCACGGTCAATGGGACCGAAGCCACACAGGCATCTCGCCAACGCCCTCGACCACCAGTGTGCGACTGAACAAAAGCTGAAACGGTCACCCACGCCTGTAAGGATGTTAGGATCTGTTGTGCGCGCGATCGATACTATTAGGTATCAACCGTCATGAGGCATGCATGTCGGCCTGTACTTGTACCTGCCTAGAGTCGGTAGCCTCGAGTCCGAGGGCAGCAACAAATTCCGCCTGCGTTTGCCTTACTCGAGCTGCACATAAAGCACACTCCAGCCAAGATAACCAGCCACAATGACAGCCATTGCACATAAGACAAGTATCTTGTGATTCACGAGAATAACGACGACGAGCTCTGCTTCGTCCGTCCTACAGCTCCAAGTCTCGGACTGCAACTGTAGACGCAGATCCAGTCCGTCTCGCCGCCCTAATTCCATCTTCCTCAAAGTTCCGCCTCCCTCTTATCTTAAGCTTTACGCGCCTCCGGCACACGAATCTGCACGCGGACAGCGTGCTGCCCCATCATCGTGATGACCGACTGCTTGTTCTGCTGGAACTCGGCCCTACCAGCAACAGCCACAGAAAATCAATCAGCACACACGCGCACACGCCTGCGTCTCTCCCGCTTATGCACGTACTGCATCTTCTTGATGTCGCGCTGGGTCTCCTCCTCCAGAATGCTCGGGTCGTCCCCCATCAGCTGCAATCATTCAGTAAACGTTAGCCCTCATAGCTCCCCTCCCTCTCTCCAGTAAAAGAACCCCTCTTACGTCCGTGTTGCCGTTCATCTGGAACGTGCGCTCCATCTGCTTGCGGTAGGCCGTGATCTCCGCCTCCGCCTCCAGCTTGGCCTGCTTGAGGCGTTCGCCCCGTTCTACAGCGTAAAACCACGTGATAATATCCTCTTTAGCGCAGTATGCTTGTCAGGGGGTAGTGCAGATGAGCGCGCACCCTGGCGCGCCTCGCTGATGATCTTGGAGGCCTTGGTCTCGGCCGCCATGAGCTCCTTGATGCTCTGGTTCGCCGCCATGTTCGCCTCGCTTTGGATCTTTTGGAAATGATATACGTAGTACAGGATCTATTATTTAGAAGGCGTAAGGGGATTGGTGGATAATTCAGTTTAACGACGGTGATTGGTTGAAAAGGTATTTAGAGGTTTAGATGCACAATTTGGACACTTTAGAGACACATGTCCACATTCAGGTGGACGGTTTTGGCGCTGGTCCAACTGCGAGCAACCTGTTTTTGAAGCTTCGTTCGCTTCGGGTGGTGCCGAGTCGGAGAGAGCCTGGGAGTTAATTAGAGCAGCTTGGGGTTGCCCACGTCCACTTTCTCCCACTGGGACAGCAGCGAGATGTCGTTCTCGAGGTCGGCGATGCGCGCCTTGAGCTCCTCGAGCTCCGTCGGGTTGAACTTGCGCTGCTTGCTGAGCGCGTCCACGCGAGCCCAGTAGCGCTTCTGCCAGATGTTGCTGTACGTCGGGTCCTGCAACACAAAATGCGATTGACAAGCAAGGAGTCAGCCTTGAAAGGAGATGTTGACAGCCTAAGGATCAACGCACCTTCTTGGTGATGGTCGAGTAGAACGAGTTGCCCAGCACGGCAGTGAAGCCGATGAAGTACGTGATCGGCTCCATGACGTCCCACGAGTAGACGTCCCACACGCAGTACATCAGCGCGCCGTAGAAGCCCGTGAGCCCGGTCAGCCCCACCCACTTCTGCGCGTTCGGCATGCGGCGCGCCAACACGTGCACCTCGCTCTCCACCTGCTGCAGCTTCTTGAGCGTACCGTTGAGCTCAGCCAGCTCCCGCTCCTTCACCCTGCGGTCGTGCTTGATGTTGTACAGCTCCGAGTCCAGCGAGTTCTGCAGCGTCAGCATACTCTCCAAGCTCTGCAAACCAAAAAATCACAACAATAAGAAAAACTTCAACATCCACCCCCACTTCAACTTGCCCTCCAATAAAATAAAATAAAATAAAATAAAATAAATAAAATAAAACTCACATAAGGCCTCAGAATCACGGCGTTCTCGAGCTGCGGGTTCCTGGACCGGTCGAAGTGCACGATCAGTTTGCGGCGCTGCAGCTCCCTCAGCCACTTGGTCGCCACCGCCTCCTCCGCCCCCGCATTATGACACATTCTATAAAACTCACTCAGCGGCAACTGCAGTCACCCACAACAATAAAACCCCTCCTCAGCCTCTCCCCCCCAAAAAAATCAAACATAATAAACCCCACTCACCGTCAGCCGTGGGTCCTTCTCGATCTCGGCCTTAACCGTCGCGAACGCCACGCTCTCCTCGCGCGCGCGGCGCTCGTCCAGCGCGGCCGCGTCGCCCTCCACCAGCACGTTCACGTGGTTCAGGCGCAGGCAGAAGGGCATGGACGTGAGCTCGCCCAGCCGCACGGTGCGCGCCAGCTTGGTGCCGTCGGGCGTGGCCACCTCCACGCTCTTGAGCGAGTCGTCGGCGCGCTGCACGGCCTCGATGAGGTCGCGCACGCTGGCGCCCGCGTCCTGCAGCCCGAGGCGCGTGAGGCCCTTGACGCCCGGCAGCGGCAGCAGCACGTCCAGCTGGCCAGGCGCCTTGGCGGCGTTGCGCACGCTCAGCTGGGGCGACGCGGCGTCGCCGGAAGGGAGCGAGGGGCCCGCCTGGGAGCGCTCGGCCGCGCGCGTGCGCAGCGACCCGGAGCTCGAGTGGAAGCTGCTGGACAGGGAGGCCGGGACGCGGCGCAGGAGCGAGGAGCGCGAGGCCAGCAGCGACAGCGACAGCGGCGCCATGGCGGTGAGGAGGGCGGGAGGTCGGCTGATTAGTGTGAAGTAATGACTGCGATCCGACGCTGGTCAGGTATCCGGATAGGAAATCGATTAACCGGATAACGGGGTTGAAGTTGTCGGTTTTTTAGCCAATCACTTGCATTGGGCTGAATAGTACATGAACACGCTCAACTCGACGAAGGCTGCTAACCTAAATACTAGACTGTATCATTTTCGGTATGATAGCTACCGGTACTGTACAATTCTGCATCTTGACAAGTCCAGATAGCCAACAACACGGTTAATCGTTAAAAATCATCGAAAGTCTTCGTAGATAAAATGCCTAAGCGAGTGCAGCCAGTTGTTTAATGGTCCCACACGAGCTCGATTAATTTGAACTAGATTTCATACACGGTCTCATTCTTTTTGCACTAAGCTTTTAGCCTTTTCTCCGGAGAAAAAAACATACCACCAGATGCAGCTCTTTTTCCTCTGAATGAATTCATTCGCCACCGTATAGGACGTCATCGCGTTACCGGCGGATAGAGTTGGCTTTGGATAAAAATATGCTGAACGAAAAAAAATTAGGATCGCACAACCTTAAAGCTTTAAGTAGTGTTTTGCAAAGTTTTAGTGGAATGTTTTATCTAACCCATCTAGACTCATTCCAATGGGTGTGGGGATTCACACAAAATCAGCCTGCCGGCAATTTATGCCACGGCAAACTCAGATGACCACACGATTTTCAATTAATTTCTCTGAAAAACTATGCATGCAGAAGATAATCTGTGTCTGAAAGACCAGGATAAAGTTATGACTCAAAACAGATTGAATCGATAATATAACGCTAATGAAATGTGTCAGGCACCACGGTTTTTCCGTTACGGGGCTTTTTCCGTCGTTGTCTGTACTATGTTGACTGCTTTGAAGCTGCATGTAGTATAATATAATACGATTCAGTAATGTTGTAATGGCATCAATTGTGCCCAAGGTCAGCATCATTAGCACCGATGCCTCATATTGGCCGAAAGAAACAATTGCCCCGTGACCGGACATACTGGGCCCGTGCCAGGGGTCCGTGCGCCGAGCTCGCATGAAGGTCTCAGACATGGCTACATCCTACTCTGGGTACCCGTCTTAGGGTACTGGGGGCTGCTGCTGGCTTCGTGAAGGCTCAGTTCTCGTCCAAGTGGGACTGACTGAGGTCCAAGGGGATCTCCGTTCCCGCCTAGGACGGGTGTCGTGCAAGTGGAACTATGGTATTGACCGTGATCGCGGACGGGTTGTCACCCGAGGATGGAGGACATGCAGAGCGACCTCCGAGGCACAAAAGGAGAGGTGTCACCCGTAGGAACGAGGGCGGCCGTGCCGACCCTCGACATGTAGAATCAGTCGTGAATCTTCACTGTCTTAAAGACACAACAACAACAAGAAAGCTTTTGTATAGTTTACTTAAGTTTACTTGTTAACCCTCTCTAAAGCTCGTCTGCTCTATCACCTTCGACCCCTTGCGGGCCTCCTTCTCTCCAACAGTCTCAGCGTGCCCACCCCTGACGGAGGAGGTACACGACACAATGCTTGTTAATACGCTGTTCGTCGTCACTGATGTTTGTGATGGAGCCCCATTTTCTCTGGTGGCATCGGGGGAATCTGACCTCAATCTAGAAGGAAAAGAAGCTCCGAGGCGAATAGGTATCCATCAAAACCTGTAAGTGTCATTCAGACCGGATTCGACAGAGTGCTGTATGATGTTGTGTGAATGTTGTTTGATGTCAGCTGCGGGGAGGGGGGAGAATGTAGCGTGAATGGCGTTCGATGACACCTTTCCCAATCGACAGTTCTTCGAACTGCGAACTACAGCCCAGTGAAGCAAACGAGATAAAATGATAGAAGTTGACAACCATTTTTTGTATTGCATGGTTAAACGTGCGTGAGCCTACTACTCGACTAGCCAGAGGAGGGAAGGTTTTGACAGAAACCGACGAGAGATTAGCTTGGGGTTGAACAATAGTTATTTTACTTGCGGACACCCTCGTTCCTCCGGCACATGCCATCGTGCAGTGCTTTCAGCCTGCCGCAGTAGGCATTGCCGAGCTCGCATCGATTCTTGTAGGGGACACCGTCGCTTTCGCAGACGGGTTTGTTCTCGTTGGTGCATTTCGTCGGGTTGCAGCTGTCATCACATTTGGCGGAAATGCCTCAAACCGCAACAAATTCTACATCAAAAGCATCAGGGTCAGTCATTCTGCAATACCGTGATCATACTTTGCGTAACATAATATAACTTTACTCTGATATCTGCCTGGTTTTGATGAGTGATAAACGCTAAATCACCCAAGGAAATCACCCAAGGAAATCATAACACGAAAAATAATCAATGCGGCGTATTGCCAGACGACGACGACGACGACGACCTACGATATACGACCTGTGACGACGGGAGCGCTGCAGCCCTACTGGCACCAGCTACCGCCACACCGCCGGACCGCATCATCACTGCATCTACACAATCAACTGCCGCGTCAACAGCGACACTCCATAATCCAGCAACAATGATTGGTGCTGCAGAGCCTGCGGGGGTTGCTGCAACAGGTACAGTGCCTACAGTAATTAGTCTGGCTTCAAAATTAGTCTGGGCCAGACTAGTTCGTGTCGAGCAAAATTTGGCATCTTCATTATTAGTCTGGCTAAAAATGTTCATAATTAGTCTGTCGTGGTGACCACGATTCTAATCCATCTCTACATGTACCTACTTTGAGGCACAGCTAGTGGAAAAACTTACTTGACAGCAGCCAATTTACCAGATCTCGTACACACAGAACCTGATATCTGCAAGATACAATAGATACATTAGTGAACAAGGCATCCAACCCATAGATTCCTTCTCTAACCAGTAGAGAAGCAACAACTGCGATGATTTAGTCCTTATTTCTCTTCAAAGCCACGATAAAATATAGCTACACTATAAAATACTCGGAAAATACGTACGTACCATTTCACAAAAAATAATGATTTTCGTACTGGAAAACGGACATTTTTCAATATTCATAATTAGTCTGAATTCAAAATTAGTCTGTCACTGTTGGAGCCGGACTAATAATCGTGAGCAATGAAAAATCTGCTATTCAGATTTACAGTATTGTACATTTATTGTTAGTCTGGGCCAGACTAATTACTGTTGGTACTGTAGTAGTAGGAAGAGGAGTGAATAGCTGCTTGTCTTAATCTACTCACTTCGCAATATACTTTGCAACGCGCAAAACGATAAAAATCTTAAGTGATTATTCTTACTGGGCACAATGCTAAAAGTGCCAGGAGAATGTGAGACTTTGAAGTCTTAAAAGCCACCAAGAGTTGACGAAGCTGGTGAGCCGTGGGTTTATTTCGCTGATAAGGCGAGTCTTTGGGTAGGGAACGTGAATGAAATTCAGTTTGTGGATCCTGACAAAGTCATGTCTGCGGCCAAAAGAAGCTCCGAAATATCTATTTTCGATCTCATTGTATTTTCTACACTCTGCAGAATCGTGCAAACCTAATGCATTCACTGCAGAATAGCTTTGCGTGGAATACCCTTGACTACTCCGTGTATTGCTCTTCGTACTTGGTCGGTCCCATAGGTACCGCGGTAGGATTAACTGCATCGGTTCTCGCGAATTCAATGATCTCCGAGTTCATGCTTTAGAACAGCCAGACTGTGGTGTAAGAAGCGCTTCAGCGACAGCCCATTCTTGTTTCGAGGCGATCTGGAAAGAGCATGTTAGCGTTATCTTTCTCTCCTCCGCCATGTATTGGTGGTGTGACTTGTGCCTGGAGCCGTACCCCTTACCTATTTGCTCGTGATTTTTCGGTCAGAGGAAAGACAACATGAATCCGACCAGGCGCGCGAAAGCATGTTTTTCGCGAACGTCTCGAACCACAAGGTGCAAAGCGCGCTGGTGCAATAGCTACTGATGCTCTATGTATAGCAAAGCCTAAGATTAATTTTAATTAATCATCCGGCTAAACTTTTGTAAGAATCAATATGACCATGAAATGGTGGTACAGTCAAACCTGTTTATATGATCCTCTCTATTGGAGCCATGCCGTTTATTTGATGCAGGCTTTGTCGCTACCAAATATTTCACTTAGTTTTTGTATGATCTCTGTTTATATGCATACAAGGTATATGAGTCACATTTTTGAGGACCAAATTAGGTCTCACCTGTTTATTTGATTCACACTGCTCACGGCCACACACTCTTCAAAGCACCACTGCTCAACACTCAACGCCTACCGCAAGCCTTCTTCGCTCGCCATGTCTCCTCGCACCTGTCTGACGCTAGAACAAAAGCTCCAAGTGCACCTAAAGCTCAAGCAGAATCCTGGCATGAACAACCCCATGCTCGCCGAGTGGATCTACGCAACTTTCAGGGCCCGGGTCAGCCGTGCCACACTCGCCCGACTGCGCAACCTGCCTTCTTCCTACTTCAGCCACGTCGACCTGAGTGCGACCAAGCGGCGCCGAGTGAAATTCCCTCAGTTCGAGCGGGAACTGAGGGAATTTTTCTTTCAGAACGAAGCTAAAACGGCGGCTCCTGCTGAAGGCGCATGAGCTGGCGGAGCGCATAGGAGGAAGAGGAGGAACAGGAACCCGCAGTTCAACCTGCCATTGCTCTGAGACACTGTATGGAGCTGGCTGCATTTCTGCTGCAATGCGGAGAGCAGACTGACAGAGAACGAAGAGCTTTACAGACCGTGACCGCTTTGGTTCGAGAGACTACGGTGAAGGCAAAGCGGCAGCGAACTATGCACGATTTCTTTACGTGCACCACATAATTTGTTTTAACTGAGTCCATTTTATATGAGTCATTGTAGTAGATGGTCACCAACAGGGCCTCATAAAAACAGGTTTGACTGTAATCACGAATCTACATGTACGATAGCGATCAGCTGGGCACTTCAGTGCAGCGTCTGTCATTCGTGTTTTCTACATCTCGGCCGGGGTATTCATCGTGGCGTTCTCGAGATGGCGGCACGGACGATGCGTCGTGTGCTCATATCACCGTGGGAGCCGACGATCGAAGCGGCCCCTCTAGGACGGAGCCGCTATCTTTTGTTTTTCGATGGCGGCTCGCGCGGTAATCCAGGCCCTGGCGGCTGTGGTGCTGCAGTGGTCCGCATCGGAAACAGACGGGGTAGCCATGAAATCTGTTGGGCCATTAGCATGTCCTACGCGGCCGCCAGCACGACCAATAACGTGGCGGAGAACATGGGGCTACTGACGGGGCTCAAGGCGTACCTTCGTTTTGGCTGGACCCCACTTCATGTGGTAGGATACAGTAACCTCATCATTCATCTGCAGAAGACGCGGACACCGCCACGCGCCAAGCATTTACGACCGCTGTATTGGCAAAGCCGCAGGTTGGCCGACAAATTGGCGGTCAACTCCTGGCAGCACCACCCCCGTGTGCACAACAGCATGGCAGATGCCTTCGCAAACATGGTGATGGACTCACGCCGCAGCTTTCAAAGAGTACCCAACCGAGTGTGTGGCTCCGACTCGTCTTAGGACGACGTGTACAACTACGCTTCATGCGACGTTAGTCACTAGATGGAGCAAAACAGCGATCCGAGTATGTGGCTCCGACTCGTCTTGGGACGACGCGTACAACTACGCTTCTGGCGACGTTAGTCACTAGATGGAGCAAAACAGCGATGAAATCCTCGGGGTTCGCGGCCTTCACGCATTAGTGTGTGCAGGTGGCTCTGGTTTGTGGCTAGAGCAGTTTCATAGGGTGGTAGGATAGAGACAACCGCCGACAAGGTCGTAGCTGTCGTTAGCCAAAGAAGTTAAGTGACCTCAATGTACCTCGATGCGAAACGAAACGAAACATTCGTGTTTTCTCCTCGCAGTCCGCATTTCTCCCCCCAGACTACCCGCTGCTAGTAAATCAAGAACAAGAGTGCAGCTGTCCAACTCTTTGCTCGTGGTTGCTGCGGCTACTCTTCTCGCCTACGGAAGTGCTGCCACGGCGACAGACTCTTATCAGGAGAAGATCTCGCAGTTCATGCCTGAGCAGAAGGCTCGATCGGACGACGAAGCGCACCATGAGGCCACGAGACTGCTCCGAACTGTCGTCGACGACAGCGAAGAGAGAGTTAACTGGCAATCCCTGAAGCAGGCGTTTTCATTTTCATCTGAAACGAGCGTGATCAAGAAGAACGCCGCAAAGTTCGCGAAGTGGAACCGCGAAGAGAAGATGCCGTATGACATCTACTTGAAGTGGATTAACAAGAGATATTCCCATGACGAGGCGATGAATTGGGGCTACCGCTTTGAGGCATACCAGAAGAACCCAGCTGCTTATCATTAGCGAATGGGCTAGAGGTTTACCGCGGAGGTATCTGCAGTCCGCAGATAACCAGCTACACAAGCTAGGATATCTGCGTGTAGTGGAGGCAATCTCCAGCCTGGCCAGCTACCAGCAGCACTATTGGTCGCAGCCATTACGACAAACGTGATGACTGCGACAAGTTCATCTTTTGCATTACGACAAACAGGATGCATAACGCAAAAGCGGATGACGAACTAGAAATCCAGTGCACTATAACGACAACCAAGAAGGCAAGCTACGGCAACTTAGATTACGACAGCTGCGGCTTCACTGGTTAGCAGGAGCCGCAGCACTAGGAGTAGCTCAGGTCCTACTCACTTTGCAACTTACCAGCAAATAAACAAACGGCAAACTACCAGGGAGCTCAGCCAGCTCCCCCAGCACGTCTTCGTTTCTTTTGAAACACCACACTGCGATGCATTAAGCGAATGTTCAGAATCATTTGAGAGAGGTTACTACTGTTTGGTTTCTTGAATTGGTTGGACAGTTCTCTTCCAATACACAGATACAGGGATGCAACTGAGCTATACCTACTACGTACAACGGGTGTCAGAAATGAATGTAAGCATTACTGCCAGTCCGATGAGAATATATCCCTGGGGTACAATTCGAAAGCACCTGAAGGCACCCCTAGCGTCCATACGGTATTTTAGTGATCTTGAAGCCAATTTTTGTCCTTTCAAGTGAAACATGAACTACCGGAAAGATAAATGCACGGACTATCCGATGCCAAGCACCTTAGCGTGCTCCACAAACTGAAGGCTGACATGAAAGCCAAAAGATGATGCGCAAGAGCGCGCACGAAGAAGAAAAAAGCAATGATAACCCGTGCGCAGAGCTTCCTCGAGTATCGAGGGCCACACAATCACAGACTAGTTAAAATCACGACCCAGACGACCCAGATTGCGTTGTAGCGTGCCTGGCGCAACAGCTCGAAAAAATACAATATCAGCTCATTGACTCGAGCTGAGCCAAGGTCTCAATCGAAGCAGTCGCCGTGTAAACGGTCAACCACAAAAGTCGACGATGTTCGAAGTAAGCTCTGCATCATGAAATATTTGCCGCCTTTCATGGCTCTAATAAATAAAGTACTCTTCGCAAATTCCGTCACCTCGGTTTCCGGGCAACATTTGGCATCGAGCAGTGTGACTGTTTCTCCCTACCCACCAATTTTGGTAAGTTATCCTCGGACATGTCACCCCCCAAAATGGTCAAATTCTCCAGCAAACAGCTTACTTAAGTATCTCGTATTTTCGCGTGGCAGCAGCCCGGGCACTAACTAGCTGCATAGAGAACAAAATACCAATAAGCGGTAGAAAGCCAACACTCTGTATAGCATGCTATTTTCCGCGTGTGTATACTTCACTATGATCAGAAGGAATGTCCGTGTGTAGCAGCCCCCCCCCTCCCCCCCCATCACTACCCCTTGACAATTGATCCCGCAGAATATCCGCTTGAGAACAACTCGAGTCCCTTACTCGCGGCCACCCTCGTCCCTCCGGCACATGCCATCGTGCAGTGCTTTCAGCCTGCCTCAGTAGGCATTGCCGAGCTCGCATCGATTCTTGTAGGTAACACCGTCGCTTCCGCAGACGGGTTTGTTCTCGTTGGTGCATTTCGTCGGGTTGCACCATCATCTTCGGCGGAGATGCTGACGATCAGAAGCGAGGCAAGTACGACAAAAGTGGCGAGCTTCATGGCTTGAGTCGGATACGTGGGGTGGGTGTTCGGTCTTGGTAAAATAGAAAGTAGCAGGACTAAGCGAACGGCAGTCCTGAAAATCCTAATCATCGGGACAAGGTTTTCAAGCACGCAACATTCACTTCGCATGGATATACGGTAAGGACGCCGCGTCCTATATGTACCACGCGTCCGACGCGTGGTACCTATCCTATCTCAAGATATGACGGACGACTGACGCCATCGGAGATTACATTGCGCTTAGTAGGACTAATCTCATCAATTGATATGAAGTAGGCTTGCTCGTAAATGATGCAACTCCATTAAGCCCAAAGCGATCAAAGTGGCCGGTTGTTAGAGCAACAGTCGTTTTTCACCCAAGATAGAAATTTACCTACGTACTACGAAGCGTCACTTGATGTATTTAAATTACTTTAAAAGCTTTCTGGTAAGAAAATAATATATATTATAGCTAAGCGATTTACGGTCCGTATCCGATGATAAGAGTTTGCTGCACAGCTGTATACGGCAACCCTTGAACTGCAAAGATTGGAGGAACTGGAATGCTGCGCGGATGGAAAGCAGGTGCAAGAGGACAGGAGCTCTGCACTGGTACCAGGGTAATAACCTGGTTTCCGCTATGATTGATTGTTTTGTTGGAGTTGGGGACTTTATGGCTCAGGCCACATAGTACGCACTCTTTTGAATTGAACAGTTGCCTTGAGTCGTGTAGGCGCAACCCAGACACGCTTTGTGGGGCCCTATTAAAATACATGTACGGTATGCCATCTAATCCGCTTGTTTTTACGGCTTCAAGAATCAGCACCAGGGTCAATCATTCCGTAATGCCGTCATCATACGTTGCGTAAAATATATAGCTTTGTTGTAAATATGTCGGATCTTGATAAGTGATAGTTCATAGTGATGACAACTTTCATGTTAAGTTTTGATCACCACTACACCCACGTTACCCATTCAGATCTAGCAGCTACTACGACAACCGTTCGTACTCGATACACTCGGAAGTAATCCCTTTTCTACGTGGTTTTATTCCCCCTTCTCGTAGCGACCTTCACAGTTTGCGTCGAACCTGTGGGGTGTTCTAATCATTGGGAATTGAAGTGAGCAAAAGCGGATAAACTAAGCGGATGATACAGCTTATGATATTTTGCCTGCAGTTATCTGGTAACTCTGAGACTAGGTTCAAGCACCCAAGAATCCCGACATTATTGAATTGTGTCCTTGAACTTTTCAAGTGGTTTTCAAATTTGATACGAACTGAAGAATAAATCCAAGCGATAAACCGTGCAATCGAACTCAGCAGAAAAGTTAGTGTTCAGGGCCTTGGCCACGCCACAATTGTTTTTTACCCGGACACATCCATGTATTTCTTATGCTCCTCTACCCGTTGGAGGCGCCAGAAGGTCTGACGCGAGTTTGGCTAGTGTCTCCATGGTGGAGTAATCTTTGGTTGAAATGTTGTTGTGTGCGACAGCATCAATGGCGCACAAGTTGCCGACGACGTCGCCATTGGGGGCTCGGAGCGGGAACCCGGCGTAGAATTTGAGACCATAGTCATTTACAAGAGGGAATTTCGAGACGCGCATGTCGCGCTGGCAGTTTTTGATCACGAAAGGCTTCTCGGCGTACACGGCATGCATGCACAAGACTTCGTTCCGCGGTAGGTGATGCGCCTCGACGGGGATATTGTAGCGGCCGATAGCGTGGAATTGCTCGTCATCGATCATGGACACGAGACCGATCGGGCATCCGAGGCGCTTCGCTGCTACCTCCGCGATGAGATTTAGCGCGGATCGATCGTATTCTGGCTGTAGCGCACCGCAACTTTTAACAAAGTCGACACGGCGTGCTTCTTTCTGTGCCTCGGGCACGGGCGCTAACGGGATGTCTTCGTTTGAGACCTTGGTCGAGTCGAACTCGTACTTATAGTCTCTCGTATGGTCGTTCACATCGCACGTTCCAGCGTTTACTTTGGCCCGAGATTTTAGGAGCTCTTCGTTTATGTGGCCCTCCACACTCGCCAGGACGCGCTGCACTTGCGATTTCTCCCGTTTTGTCCTGCTTTCCTGGAGATCTTTAGCCTCTTCACTTGTAGTAGATTTTGACGGGGGAGATGAAGAAGCAGAAGTGTTGGCTGAACTTGCCACGAGGTTGCCAAGTATTTCCAAGGCGTGAGTGCGTACCGCTGGGTCTTTGGAGCACAACTGGGCATTCAAGTCGCTATCGTCGGACTCGGGCGGCGCGTCCTCTTCATCCCCGCTAGGTAAGCTCAAGATCGAGCCTTCCGTGGGCAACCACGCGTCCGAAGCAGTCTCAACGATAACGGGGCCCAACGCAGCCAGCAAGTCGTCGTCGTCAAACTTGCAGGAATCCACTCTTGCGACGCATTGCCCACAGCAGCGACTTTTACGAATTTGTCCAATACGCGCCTCCACCTCGTAAACCGCAGAGCAGTCTCCGCACACCATGTGCCCACAAAGCTCGCAGTAGAAGTCACGACGAAAGAAATGGAAGGTCTTGTTGCAGATCAAGCAGCGCTTTTCCAGCAGTGGGTCCGTGTACTTGCTCGGGTAGTGGAAAAACGACTGGAAGCCGAATCGTCGACGGCGAATGATGCGCTCAAAGTTCGACAGCGACTCGGTAAGTGTTCGCATGACGGTTAGTGAGTCTGAATTCATTACAGCCACTCGTCGACGCGCCAACTTCGCTGCTTTGGGGTTAGTCTCCACTTCTGGACCATCGGGTGAGTTAGTAGAAAACGTCGACGGCGATCGATCAGAAGCGTATGCATGTGCGAAAATGGTCGTGCGCTGGCGGTTGCTGCCCCCAGCGCTTGAAGTGAACTGCAAATCGAAGCCAACGCCGATGTGATCGATCTCACCACGCAATGCTGAGCACTCAGCAGTCGTCAAAACCTGGTCGTGGACGTCCTTAGGAACCGTCTTCATCAAATGCAGCGCCCGCTTCTTGCTTGGATATTGGTGCGTGCAGGTCGAGAATACGAGTTTCTGGGTACGACTGTGGCGGGACTGCAGTCGTCGCTGCAAACTGACGCTAGGATTGATTGCTGTCGAGGTGACAGTGATCAATCCTTGCCGAGGCGCCTTATCATCCAGCGGAACACGAGTTTTTCGTTGTGACTCCGCATCAAACGTCATGTGCTGTTCGAAGAGAACTTCGCCCCTCTTGAACTGTTTCCCACAAAGACTCTTCATCGTCGAATCATAGCTGTCCGAGTCTTGATGCAGCAGTACACTCAGGGCCTCGTTCAAGTGACACTTCAGCTCCGTTTTCGCGGCTACGGCGTGTAAAATATCGAGGTCATCTTCTGCGCCGGTTGACGAATAATTCGGCTTGAATTCTGCTAGACGCACGCCGCCCTTCCCGTTGCGGCGCTTCCACCGATCACCAGTCGCGTTGTTGCGCACTGCTGCATGGAGCTTCGGCATCGTGGCGAGCACATCGTCAGCGATCTCCTTGTCCGACAAGACCGTTTTCTGGCAGGAACCACGAGCGCTGCGAACTGTCAGTCCTCTGGCGTCTTCATCAGCGGTAGATCGACTGCCGGAAGTGTCCGAGTGCGCACTTGGCAGGTCCTTCGACTGCGTGTTGCCTTGATCATTCATCGCCGCCAAACGATTCCTAAGCTGCTGCGTGCGGTCTGGAGAGTTTGGAAGTGGTGAGGGCCGTGTGTCCATACGTTAGCTAAATCGCATCTGTTTGGTGCATACACATAAGGCGGTGGAGGATCCCCAGTGTGATTGTGATGCTGCAGCAGGCACACTCGCGTCAACGCGGCGTGCGTGAGTGCTTCCCTCGCGCACTTAAGTACCACTGGGACTCCGAGTCGGAGCGGGGGCTTCACTTTGGACCACCGGCGCCAAATGTCAGTCCTGGGAGCAGACGCAAGAAAGCGCTTGCAGCAGACACTTGCAGCAACACAAGAGTCGTACTGTACACTGTAAAAAGCGCTAGATAACCGGAACGGATCGAGTACTGTACACGTTAGCTGCGCTCAGACTCCTCACAGTAGATTAGTGTGCTCACACTGCGTTTGCCTTTTTGCTCGAAGTAATACGCTGCTGACGGGCAAAAGCGCTGATGTCGGCCGCGAACTTGAGAGTCTCAAGTTATCAAGCCCCAGACCGTCTCAACTTGAGACGGTCTGGGGCTTGATAACCATGGCACAGAATCGGTCGATCACAGCGCGATTTGCCCATTTCGCGACGCTACGTGAAGGGTGAAGCAAGGCCACCTGCGCCCAGAGGACGCCGCGCTCTTGGCTGCCCCTCGAAGGTCTTTCAACAGCGCCAGCATTGACTCGATACGACGTGGGAGCAAGTTGCTCCGAGCAACACGGTGCCTTGCCAACTTGGCGGTGGCAATGCCAAGAGTGAATGTCGTCCGGTTGAAGGCAACTTCAACAAGACGATGCGGAACCTCTCCAACAGCCTGTAACATACCAAAACAAAGGTCGATCATGTAGCACACACCTAATAGCGTTCGCCACATAATTTTCATGTGCAACTTACGTAACCTCAACACGTATCAATCCTCCATGCGGCTCCCTGCTCTGCTGCTGCTCTTCGCGGCCTGCGTGGCCGCCCAGGAGGCCCCTGAGCCTTCTCCCGATGCTGCGTCTGCCCCCGCAGAGGCCTCTGCGCGCCTGGAGCGCTGCGCGATGCTCGGATTCGACGCGGACGCGCTGGACTGTCGACTTTGCGACGATCTGTCGACTTATCTGGGCTCCGTTAAGTCGACAAAGAAGAAACCCAAGCAGAAGGCCGTCGACTTGGTGACGAGCGAGTGTCGCGACTGCTGCTCGGACTTCTCCAAAGTGCTGGAGGCCGAGGGACGCCGCTACGCCAAAGCCGTGCTGGCCGTGAGTCAACATCGACTGAAGCGGTACCCGAAAGTGGCCAACTTTGTGGAGCACCAGGCCGAGAGCACCAAGCGGCTCGAGGTGCAGGAGGCGAACCCCCGACTGCCCATGCTCCAGTTCTTTGATGAGGAAGGGGAGAAGGTCGAGGAGATCAGGTACCGTGGACAATTTTATATTAAATTTATTGTTATAGATAGATTTGGGATGTTGATTTTTTTATTTTTTTGTAGTGTGGCCCATTGGGATGAGGACTCCATTGCTGAGTTTATTGCGAACAAGTTGCTGCCTGAGGAGGAGGTGGAGGAGGGAGATGAGGTTGTTGAGGTGGAGGAAGAGGTTGTGGAGGTGGAAGTCGAGGCGGACAAGCCGTGATGTCAAGAGGTTTGGAGGTGAGAAAAGAGAATTGTGCAGAGAAGATGAGGTGAAATCAAGTGAAAACCTGGACTGTGGCGTTTGGAGGATGCGTATTTTATTTGCCTCTTGTTTTTTTAGGTGCTAATCCTGCATCTCTGGATGCTCGGACCGCTCGGAATCGGTCGAGCTGCGACTTGAGCTAGGTGTTCTGGATAACGGTGGAGGAGGCTGCTGCTGCTGCTGGATACGCGGTGTTTGAGAAGTGAGGTTGATCTGGTAGTGCGGCTTCTTACGCAGGTTACTCGGTCGACAGGGGTGTCGAAGAATGTTCCCGGTCCTTGAGCTTTGAGTGGTGTCACTTTGCAGACCTGGATTCGATGGCGGAGGCTTGCAGGTATCGCTTCCGTCCTCCTCGGTGTCCTCGTGCGAAGCCTCTGGAACTTGCAGGTCGTCTTCGCAATAGACCCGAAGGATGCGCGAGGAAAGTGCTGGCAGCGGGACAAACCGGTGAAAGGCCTGGAGCATGTCGAACTCCTCCTTCGACAGGACCATTTCGCAGTCCGCAGAAGTCAGATCCAGATCATCGTCATCACTGCCTGTCGCCTGGCCGCGGATTTCTCGTGCGCTCCTCGCCGCCATCTCGAACTCAAGTCTTTAGGAGAAAGCGATGTGGCAACGAATCTCCTGATATAACCTGTATGCGATGTACTGATCCTCATGCCGTGTTGCAGCCAAGGATAGCTTTTCGTGACCCGAATCGTGCTTACGGCTCATGGTGCGCAGATTGACGGATGCACTCGACGTAAGCGAACAATTCTGGTAAGCTCATTGTCATGCCTAAGCTGGTTCAACGTGAACGAGAGGATCTTTAATAATGTGTTTGTATTTTTTTATTGTGCAAATTATCTTTAGGCAATTTGAGTCGTGTGGGGAGCACGGAAGAAGCTGCGCTTGGTGTCGAAGGGGAACGGGAGGGTCAGGCTTCCAGGGCCCTTGGCTTCTTGCTCAGTAAGTGCTCGGGTAATCCGCTGCGCTAGCAGCTGCGAAGGATACTCCACCAAGTGATACGAGGCCGTGCAGAGCAACAGGATCAAGCCGAATCGGATGAACAAGCGGTCGTAGTACATGTTGGGGTCTTTGCCGTAGATGTCGCTGAAGAGCACGAAGCTGTGGAGCAGATACACCGAGAAGCTGATCTTGCCCCAGTATCGAAGCACGCTCCACTCGAACATCGCCGAGATGCAAGACGGAAGGAGCATCTCGATCACGATGACCAGCGTCACCGGCACACTAATGAAAGGGAAGCCTCCTTCATCGTGCTCGCGCTGGTGCACCCAGTGGAAAAGCATCGTGGGCTCTGCAGGGTGGCCGGGGGTTGAGTTCCTGCGGAAGCACACACTGAGGATCAACGCGACTGCGGCATACTCGACAGCTCGGATCGCGACCTTGTGCAGTTTGGTGAACTCGAATCCCGTCGCCTTCATCCACATGTCAAGCTTCACATACAGCGCAGCAGCCATGGATCCAGCGAGGAACGTGGGGAAGTGCGGCATGAGTGGCGAGTGGCTCGACCGACGCTCGTGCCAGCCCGCGTAAACGATCCACATGTAGAGCGGAACGAAGGGCACCCACCAGAAGCGTCGCAGGTTGAGCACACCCAGTACGAAGACCGGCAGGCAGAAGTAGTAAGAGATCTCCAGCGGCAGCGTCCAGAAGACGAAGTAGCGGTGCGGGAAGCTGAACGTGAGCACCTTGAACAGGTCGAAGTGGCCGCGCTCCTTGACGAGGAAGTACTTCTTCTGGTCCTCGTACGGGAGTAGCCACACGATAAAGACCACGGTTGCGAAGAGCGGGTACACGCGGAAGAATCGCTTGGAGAAGTAGTCCGCGAGACTGAAGGCCCACTTCCGGTAGCTCGCGTTCTGCGCCAGCATCCGGATGCTCTTTTTCATGAAGAGCATCGTCAGCAGGAACGATGAGAGCACGAAGAAGGTGTCCACAGCGCACGCGCCCAAGTCCAGATCGTGCAGATACTCGCGCGAGTGCTGGCTCACGACCAGAATCGCAGCCAGTCCGCGGACACCGTCGAGAAAGAGGACCTTAGCTGGCGCCGCTGCGGGTTTCGCAGGTTTGGTCATCTTGGAATCGGGATCCACGAGCTGCTGGACGTCCTGTGTGTCCTGGACTGGCAGGGGGATTTCGTCCAGCACCGACGTGCTTTCGTGGTGGGTCCGGCAATTGTATCCACTGGCTTGATCGCACACCCCGTGGCGAAACATGGTTCTTGAACACGTTGCGAGTCCTAAGCGTGTGCTTCAAGGCAAAAATCTAGAGTAGGGGGACGTTGGGGTACCGACAGCTTATCGTAAAATGACTCCTGGGAGGCTTGAGGTGGAGAGCTCTCCGTTACCAACGGGACTGGGAGCTCGTTCATTTTGCTGCGTATCACGCCTCAATCAATGGCTTGCGCGTCCCATTTCCGACGATGCTGAAAATACTGCGGGATGTCTTCGCAAGTAACGGTTTTCGTTGGATCTGTCGGAAGGCGACAAGTCTCACGTGAGTTTGATCAAAGGATGGCTGCATCCTGTCGCTGCCGAGCCGGCAACTAACATGATGGGTTGAGGTTGGCATGAAGAGAAAGTCTCTCTTCCTGCTTTTGCAAGACTGAGCCAAGAAATGTACTCATTGCACCCGCGACTCTGCGAGTGGCAAGCAACTTTCGTTTGAACAGTGGACAGAGTCTATGTTGAGATGGTGCGGTGCTCACTACTTGATCGCATTTCTTGCGTTATTTTCTTGAGTTGTGGTTTCAGTTGAACCCCAGCGGTAATAATGTATGTCAAGAAGAGCGTCATTATCCGATCAGCATGAGCGAACTCAATCTACCCTGCGATACGATAGCTCAGCTTCCTACATGTCGGTTATCTACCAGTATGTCATAGCGACGATGACTGCGCTGTCTATTCACTTGGCAGACTGCGCAGCCTCGAGTGCACGAAGCTCCTGATAGAATCCTGTGTTCGGCTGCGCTTGTGGTCGCACCGCGCGCAGCTTATAGAGCGCATCCGAGAGTGTCAGAGTCTGACGAGAGATCAGGTAAGCGAGTACAATCGTCGCCGACCTCGATCGCCCCATGAAGCAGTGCACCAGCACCTTCCCTCCCGTCTCTAGAGCTCTACAAGTCGACAATGACATTAGTGTTTTGAGAATACCCAGTCACTATTACTCCTAGAGTACTCCATGATTCCACTCACGTGTCTACAAAGCCTAGCGCTTCATCGAAGAAGTCGGAGATTCGAACTGACGGTAGGTCCGCCACCTCCAGTCTCAAGTACGTGAACTCATCAGGAAACCTACAAATTACCGCATAGAGTAAGATGGCTAACTCACGACAACCAGATACAGTACCTCCCTCTAACTCACTGCAGTGGGAGCGTCGTGGAAACGCATAAGATGTGCGTGACCCCCGCCTGCTTGAGCGCGTCCAAGTTGTTGGCAGCGCCATAGGAGCCGATAAACAGCCCGGACACTCCATCCACTGCAACCTGTGGCAGACACACAAGCCCACCACGAAGAAGGTGTTTTAGAGAGTGAAACCTATGATACTAAATGACTTACCTTATCTTACCGGAAGGTTGTCTTTGGTCTCGAACATCTTGGCCATCAACGCCTCGCGCATCTTCCGAAAGCCGGAGTCGCGCTCCTTTTTCTTGGTCGCGGGGCTGGGCTCCGCCGCAACAGAAGACGGCGAGCAAGCGGAGCCACGACGTGGCGCAGACGTCGCGTTAGCCAGCTGACCATCCTGCGACCCAGCAGATGCAGCCGCCGAAGCCTTGCTAGTCGAGATCTCCATGCAATCTTCGTCCTCTGGCTGGGACAGCGCAGTTACTTACAGCGCTCCAGAGGAGCCACCGTGGTTGTCGAATTTAGTGCCGGCACGACCCAAATGCTTGAAGGTGTCGGTCCGAACGAAACCCAAGCACCAAAAGTGGCGGGCTTGTAGATGTACATGTAGATACCTTTGGACAGCGGAGACTGCGGGTTGGATGCAAGAGGGCCATGCGCTTTACTATATTATGTTTATTTACGCCTTCTATCTATCCAACGAACGAGAATCTTTCTCGTTCGAGGGTGATGATTCAAAACGTGCAAAAGGTTGAGAATGTGGGAGTGACGGAGTGTACGACCGAGCGAGCGTGTTCGTTCGGAAGTGGTTTATATGCCTTCGAGCTTGACGGGGACTGCGGCGACCGGGGGCAGTTGGGGCGCCTGCAAGTGCTGGTGCTGCAACTGTTGCTGCTGCTGCGCCTGCAGTTGCTCCTGCTGCTGGCGCTGCGCCGTGAGCAGGTTGTGGTGCATGCGGCAGTAGCCCTGCTTGACCTGGCCGTTCTTGGTGCACTGGCCGTAGCGGCAGCGGCGCGCGCCGCCGTGCATCTTGCACACGCCGCGCCACTGGGCCGACTTCTTGCAGCCCTCGATGCGGCAGCGGCGGCCTCCGCCGTGCAGCACGCAGTGGCCTCCGCCCTGGTCGCTGGTCGTGCAGCCGGGCGTCGTACACCGCCGGCCGCCGCCGTGAGCCTTGCACAGTCCGCGCGAGCGGATGCCCTTGGTGCAGCCCTCGACCTTGCAGATGCGAGTGGCGGTCGTGCGCTTCTTGCGCGGCAGAACGGGAGGCGGCACCATTGCGCCCGCCGCAGCGAGCGGGTCATAAGCGCCAGTCAATCCGACGGCGCCCGAAGTGAGAGGCAGCGTGCCAGGCAACGTCCGGTCCTGTGTGTTCATGGGCGGGAAGATGGGGGCCACCGGCGCGGCACTAAGCGGCGCAGGCGTCTGGCTCATGGTCAGCAGCATGTCTGCGGGGGCGTTGGTCAAGCCCATGGCGGCGCTGTAGAATCCCGGGGTCGGCTGCGTCTGGGCCACCGACGCGCTCATGTCGGTCGAGTTCATTGAGTTCATGGGAGACGCGAAGAGGAGCTGCAGGCCGGGCATCTGCGCGCGAGGCTGGGTCGAATGCTGCTGCTGGTTGTGGTGCTGCTGTGCGTTGACCGGTGTTTGGCCAGGCATCTCCTGCACCAGTTCACGGAGCATCTGCGCATCGAGGGCGAGGTCCTCGTCGTTGGAGCGCGGCATCGGCTCGCTGTGCTGGAGCACGAGCGGGTGCAGCGCCGGCTGCTGCGGAGGCTGCTGGTGCAGGTATCCATTGAGCCCCATCGGTGCGCCGGCGCTGTAGGTCGACGTGGACCATTGCGCGGGCGCCGACGTCGTCTGCGGGTCGCGCGGAGGAAGGAGCTGCTGTGAGTAGTAGCCCGTGGGCGTGGAGAAGCTGCTCGGGTTGCGCGGCGGCGGCAGATTGTCGCCCGGCGCGTTGACATAGTAGTGGTTGGTGTGCTGGTCCAGCGTGAAGCTGGGCAGCGGCTGCGACGTGGTTGTCGTGGCATCCGTCGGGTTGGTCGTGATGCTCGTGGGCGACGACCACTGCTGCTCGTCGGAACGCATTGGGTCCTCGTTCGAAGGCGGGGCTTTGAGCTGCGTGAGGAAGCTTGGGAACTGGAGCTCGGGGGTGTTGTTGCGCTTAGCAGTCGGTACCATCGGGCGTGTGCAGTGAGCTCTGCTTGGTTGTAAGCAGGCTTGCTTATGCCAAGCGAAATCGGAAATGCCGGGATGGTGCAGCCTCAAACCAAAGCCGAGTCGAGCCGAGCCGTGTTTGATTGTCTGCTGTTACGAGCTGGGCGGCTCTTTTATCCTGCGTGGGGGATTTGGACTCGAACTTGGCTAAGAAGAGAGACATCCGGTGGGGGTGCGGGGCGTGTGAGTAGCGAGGGGAACCAGTGGAGATGCTTGAACCGAGACGCCGGATGTCTCGCACTCGCTGGTCTCTGGCCAGGGAAGTTCATTCGGGGAGAAAGACCGAGCAGCCTCGAGCCGCGCCCCGTTTCCAGGAGCCTGCACGTTTTTGGTCGGGGCGAAGAGAGACAGAGGAAGCCCTCGGTGCCGCCGCTTGGCTCACAGCTCTCAGCGTGCGATCGAGCAGCGCAACACAACGCCAACGAGTGCTTGCGCGCGATTACCAGGACGGCGCCTATACATGACGGCATCCTCGCGCCGAGGCGTGCCGAAAGATTAGCCTCTTGTTGGCGATACCCCCAAGCGTGGGGGGACTTTGGTGGTCTTTTCGAGCGCTACCGTATTGTAGACACTTGGGCTCGTATGGGATTTGTGCCCGCGAGTAGCTCTCTTCTTTCGTGCCGATACGCTGCCTTCTGGTCACCATGCTGGTGGCCGGAACTCGTCTGCACAAATGTCACTCGCGTCACGCTGGAACGTTCTCGCGTAACGCGGCACAACGCTGGACGCGTGCAATACAAACGCGCGGGCTCGCTCTAGATTCCGTCTCATTTGAGCTAGCCGAGCAACGTCTTCAACACGTCGCGAGCTCGCCGGCGGCTCCTGGCCAAAAGCTCGCGTAAAAGCGTCCTCGGGCCTTCTGAGAGCAGTAATGGCGGCTTTTGACACGCGGCGCTATGCAGCTCCGGCTGTCGAGCGGTTTGTGGGCCGCCAAGGGCGGACCAACGCAGAGGGTGCTTGCTCCCCCCGAAATGTGACCGAGCTCTTGCACGCCGCAGCGAAACCCCGCCAATAATCACAGCGATAAACACGCGAGAGCTCAAAGAGGCGGACAAGGGGAGATCGGGGCTTGTGTGGCTCCAGGGCGCCTTCAACGTGAGACCCTTGCATAGCCCGCGACAAGTGTCCGTTCAATTGCACGGTCACGGATGTTAAACAACCGGCGCTTGCGGACACCGTCGCCGCCATACAAAAGGCTCAAGCGCCTCTGTGGTCGCACACGTCACAGATCTTCCAGCAGCGGAGGCCCTCCTGTAATGTCCGTCGCTGCGTTGACACAGCGTGACTACGCGGGTGGTGAAATCTATTGCTGTCGCTACGGTATCAGCTATTATAGTGTCGAGCTGTAGACTACACTGGTACAGTGCATTGACTACCGCGTGGGCTGCCCCCGCTCTACGGCGGCGTTGTAGAGTGGTCTCTCCAAACCCTTCAGTTGAGGGCCTCGCGTATCGCTGCCGCTGCCGCGCAAAGGAGACTCACCCCAAGGCAACGCACAGCGGAGCCTACCGGTACACTTCCCCCTGCATAGTCCGACGTGTAGGATGGAGGCGCTTGGTCTTCGTGATGAATCTCGGGGCGCGTTGGCTAATGCGAGGCGCTTGTGGCCCTGCAGGACGCGCGCAAGTCTCTCGACGGGCCCCACTGGAGAAAAGGGCCGCGTTAACTCGGAGTTAGCCATGCGAGCGCCCCGAGCTACTTTCTCTTGCAAACGCGCGCGCAGAGTCGACGGGGGAGGGACCGTCGTCGCGGCATCTTGGACGCCGCGACCGGTTCTTGTCCAGCCTGGAAAAAAGATGAGGAAGAAGAGACCTCGTGCACAAGACTGAGTAAGGCGACGCCGTTGGAGTCGCGCCAAGGCCAAGCCACGTCGCGCGCTACGCAGCTGCGTCAAACCGCGCAGTCGGCGGGCTCGCGTTCTAGTTTGAGATAGTAGGTGCTCGATTTGGCCCTTGCCGATCGGTCAGCCGGCCACGCGCCGTGCTGGGAGGAGGGCACGCAGTAAAGACGTCCGTGAAAGGATATTGGCCTACGTACGGAGATGACAACAGGACGGTGTGTTGAACCTCACCGGCGGCAGCGCGCGCTCTGCACAACACATCCGACATCCGCTTCCTATCCTGGAGGACGAGGGGGAGGCGGCGACGCGGCCCGCTGCACCGCTTGATGATCACAATCGATCCACCGTGATGGTCCGGGCCTCGTTTCTCCGCGACAATTTGTGGCGGTGCGCTGCTTGAAGGCTCCTCTTCACTGAGGGACATCCGCTGAGGCATGACACACCCCATTGTGCAACGCGCTGAGGCCTGGGATCTCGTTGAATTGTCCGCTTCAGATGAGGATCTCGCCACAACTTCAGCACGTCGCCTTGAGCCACAACAACGCGGTGGCAAATTTGCCATCGTCACTTCAACTAGTTGCTTCGTCTTCCATCGCCGAACGTCGGCGCCAATTCGAGGCATTGCTATGGCTCGAACAACCGCAAGAGGAGAGATTCTCCTCGAGAAGATGGGCTTCCGTCGCTGTGAGATCTTGGGGTTGTTGGATCTCTCCACATGGACTCTCGAGCCAGCTGCGCGATGCAGTTGTTCACAACAAGGGACACTTTGATCCAAGAAGAGGGGAACAACAGGCACAAAAAGGAGGCCACGTGTTGAAGCGTGTGGGGAGCGCAGCATCTCGATGGGCCACAGAATTTCCTAAGGTGCTTCGCTCAGGTGTTCGAATTCAAGTCGACTTGACTGAACTGGAATTACTGCACAGCGACGATCATGGCGGTGACAGGCTCGAGCCATCGAGTTGCCAACGCGTCTCAAATCTCTATGCCCGAAGACGGTGCGGTCGGTCTTCAACAGCATGAGATTCACGCTGTCTGAACTGGCATCAAGTCCATTGACATGAGTGCGTCCGGAGTGGAAAGCCGGGTGTAGCGAGAGATGCGAGTGAGGACATCTTTGCACGGCGCTGCGGTCCAAACGGCAGAAACCGCGCTATTTTAGTCCACAGCACCACCATCGATAGTACACGCGCATTTGTGTTTCAAACGCGGCCTCACGAGTGCACATAACACACGCGCACACACTACTACAGACCGTCGGATCGCGACCGGGTCGCCAGTGTACAGTAATCTGCCCGAGTAAGGAACGCCTGATATATATAAAGACGCAGAATATATAAATTGATGTTAAGTTGAGTATACTTTTCCAATGTACTGATTTAGTTATTTCAAAATGAACTGAAGAGCAGCTTTACCTACGAGTCCGGAATGATTCCAACAGTGGCGTATGGTCGAAGCACTAACCTTTGACCAGGCATCCTCGCACCACAACAGCGCTGTCAACTGGTCGACCTCGTAGGGATTATCTAGCCCTTCACCTTGTCGAGGATGCCCACTTTCTCAGACCAAGTGAGGCGGAGACGCTTGGACGGTGTGGACTTCATGGGTGGAGTGGGGGAGGAGGTGGGCTTGTGGGGCGAGGTGCAAAAGCAAAAGTGCGAGTCTACCACTACGGTACATGTAGTTTGAAGTCTAGTAAGATCGCTAAATGCGCGCCATTTTTCAAACGAGGGTGGAGAGCTGATGATTGGCACTGGATTTTTCACCTTAGTACCTCAGTACCTTGCACATCCCCCTATCGCCACATCGACTGGAAAATAATATTAAATATGTGAGGCTATTAGTTGTACACCCGTTCCTTATTCGGGCAGAATTCTGTACCAACTTTGGACCATAAACAACCTTCTTTGGGACAATGACAACCTAAAAAAGACGAGAACAACCAAAAGAGCTGGAAAGTGATCGTCAACAACCACTTTTTCGATCACTAGCAACCTGTCCTTTCTACTGCCCTTTCTCCAGGTTCCTGCGCTAAGCCGGGCGCCTGCGAATGGCCGCTACACAAACTACATGTACATGTACTTGAGCTCAGTATAGCTTTGCCTGGTTCAAATTCAAAATAACTCGCGCGCGTTAAAATGGTCCAGATGCTTCAGAATAACCCGCGCGAGTTAATTTGAATTAAATTACTCGCGCGACATCATAAAGTAAGCTGTATTAATACATGTAGAATAGACTCCGGTTGCGCATGCGTATAGGCAGCTATTAGGAGTTGTTATAATGTGGCGTCATGCGAGGTACGGAGCTGATATGAGGCCAATTATACTGTTTTAAATTGAAATGGTACGTACTAGAGTATACTGTACTGTGAGTTTAGTAAAGGGTAATTATACGTGAGCATTTCGGAGTTCAACCCAAGCACGGTTGCCACAAAGCAATCCGTGTGAACAAATGCACACACTATAGTTTGTCTTAGGATGCCAGGCACCGCAATGTATCACAACATACTCCGATTGTCCCTTACATGTGAGTATATGCCGATTGAGTGAGTAAAACATTTTAGTAAGGTTCGCACCAGTTCCTGCCTCTAAGCCACCGGATAGCCGCTTCCTCTGTTGAGATGGTAGTGGTTGTGTATGGTTACGACGTATTTTTTTATTTTATCTGTGTGGAGCATTTATACAGAACTTGCAGCTCTACTCAGAGATTCGATAATATATAGAGAGTAGTTCGGAAGGTATCACCTCGTATTCTAGCGCCTCGTGCTGAACCACCTAAGCGTCCGTTATACTACTCAGGTAGCGTGGATACCTTGCATGCTAAAGTATATAATGGGTCTTCTGGCATATTTCAAGTGGCAACGTATAACCCTCAAAAATACTCAGGGAAATTTATCAGGCTTAAGAATTTCAGCGAGCCAACCAGCATACTAAGTGCTTAAGTACTTAAGTATTTTGTTTTGGAAATAAGGTATATAGAGTTCACTTACACTAGTAACGAGTATCCATAGCCATAACGCTCACTGCCTCGATGTTAGTGACAATCAGCACAATGGTCCGCATTGGGGTTTCAAACCACGAACCATTTCGCACTGCATACTTTTAAATAAAGGCGTTAGGACTCAACCAACCTCTCTATAACTACTATTCCTAGGCGCGTTGAGGTGCAACTACAACGTCTGAATTTGGAGCAATATGTATGTGTGCACTACGATGCGAAAATTCGCTGGGAATTGTAGCTATATAGTGACCGACGGGTAAATATTAAAGGCGCACACCCTTGCTGTGAGTGGCATTTGAGCTAACTGTAAGTCGTGTGACTTTCCAGTCAAAAACGCTTGCTCAAGTAGTATATCCTACCTCTTCAATACGAGCTTTCCACAAGAACTTCACTAAAACAGACTTGTTAGGCCCCTCATGAACGTTATTGCTCGTCGTGCAGTTACATCGTAGCCGACGTTATAGATCAAATTTGGAATTTGAATTTGTTGGGCGTTAGACGGCTATCTACCACTACCATTACGATGTACTGGTGTAGCCTCACCAACAGTCCACATGCCTCGAGGACGCGAGTCTGCGGTAGTGGTCCACGAAATTATAGTCCACAATCTAACTCGCTAAGAACGATGTCTGTTTGGTTCATTGCTATTTACTTGTGCAGTTAGTTGACTATACTCTCTGTACACCCGATGTCCCTCGTTCTTATTCGATTCCAACACTCTCTGGGGTAATGAGCATTGTTGGTACCATTCTTGCAAGTTTTTACAGGATTGAATGTTGACGGTATTTTACCCAGTCACACAGCTTCGTTGAAATATCTAAGCCCATTTTCTCACTTCACCAACCTGATCGTTTAGCAACTTTCGAGCTTGACGCATGTAGCTGTTATGAATCAAACTAACTCGAGCAGTTTTGAATCCACTGCTCATATTAACTCGCGCGAGTTGTTTTGAATCCACTACTTCATATTAACTCGCGCGAGTTATTTTGAATCCACTAACTCGCGCGAGTTGTTTGAATCCACGACTTCATATTAAATCGCGCGAGTTATTTTGAAGTAGACATTAATCATTCTTAGAGGTCAATAGGCATGTCGGCACGTGGTTGGCACCGTCCTGTTCGCGGCTCAGCTCGCCGCCACCTGTAGACAATGCCTGCGTCCTTTTGGGATACAGCATTGGTTTTGGTGTTGGTGGACCGTGACACGAACTTGCGATATGCGGTGTAATAAACCGCACAGAAAAGCAACCACTTTTGAGTACAGAACCGAGTAGAACAGGATCGGTTCTGTACACAAAAGTGGTTGCTGGTGCCCGTTTGGTGTGGTTGCTGTTGTACAAATCGCAGGTTGTTATCGTACTTTACTCTCGGATCGAAGTCGTGGGGGCAGCTATCAGCTTGGCGCGACGTGGGGCTTGAACGCTCCAGGCTCGAGTCGAGTCGCCCGAACGATTGCGCCAAGTAACCAAGCTCCGAGTAGTTCGAGCTGCACACCGAAGGGCTGGAGAGCTGAAACGTCGATCGTGGTGAATAATGGGGGGGGGGGGCTTCCTTCCACTGCGTGACGCGGACAACGGCAACTACCAAGGTAAGTCCGTTGCGTTCGCGAAAAGCATTCCCGACGATCTCGATGCGCCAGCGCGCTTGACATGAAGGTGCTTCGACTTCGAGTAACGAGGATGGAGCGAGCTTTCGTTATGAAGATGCACATGGGATTCAAACTCCGCAAATACTCTCCTCGAGCCGATTCGAGTCGACTATCGAAACCGAATTGGCCGGGGTGATCATGCGAGCGTATCTGCCAAGAAACCTGCTTGGTTATAATATAGTCCTCAATGTAGCAGACCCCGGCGGGCAGATTCGCTTGCCAGTCCGCCACACGAGATAGATGAAGCAATTGAGAAGTCAGCATATTTATCGGACGTGGCGGCTGCAGTGATTCACTACATGTAACGAGGCTGTACCTGTCGCGGATGCGTGGAATGCCCTGGGGCTAATATTTCCTTAGCCGTTTTGGGTGGGTCACACGCCTTACCTGCGTACGCCATTCATGGCGTCAACTTTTCAACTTTGCGGCGTCAAACACAGGCGAAGCAAGAGACCCGGGGGAGGGGGCTTCAAGATAGTATCCCCACAACTCACTGCCCAAACCGGCTGCTGTGATCTTTTCCACACTCGTCTACCCGCCCATACACAACCTCTGCCCGCCGCGACAGCAAAAGCAGCATCGCTCTCTCGAACTGAGCAGTGCGACCGCTCATCGCATCGCGAACGCTATTTCAACATTGTAGGCTGTTCAGGCCGAAGCGACAGCAAGACACTTTGGTAAGTTTAGATGGAAGACTCTAGCGCTCAATGTCGATGTTATCCTCTTCGGACCTTTCAAGTTGAGCTGCAACAGCACGCGCAGCACGACGAGGTGCTACTGTCGAGGCTCGAAGCTGACGGAGAAGCGATGCTGCGATCACTCGCGCTTGAAAATCTGCAAAGGAACGCTGGCGTCCAGACGACGGGCGTCGCGTATTGACAACCGTGCAGTCAAAAGGCACTCAGGCATTCTGGACTACCGATGGCGAACGCCGTAGGTACACAACTTCAGTTGCCCCCGTAGTAAACCCTGTCTGTCTGGTCTAGTCCTGATGATGAAGGCTATTAGCATATCCATGATATCGATACTTCTTGCTATGAACTGCTCAAATAGCCTAGCGAGCGGAATATATTTATATGGGCGGTCCCTGCAGGGGTTTCACGACCATTCTACGATCAGTGCAACGAAACCATGGGCAGCGCTGCGTCGTCCAGCAGCAATGGTGACGGCGGCAAGCCGCGAGCCGTGATGGTGTGTCATTCTTCCCAGGAATCTTCGTTGAGAGCGCTTCTTACTGCGGCGTGCACCGCAGGAGGCGACAGTATCAACGTCGACAACGTCGTGATCGTCACGGACTCGTACCCGCGCGACCGCCAGCACCGAGCAGAGCTCATCTCTCGAGCGCAAGCAGCTTTCGTAGCCATCGACCCGATGCTCCAGCGCAGCTCCGAGCTTATCGAGACATTGTCGTACCTCAAAGACCAGCGCAAGACTGTCGTCTCCGGCCCACTGACCTTCTTCTCACGACCGTCGGGGGCTATCGGAGCCGTGTGTCTCGCGCTCAGTCAATGGGACCCACTGCTATTCGCCGAGTCTGAGCAGTTTGCGAATTGGGCAGAGAAGTACGAGCTTCTGACGGCGGATGCAGTAGCCGAAGGGAGCAAACCACTCGAGAGTGTTGAAGTCGCGGACGCAACTGACACTCCGTCGTCTCCAAGGATCTTCTTCGCGTACTGCAAAGACGCCGAAGGAGGTGCTGAGCCCATAGTCGACCAGTTTGCTCATAACAACGGCGTTCCTGGCGGGGCATCGCTCTCTGGGGAGGTTATACGCTGCCAACACAGTCTGGAGACCGACCTGGCTGCACTTCGAGCTGCTAACGTCGTAGTCTTCGTCATCACGGAAGCGTGTACAGGCTGTGACGACGGAGCGCTCGCCTTCCGACAGTTATTTGAGCACGCGCTGGCATGGGGCAAGCCGCTGCTCCCCATTAAAGAGCAGCGCGCACCACTCAGCGGCTGGATAGCACTCGCCATGGCGGGACGACTCTGGTACCAAGTCGACGCGACGAACCTCGAGCTTGTGGAAACCCCCTACGCGAACATCCCGGATTGTCCGTGCAAAGTCAAGGACTCTTGCCTAGCCACGGACTTCGTAGTGTGCGCGAACGGACAGCTAGCAACCCCGCAGAGAGCGCTGGAGCGGTCCCAGATCGCGTCGCGTGAGGAAGCGACGATGCGCATCGCCAAAGAGCGCGCTCAGGTGCTTGGACTCAGTGCTGGTACGCTTGAATCGCTATGCAAAAGAGTGGAAGAGCTCGTGAACGGCGACGGCAACAGCTTAGCGGAGTTGCACGACGCTCTGGGGGTTGCCACAGCCCGAGAAGCGGTCGAGAAGGAGGCGACAGACCCACTAGACCAGCCCAAACCTGAAGATCTGCTGCCAGATGAGGAGACCGAAGAGAGTAAGGCGCTGCATCCGCTCTCATCGATCAAGTACGAGGTCACACGCTTGAGTTTCGATCCTCCCCCTGCAGTACTGGACAACGACGGACTGCCGATTGTCGGTCTCCAGCTGGACGCCATGTTCTCGTATCAATGGGGCTCGCAACGCACAGTGCTGGGCATCCACCAGCAAGGCCAGGTGTTCAATCTACGAGCTTGGTTCGACGTGTACGGCCACATGCAGGGCAACGTGAACTCAGCGATGGCTGCGGCCGTAGAGAGTGTGGCGTGTATGGTGGTCTTCCTCACCAAAGCGTACCTGGCATCCGTCAACTGTCGGCTAGAGTTCGCGTACGCTGCTCGGTGCCGAAAGCCCATGATCTTCGCGTTCCTGGAGGACCCAGCAACGCTGGAGCTACCCGCGTGGATCACTGACGTAGCAGGAACCACGCACTTCAACGTGTATCCGAGCTTGATCCGCGAGACTGTCGATCAGCCGAGCCGGGTACTAGCTCTGGATATGAACGCCGATCGGGTCCGCGGTGTACCGATGACTGACGTGCTGTTCGGAGCCATTCGACGTCTGGCAGCTTGGCGCACGAACGCGCCATTGCCGATAGTGTACGACGGCAGTCTCCTTCTGTACGCCACAACCAGCGCGCTTCATCACGCGATAGCTGGAACAGCACCGGGAAGTGAAGGCGGCGATTGCCCGAAGCCCACGTTGTGCACGCGCTGCGGAGCGGCCTTCTCCCCGGGCATTACTGCAAGTCTTGAAGGATGTCGACGTCACACGGCGTACTACGTGGGCGGGTCGTTGATAGCTGGTAGGTGGGTCTGCTGTCAGGAGACTCGAACTGATGGACCTGGATGTTCCCCAGCGCAGCACATGACAGCCGAGCGTAGTTGGACGCAGGACCCTTCCTACGGCACGTACACGTATGAACCCAATCCGTAGTCCATCAACAACATCGCGATTCTAGCTAAGTCTAAACACTTCGGTGATGGCAACTTACTACTCGAAAATCACCGCTTAGCAAAGAAGGTATCAGTCGCGTTAGTGGCTCAATGCTGGGGCTTGTCGTTCTTAGCCCGAGTGCCAGCGGGATCGACGACCCGCGACCTCAAGGTGGCCATCACGAGGCTGCTAACGAGCACTTTCACGGATCTGGGTGCTGGTGATTTCCTGCTGTTCCCTGCCAAGAAGAACGGTCGTTATCTCACGCGAGCTTCAATTGAAGTGCAGGAGTTGGGGAATGGAGAGACGCGGCATCTCCAGAACTTGCTGACACGAGAGCTCGAGCTCGATGGCGGGAGGAAGTTGTCGACTTTTCCTTGACCAAGCGAGGCTGCGTCGATGTCATGGTGGTCACTGCAGTGCGAACTGTCGGCTGTTTTCTGGTTGGAGTCCCGGACGGCATGGTTTACACCACTGTCGACTTCCGACGACCGATGCAAGAGCTTATTGAGGCTATCGCAGCAGCGGCGAAGATCCGAGCTGACGGGCTCCGTCTCTTCCTGGCTGCAGGTCGAGACGGGGAGTGGATGTCGTATTATGGCCAACGCTCGGACGGACGAATCTGCTGAGTGAATTGAGGGATCAAGAGCGTTGGGGGTCCGTCAGTCTAAACAGCATTGATTGGGGCCACCTGAAAACTTTATGCTACTCGGAGTCCTACACACAACAGCACGAACCTGTTTCTGACGCGCTGGTCGCTTCAGTGATGGAGACAATTGGAAATGTTCTCAAGGTGGCAGCGTTTTCAACGGATGGCGGCGGGCTACAGAGGATGATGATCTTCAACGTCCTAGAGCGCGTGTTGCTCCAAGTCGGTTCGTCAATGAAAATCCATTCCAACTATTGCTTTGGATCGAGAATGGTAGGCTTGGAGGCCTACGGCAACGTCGATTTCGTACTCACGGACGGCAGAAACTTCATTTGCGTGGTGCAGCCGAAAGAACTGAGCCGTGGATTTAGCGGCGAGGAAGAAGGTGACGAAGAGGAGATGGAGTTTCGAAGCGAGGAAGAGGCTGCTGCCATGCTGGAGAGACGGAAGATGGAGACCGCGGTGGCTCAGACAGTGATGGCCATGGAGATTGTCAACACGAAGGAGGCCAAGACCGCTGCCGGCATCGTGTCGAACTTGGCCATGCGCTCGAGGGAGACCTGCTTGATGACGACAGACGAGATGGAGGCGGCTGCTGGTGCGAAGTTGCCCATGTCTTCGCAGACGAAGACCCAACCGTAGAGCGTAGAGCTCAGCTCTTGAATGACTCGGTAACGATCACGGATCTCGGGCATGCTCTGTAGGTTGGAGAGGCTTGGGGCAGGCAGCGAAGAGAGGAATGACTGACGACGGCGACCGAGACTGCAATAACTTTGTGGCTCCAGTAAGCAGCCCTCCCCGTCCTTAGATTCACTCGAGTTGTACAATACGAGCAACGGTTTTTCGTGCGTGCGACCTCATGTACCACCATCAGCCACTGCAACCCGAGCTTGTTAAACAGACAGCCCAAGGCCTAAGACCGAAGACTGTTGCTCATGCTTCGGTCCAGCCACACATCACGCCATTTTCGAGACGCGGCGCGATTCGATTTCATCGTCTGTCCTTGGAGACCGGAGCGGGTCACGCCTGTCCTCGCTGTTGTCCATGGTTGGCCGTGGGAAGGAGCACCAGTTCAGCGCAGAGCCTTACTCGTACGCTTGGTACAGTACAGTATGCATCACGGAGCACCAGAGCGTGCTCTCTGACCAGTGAAGGGCGAGTTCAAACTTGTTTTCATTTCATTTGGCGCTGCAGTAATAGTATGTGTAGTGGGCGACGCAACCACAGAGTTAGTGCAGCGCGCTATGGCAACTCACCATTGGCGAGGCAGTGTTGCAGCCCTCGGAAACTATTTGGTAGTTGCCTGAGTTTCGGGCGCGCTGACGTCCGTGGCGGTACCGACTAGCAGCACCACCACAAACTTCCAGATCGGTCGGCTATCCATGCAACAGTGTAGGGTTAGACAGGTCCGTTAGATGGCTGCTGGGCTCATTGGCTTCAAAAGGAAACACCGAACAAGGATTGACCTCAGGCAAACTCCGTCTCTATACGTAGCTCCATGTCGACAAATTATAGCTTCGAAGCAAGTCGATCAAGGAACGCCAGCTCCTCCTCCAAGCTCCCACTAGGATGAACCTTTTCCCACACCTGGAGCACACGCAGCGCTTGGGCGATATCTTTCCTGGCACCAGGTCCCAGCTGCGTCTGCACGACCTTTCCGTCTACACGTCGACAACGGCCTGGGTTGTCCACTCGCTCGTTGTTGTCGCCCTTTGCATACGAATGCGCGAAGTCGAGGAACGTCTTCAGCATCGCTTCCTGCTCCTCTGCCATCTGTTCTTGTGCGTCTTGGCAATCCAAGCTGCGGGTCGCTGTCAAGATGGTCATTGCGGGGGCGATGACGGAGTAGTACTGCGTCATCCACATGAAGCGCTTCAGGCGGTGCTTAGCGCTCGCGTGTTGAACGTCAGCAGTGTCCTTGAGTTCTTGCTGAGCTTCAGGATACGTTGCGATGGCTTCAATAATCAGCGCCACGCGCTTGCCTGCAGGCTTGGGCCACTTGACGTGCACCTTGAGCATCTCCACGATCTCACTAAAGTCCAGAGCAGCTAAGATTTTCTCCCGTCGATCAAGGAACTCGAGCGAGCTTTCAACAATTTCCTGCTCTGTGACGCCGTCGAACTCGTTTTCGGCAGGCGGGCTCAGACTCGAGTGATCGTCAGGTACAACCACCGGCAGCTCGTGCAGGAAAAGTGGCGTGAAGATAGCTGCTGTGGCCTCCACATTCGATATCTCGCAACTCGCCAGCGCAAGTCGACTCTGCTGCAGGTAGTTGAGATAGTGATACGCGCGCGTCTCAATAAGCTCGGTCCATTCGCGGGGAGGATACTTGAATCCGTTGTCTTCAGCCTCCTCGAAGCCTTCTCCCTCGCCCATCTTACCCGCAGTGTCGTTAAACACCAGCTCTAAAAGATCGAACTGCCTCAAGAATCCGAACGCGCGAGCTGGGTCCTTGCCCGAGAGCATCTTGCGCACCTCGATTCCAATCCGTTCGCGGCTGACCTTCCTCCTCATCGCGCCAACGATCTCCCTCTGCTCCAGCACGGCTCTTTTCAACGCCGGATCCAATTCAAAGCCGAACTCGCACGCGAACCTCAGCGCCCGCAGCACCCTCAACGGATCGTCCAGAAACGTCTGCACGGGCTCCTTCGGCGTGCGAATCACGCCCGCCTTCAAGTCTTCAACGCCCTTCCCCGTGAAATCCTCAACCTCTCGCGTGTGCAGGTTGTAGAACAGCGCGTTGATCGTCAAGTCTCTTCGACTCGCATCATCCTCGGGCGTGGCGAACCTGACGTCGGGCACGCGACTGTCCTGCGTGTACTCCTCCGCGCGGAGGTGCACCAAGTCCACGGTGCTGCTCTCGATCGTCACGGTGGCCACCTCCAGGTGCTTAGACTTGTCCGAATTGGCTTTGACGACCCCCACGGAGCTCGGCGGCAGGTTGCGGTCCCGCTGGAATTTCGTGATGTACCGGGCGAACTTGGCGCCCATCATGTTGTCCAGCGCAATGTCAATGTCCTCGCTCTGAGCGCCACGCAGCTTGTCGCGCACCCAGCCTCCAGCCACGCGCAACCGCGTCGACGGCGTGTACAGCGTCTGGATGTACTCGAGGAAGGAGAAGAGCGAGTCCTCGGCGGCAGTGAGTTGGATCGCGTTTGGCGACAGAACTTTTGATCCGCTGAGCGGTGCATCGCTGTCCTTGGGTACAGACGTAGAGGAGACGCTGGCAATGCTGCTGCCAGGCGGGCAGCGGCTCAAGTGCGCGTGGAGACGCACACGGCGAGTGAGAAGCGACCGCATGGCGGTCGCCGGCAACGCCACAATTGGGGCGAGCTGTGTGTGGTGCACATGAGACATCGTGCGGAAAAGATTGCAGCATGGATTAGCACTGTGTGTGTCGGAAGTAAGTGTACATGTTATGTGAATACCTCAAAAGTGAAGACCGTACTGCACGACGCGCACCAAAACCGTCTTGCTGGTCGTAGAGCGGCCAGAGCTTCTCGCTGTGCGGCTGGACGAGCAGCGAGCTGTCGGAATCGTCCGCCGTCGCTTGGCCAAGTCTGCAATTTGCGCCCGCTGCGCCCTTTTCGTGGTCCAGTGGAAATTTTGGGCCTTCCCATAGACTCGTCAGCTCTCGAAGCAGCGATCATCCTGCGATCGGCCTCGGAACCCCGTGGAGACCATGACGGAGGGGATTGTATGCTGGAGACAGCATTGTTGGCATCACGGGACAATGGATTTTGGGCAAAACGGAGACTCGTAAACGGCAAAGCTGCACACTTGCAGCTCTCATTACATGTATCTTGCTGCAGTGTTTATTGGCTCGTCGGCGCCACTTGTTTCGCGTGTTTCCTGCGGGCCATATGGGTTCTATTCCGCGCCCATTTCTGAAATGGGTCATTTTAGCGTTCTGCACCGAAACAGCTCCGACCAGGAAGACCAGGAAGTGCTTGAGATTGCTTGATGGGGGCGGTCCAGACTTCATGCCAGATAAGTCAAAGCATCTCAGATACACCGCAGTGCAGCCCTGTTGGGGTGACCTCAATGGGTTGAGCGAGACGGGTTTTGCTGCAAATGCTGAGGTCACGAGACGGAAACAAAAGCGTCAGGTTGGTGCTGGATAGCGTGGGGTCCCTCCATCTCCAGTAGCTTAATACTTATGCCAAACGTAAGAAGCCCCAGGAGCAAAACACTGCAAAGCGTATTAGACCACACTGGCAAGGCTTCGCTACTATTGCCGGGACTGACTGGCAATGGACCTACAGCTTTAGAAGTAGGTATGAACAACGTCGCCGCGATGGCAGGCTAATACAGTACAGCACGTCCTGCTGCCAACGCATCGTGCCTAGCGCAACGCAGCTCACCCAGTTCTACTGTAATAAGCTGCCTGCCGGTTCAGCAGAAGTGGACAAGTCATCGCTCCTTCAACGAACTCGGGGATTCCGCGGTGCGTTCCGTTTCCTACAGCCACGTGCGCCCATTTCAGCGTCTGCAGCGTCTCCATTTTGCTGTGAATTGGGCTCCCTCCGGCCATCTGCGCTGCCAGAAGTTCGATGGACGAGACGTTAGAGTCGGAACAAACGCGCTGAACAACTTGCCTTTTTCGATGGCTACACGAAACGCTATCCGGGGGGAACCAAATCTCACAGCTCATAGCACTAGTCTCTACTACCAACACACAACCTGTACACAATATGCATTCTCAGGACCGCAATTTGTCCCCACACGAAAGTCCTGGCCAGAGCCGCGGCCAGCCCATCAAATAGTCGATCTCACGGACGCAGCAGGGCCGAGCCCAGGTGTACAGTAGAGGTGCTGCCTCCCCATGAGGGACGCGTCTTATCCTCCGCCATGCTCCGTGTGCTCCAGACAGAGACTTTAGGACTGAAGCCCCGGCATGCCGCTCCGACGGACCATGCGGGCGCTCTTCCTGGGCGCGGCGCTGGCCGTCACTGCGGGCTGCGAGGCCGCGGCGCTCACGGACAGTCGTGGACTGAAATTCGTGTCGCAGGACGCCTTCTGCGCCTACCACTGCAGCGCGGCGCACGTGGCGCAGGCCTACCGCCACCTGAGCGAGACGTCCGAGTGTCTAGAGAGCAACTGCGGCCGGTTCCTCGAGGAGGAGAATCACCACTATTCTAATTCTAATACCAAGAGCAGGAGCAGGACGAGGCGGAGACTGCGACCAGCTTTCAGCTTCAGCGACAGCAACGCCACCAACCAGTCGGCGGTGGTGGGCGACGTCCACGCAGCGAGCGAGGACGACAAGGACGTGACAATCATCAGCGTCGTGTCCTGCGCCAGCGTGACAGATGTGACGCTGAGCATCGGCGACCCGGAGACGGACGCGTTCGCCAACTTCTACCAGGCCTTCTCCACGGCCTACGACGCCATGCTGTCGGGAAGTAACGCGACGTACGATGCGTGTCAGCTGCAGTTCCTGCAGAAGGAGCTGCTGGCCAATTACTCGACGGGCGTGGACGACGACGACACGGACGTGATGGAGATCAAGCCCACGCTGATCAAGTTGAACGCCACGAGTGACGAGCTCAAGTGTTTGAAGGAGATCAAGGAGATCTGGCCCGCGTCGAGCGAGAGCCACACCCCGTTCTTAACTAGAAGCGACCAGGACGACGCAGCGGCGACGGTCATGCTGGTGCACGTGAATGCAGGGGTGGGGGACAACATCCTGGCGCTCGAGTGCGTGGAGAGCGTGACCGTGCTGCCGGCCATCCTGAAGCTCATGCCGTTCGCCAAGAGTTCGTACGCGTTTTCCAAGTCCAAGAAGGCCAAGGAGGGACCGGCGCTGGAGATCAGGCTGGCCAAGGTGGTGGACACGGCCGCGACGCTCAAGAAGCTTTCGGCTCGAGTTACCAAGGCGACGGGCATTAAGAACCTGCTGACGAAGAAGAGCTCGACGGCGGAGACGGGAGGCGTGCTGATCCAGGCGGCAGTGGACGACTACGATACGTGGACGCAGGCGCTGGCCATTGTGCTGGACGATGAAGCTGTCGAGTGGGTGGATCTGCAGCAGGTCGTGACGACGGGATCGCTTCAGGCGCTGAAGACGCCCGCACTGGAGCAGCGCATGCTCCGCCAGCGGTTTATCGAGGAGAGGGAGATGAAGATGGAGCACACGAGTCGACGACTGGACGACTACGCGCAGGACCTGGTCGGCGTTAACATCATGCAGAAGCACAACATCACCGGCAGCTCCATTATTGTCGGTATCACGGACACAGGCCTGTATATCGACCACGACCAGTTCGACCAGGAATCGCGGAATATGTACGACGACGAGGACCTGACGGCGCGCAAGGTCATTTACTACCAGACTTTCGCTAACAACGTGGACGAGGCTGAGGGTGTGACGTGTGGCCACGGCACACACGTGTCGGGCATCCTGGCAGGCAGCTCGTACAGCAAGAAGAACAGCGATCTGGGCATCGCGTCCAGCGCGCGCATTGCGTTCATGGACATTGGCAAGCAGGAGTCGACGTGCGCGGGCACAAGCGGATGCGATGTGTCGCTGGAGACGCCCGGCGAGGTCACGAACCTCATGAAAGCGCAGGTGACTACAGGCGCCAAGATCTTCTCCTTCTCGTGGGGCACGGGAGCCAACGACTACAATACGCAGACGCAACAGGTGGACGAGTTCATCTACGACAACCCGGACATTCTCATCGTCGTGGCAGCGGGAAACAGCGGCGAGAGTGGTGACTACACGATCAGCAGTCCGTCAGGAGCCAAGAACGTCATCTCAGTCGGCGCCAGTCTGAACGCCGCGGCTTCATTCTCCTCGACTCCATGCCAGTCGGTGCTGAATGAGAACACGGTGGCCTCGTTCTCCTCCATTGGACCGACGCTCGACGGACGACAGAAGCCCGACATCGTAGCCCCCGGCATGTCCATCACCTCTTCGCAGTCCGAGAAGCCTGGATCGACCACCAAGTCGTCCGCGGTCTGCTCGCTGCAGGGAACTTCCCAGGCTACCCCCGTGGTGGCCGGTATGGCTGTGCTGATCTACGAGTGGCTGCGTGACGGCTGGTGGAAGAACGGCGTGCCGGACCCCACGTACGGCATGGATACGATCCCGGCGTCTCTGATTAAGGCACTTCTTCTACACAGTGGCGAGGCGATGTCTCGCCGTCTGATCGAGCCCAGCACTGGCGTTACGTCCTGCGTGGCGCTGGAGACTGCTGCTAAGACGCTGAACTCGTACCCCGACTTCAACCAGGGCTACGGCAAGCCGACGATGCTCAACTTGGTGTCGTTCATGGACGACAACAACTCTTCCTCCGCTTCTTCGACGAGCAGCAACACGATTTACTTCTTCCCGAACTCTTCGGCTGGCTCGGAGCCGAGCGTGACCGAGGGCAGCGAGGTGACGTTCCACTTCATGCTGACCGCCAGCGTCAACCTCCGCGTGACGATCGCGTGGACGGACCCTCCCGGATCCGTCGGCAGCAAGGCCACTCTCCAGAACGACTTGGATTTGATGCTGAAGGTGGCGAACACCAGCGCCATCTTCTACCCGCTGAGTGGCAACGGCTCGCGCGACGCCGTGAACAACGTGGAAATGGTGGAGGTCTCGTACGACGACGTGCTGGACGCGGTGACGGAAGCCGGCATGGTCGTAGAGGACGGGTACATCTACGTGCAGGCTGTGGTTCGAGGCCACAGTGTCAAGGCAGGAGAGAATGCCACCACAACCGGCCAGAAATTCTCCATCGTGGCCTCGTCGACGCCGTCTTCAACCTCGCTGTCTTCAGGTGCCAACGGCGACGAGGAGTTCTGGCAGCCGTGGATGACCATCGGAGCCATCGTCATCTGTACGCTGTTGATGCTCTTCGTGATCGCGCTGATCTGGCGCATGCGCGTGACCAAGAAGGCCGAGAACCTCAAGGCGGATCACAGCACTCCGTCCGCTGCTGCTGCGCTCACTGGCGCTGCCGGCAAGAGGACATTGAGCCGCCGTGAACGCAACAAGAAGGCACTGGAGGAGAGCCAGCAGCACATCCATCCCAACTACCGCAACGTGGACGCTGGAGGCAGCCATCGACCGGCTATCGAGCACACACTGCAAGAACCTGTCAGTCGGCGTGGAGCTGGAGCTGGAGGCTTCAACCCGGCAGCTGCCGCTGCGAGAGAACCCAGTCGACGTGGTGCAGCCCCGCTGGAGCCTCCGCACCCTCCGTCCGTGCGTAAGACCAGCCGTCGCGCCGCTGCCGCCTTGCAACAACCCGTTCCTGGTAGTCGCCGGCGGGATCGGGAGCGCGGAGACGGTCGAGAACGCAAACGCAGCGACGGCAACGACCGGGAGCGCAAACGTAGCGACGGCAGCGATCGGGAGCGGAAGCGCTCCGAGCGGAGATGGGAGCGTGAGCGCAGCGACCGTGCTGAACGGCCCGACCGACCCAACAGCGATCGAGGTCGCCAGCGAGAGCGCAGCGCGAGGAAGAACGAGCCTGCCAAAGCACATTCGACGCGGCGCAGCAAGCCGCCCATCGTGCTCTACGAGTGAAGATGTGCATCTCAATGTTAAGAAAACGTGTAGCAGTCTGCCGTCTCGACCCTCAACCACCAAAGATCGGCGCGTGATACCACCGATAGCTTAGCTCAGTGAATTATGGTTAAACATGTCAAGTTTTGTTCAACTCCTTCAACGACTTAATTTTGATTGACAGGTGTGGACCAAGGCTCAGGTCAACTGTGTGGTTCAAGGTTTCGGGCAACACGCGCCTTTGACCGATGGCGTCGATTGCATGTGCGACCTCCGAGAGGCGATTGTTGCCAAGTATCTGACCCGCGCGGTTCGAGATCGTGTGAAGTTGTATGCGTCTCCAGAAGCGCAGAAGTTAACTCAGCCTCTTCACCTCGAAAGCAAAGTGGACGGACTTGGATTGGAACCCGGGGGATGCCACGGCTGAACCAGATTCCTCCGTTTTCCGTGATCACGCATGGACTGAGACTCGAAACACCGCGTATTGAGCGCAAACAACTGCTCGACAGAGTGAGCACGAGCTTGTTGCGATTTCCAAGCGGTTCGTGCTCTTTGCAGCGCCTACAGGGTCCGGGAAGACGTCGCTGCTTCTGCTGTTCGCTCACAACCACAAGGAGCTGAATTGCGCGTACGTCCCGTTGATAGCGGAAGGGAGTCCGGCGAATGAAGTGCTGAAAGACCAGGTCGGCTTGGATGTCTTCGGACGGCAGTGCGACCTCTCCAAAGACGAGCAGCACGTTACAATGATCGACGACGCTGAGACTAAATACGAGGACAGGGCGTTCTGGAAGGCTCTGATCACGGACGCTCCGTCGTGACTGCCCAGCAACACCCGCTTCATCATCGCTGCAGACCACGCACTGGACGGAGGTGTGGAGAGTCCCATTGAGTTCCAGTCGCTCAGGACCTTCGGGAGGACGGATTTCCTGTTACGTGACAAAGCCTACGAGTTCTTGGCGCTACCGTTCGTTGGGTTCCCCGAGGAAATGAAGTGCAGCACAGACAAACTCACCCAGCTCTTGGTCCGTGATTGCGGAGGCCTCATCGGCGCCTTGCGACTCGCAAGTTGCGAGTCGCCCTCACTTGGTTCACGGTTATGTTGACCAAAACCCCTCTGTATGCTCCGAGTCGGACTTGATGGCACATTTCCTGTCGTACCCGTGCCTGGAGAGCAAGAAAAGGTGCTTCGGTAGACCTGCAAAGCCTGTCAGTAAGAAGTTCCACCGGTCCCTGACCAAGTGCCTCGCTGCAGCCGCGAAGGCGGTGCCGCTGGACTCGACGCGCGTCCAGGCCAGCGAGGAGAACGTCGTGCAGTTTTCGTCGCCGGTGGCCGAAAGATATTATTTCGACTGGATTAAACCGAGCTTTGCGTACCATGATCCAGAATCGCTGCGTGAACTTATCAAGTTGGCGTTAGGCAGCTTTTCGGCGTCTGGTCTACGTTCGAGCGTTGATCAGAGTTGCTTTCCAGCAGCAGCTCATGAACTCTATCGCCGTGAACACCTCCCACAGCTGCTTGATCTGTCCAGAGCTGCCGCGCGTGTTCCCTGCGTCATCTTCCGACGAAGCGAGCGTGGTGCTATGGGCTTCTTCGTGAGCGCGAAGAGAAAAAAGTGGGGGCTGGAGGTTTTCGTGGATGATGAGAACGCTCGATACTATACGGCGCAATTTGCCCTCGGTGGACGCTATGCCGCGCTTGAAGTGGACGACTACGCGGTTGTTGATGTACGCGGCAATGCTAATAGAACCGTTCCTAATGGTACTGCTCTGAAAGAGAAGTTGATAACGGTGTTTTTCAAGCTTGGAGATTTTTCGAGGTGCCAGTGCGTATTTGGAATGGATAAGGACCGGTGCGATATCAATTTGAGTTGAGTCAGCTGCTGGTTGTTGCCATGCCAGAGCAATCAACGATGCGCGAGCCGATTCTGCTGTTGGGGCGGCCGCAACCTATTGAGGCGCGATATTGGAGAAGACGTTTTTGCTTTTTATTAAAATGTCATGACTCTTTCAAGCATTATATTCTACATGTATCAGCGACGTTCAAAATGGTTTTGAACGTTGGGTGCCAGCATGACACGGACGAATACGTATCATGCACCATGAACATTGTTCAACTCACAGGCCGTTCGTTGTTTTCCTCAGAAACTATATGGTCGGTGAGTCCAGCCATTTTATTGACCGGTGCCGGGATAAGCGTACATTGTGTTTCAGCTTTACCGGGCCGATCTGACAACTGTCAAGATGGGCTAAGCCTCGGCGAGCTCCATTTCATAATATTGCTCGAACAGGAAGTAGGTCAAACCTTGCTAATATTGCGAGGCCGTGGCGTCATTTCGTACTTGAAGGATATCTCAGCAACCAAATTACGAGTTGTAGCAGCAGCAGCACTAAATGAAAGGAAACGTGGCGCGTGAAGCTTGCAGAGTATGAGCACCGTAGCGTTCTATACTGGCCACTTTGCAGATTGGCAAGACTGGTCCTGAACAGTGGAGATAGGCCCATCCTTTCCGGAGGAGACGTAGCAGGACAGGCGCAGCCAACGCGAAATCAAATCTTACCTCGACTCGAAAACGCTTGATCTTTTGCTGGACCGAAATGTGAGCAACGCAATCTGAGGCCGAAGTTGTTACAAAGTGCGGCTCGAGCTCCAATGACAGCCACAAGGCCCGAGTCAAACGGAAAACATGTCGCGCGATACCGTTGGTCGTATTGCACAACTAAGATGAGAGGAGTCTGGCCACTGTGCGTTCGGCTCATTAAAAACCGCAATAACCCTTGCAGTCTCCGTCGTCAGTCATTCCTCTCTTCGCTGCCTGCCCCAAGCCTCTCCAACCTACAGAGCATGCCCGAGATCCGTGATCGTTACCGAGTCATTCAAGAGCTGAGCTCTACGCTCTACGGTTGGGTCTTCGTCTGCGAAGACATGGGCAACTTCGCACCAGCAGCCGCCTCCATCTCGTCCGTCGTCATCAAGCAGGTCTCCCTCGAGCGCATGGCCAACATCAGTCTGGCTAACCCGACCGACGACCGTCTCCCTGACAACCCCATCGTCGAGAAAGAGGTGGGCGACCTCGTTCGCTCTGCTGGTGGTCACCCCAACCTCGTGCAGTATCAAGACTCGTTCGTGGAGCTCCAGACGCTCTTCCTCGTGATGGAACACTGTGCTGATGGCGACTTGCACGGCTACCTCAGTAGTCGTCCACAGCCCCGAATGAGCTGCGTGAGTGCTCTGAGTGTGCTGTCACAAGTCGCATCGGGGCTGGCGTTCTTGCACGGACTCGGCATCGCCCACCGAGACATTTCTCTCGAGAATATCATGCTCCATCACGGACGCTGCAAGCTTGGAGACTTTGGTCTGGCTACGCGGTCTCGACAAGCTGGCGGTCAACTGGTAGGAAAGAACTACTACATGGCTCCTGAGATCGTCGCGGGCGGCGTGTACGACTCCAAGAGAGCGGATGTCTGGTCCCTCGGGATCGTCTTCTTCGTTTTGGTCACAGGATCTCCGCTTGTACCAATGGCTTCCACGTCGGTGAAGTCGTTTCGAGTGATTAAACGGACGGGGGTCATCCCGGTGCTGCGGTCATGGGGGATGGAGGCCTCGATGCCAACGAGCGCGCTTCAATTGCTGTCGGGGATGCTGGAAATCGATCCACGGAAGCGCCTGACCATAGCACAAGTTCTGGAACATGAGGCGTTGACTCGGTACCTGGGAGTATAGGTAGTGAACGAGGTAGGTGGCGGTGGCTGCTTGCACTGGAACAGCGGGATTGCAGTTTCTTCACAATTTACGTATAAGTATATTACATTTTAACACATAAATATGAAATTTGAGTTGTAGTGTAACTAACGCAACCAACAGGATCGGTAGTTTAGTCACGATCAACTGTTTTCCATGCTCGCTTTAGTAAGATTTGGATTCCTTACAGACCCATCCAGTCTCTGAGGCAGCTCTTCCAGCCGCATTTCAAATCCCCCTTTTTGGGTCACGCAAAGATCAGCTCAAAGATGGGGATACACGGTAAGTATTCACGCAAGCATCATTCGGTCGAGATTTCTCGCCCAAGTCTGCTGCCATTCCACATCTCTCCTCTGTAGACCAAGACCCACCCAGTCCGCGTTTGCCGATGAACTTCCGCGCGCTCTTCCTATCTACTGTCGCTGTCGGAATCGCCACCGCGGACGCTGCTTCCATCGCATACGACAAAGTTGCGCCGATAGCTCAACCCGAGGCTGTCACGATCTCCGAGAAGGCTGGCGTCAAGTTTAAGCCCCAACTCTTCGTGGACGGAGGCTGCACTTCGTTCCCCGCCGTGAACGCTGCCGGTGAGACGAGTAGTTGACTGCCACGAGACGGAGGGAATTATGGCTGCGTTAAGGCTCCTCTAGGCTCGCAGGTCTACGGACGGGCCACCTGGTACAAGGACGTCTGGGCCATCATGTACGCGTGGTACTATCCGAAAAGCTTCTTTGCGAGTATTGGTACGGGGACCCACGACTGGCAGAATGCGGTAGTGTGGATCGACAACCCGGCGGTAGCTTCCCCCAAGATCCTCGCTCTGTCGACGTCGAAGAAGTCCGAGACCGATTACATGAAGCCGACCATTACGACCGAGACGTTCAATTCAGCCTCCAACTATGATAAAGCTAAGGCTCCGATCCAGAACGTCAACGGCACCAGCGTCAAGCTGGTGAGCACGAGCATTCTCGGGCCGATGTTCTTGAGATCAACACCGGAAGCAGGTGAGTTTCAAGACCTTATCATGTGGAACCAACTCCCCGAAGAAGCACGAGCGGCTCTCTCTGGGAAAGATATCGGCGACGTGCCATTCAGCGACGCTAATTTCCAGAAGAAGCTCGGAGAAGCCTGGCCGTTTTAAAGGAGATGGAGTAAGAGGCATCTATCACTTAGGTCAGAACAAAACAATAACTTGGTTGAGATTTTTCTTAAAATTATTCTGACAGTTGTGGACTTTCGGTAGAGTTTCCCCTCAATCACCATTTCGAAAGAGGAGCCACTTACAATGCGGCGGCACGTGTGGTTTAAGCTTCCGAACTGGCCTGTCGAGTTCGCTCCTATGGCGGATGGACTCGATCGTGTTAGCGATCTCCGGGACCGATTCTTCTTCCTCTATGGTACGCCCGGGGGGCAAGATCAAGTGAAGTTTTACGCATCTCTAGCGGAGCAACGCGCCAATCAGCCGCTCGACCTCGAAGCAAAAGTGGATGGACTCGGGGTGGAGGTAGAGCTCCCGATTCTCGTGGATGCGCCGGCCATGTATAATCGATTTTTCGCCTGCATGTGGGGTCTCGAGCGCACTCAGCTGGTGAACAAGCTCTCCAATACTCTGTTGCATGATGGACAGCGATTTGTGCTCCTCTCAGCTCCACACGCATCTGGAAAAATGTCAATATTCACGCTATTTGCCCACCGCCACCCTGAGCTGAACCGTAATACGGACATCATGCTCTTCAGGGGCTCATCGCCAAATGACGCGATGCTGCGAGCCGGGCTGGATATCTGTGGGCGGCAGTCCTCCCTCTCTGAAGACCAACAACACGTGATCCTGATCCGCGACGCCCAACGAAACTACGACGACAAGGCGTTCTGGAAGGCTCTGATCACAGACGCTCCGTCGTGGCTGCCCAGCAACATCCGCTTCATCATCTCCGCGTCTTACACCCTCGAGCCTGGAGTGGAGAGCCCCATCGAATTCCAGTCGATCTCGACGCTTGGAAGGACCGATTTCCTGCTGAGCGACGAGGAATCACGCGCATTCTTGGAATTACCAGCGCTTGGGCTGCCCGAGAAGATGATGGACGGCAAAGACGAGCTGGCCCAGCTCTTGGTTCGTGAATGCGGCGGGCTCATTGGCGCCTTGCGGGTTGCCGTTACTTCCTTGAGCATTGCGTTCCGGGAAAACCCCAAACCTTCTGAATCCGAGTTGATAGCATACTTTCTGTCGTACAATTACCAAGACTCTCTGGATAGGTGCTTTTGCAGGCCGGCCAAGCCTACCAGTACGGAGTTCTCCGAGTTTTTGACCAAGTGCCTCGCCCTGTCGCCGGACGCGGTGCCATTGGACGCGAAGCTTGCTGAGGACAACAGAGACTGTTTCGTGTTGCTGCAGCAAACTGGGGTCCTCGTCCGGGAAAGCGAGCAACTGGTGAGATTCTCGTCGCCAATGGCAGAGCGATTTTACTACAGGCGACTCGTACCGGGATGTGCTCGTGATCACCCAAAATCTCTGCGTGAACTCGTCACAAAAGTTTTGGGATTCTTGTCGGCGTCTGTGTTACGTGCGAGTGCTGATGGTGGCAGTGGGTTTCCTGACGAAGTTACCTTTCGACAGCAGCTTATGAGAGCCTGTACCACGAATATTGGTTCCGAATACTCGGTCTGTCCGGAGCTGCCGCGCATATTTCGTACGGCAGCGAATTATCAAGATGAGCGTGGGGGTATCGTTCGTTTCGTGAATGCGACTCAGAAGTGGGGGTTGGAGTTTTTCGTGAATGACAGGATTATTCAAGATTATTCGTCTCAATTCGCCCCGGGTGGTGTGTTTGCCGCTCTCCAAGTGGATGACTACGCGGTTGTTGATCTTCGTGGCAACAGAACTGGAACTGTACCCGAGGATGTTGTTCTGGGGGAGAAGCTGATTACGGTGTTCTTTCAGATGGGAGATTTCTCGAGATGCCAGGTCGTTTTTGGCAGCGATGGAGCTCGATGCGATATCAATTTGAGGTTTTGAGGTGTTGTCGCCTAGGACAGCACCTGTGGGGTTGGCTTTGATGCGACAGTTTGGCACTTCTCGTGGTCAGCGTCGTGCTGCTGACATACACGTTGGAAGGAAAGCTTCAAAGTTTTTTATTTTAATTAAATAGTGAGTGAGATGAACGATCCATACGTCTAGTTTGCAATATTTTCTAATTTCGCAGTGCCGAGCTATTTATTTTTTCTTAAACGAAAATAAATACTTCGAAATATAAAAACCCGTCCCCGCACCGTTCTTAAGAAATGGGTTGGGTCAGATATTTTCGCTTTCCTTTCAACATAGTTGATGGCAGAGGTGAGCTATGTTTAGTGAGATCGTACTGTACAAGAAGAACGCACTGACACGATTTTGTCTGGTATGTCAATTGGGCAATGCTCTACAAGAAATTGTTAATAAGTAAATCTGCAAGGTATCTTAAAAAATGCAGCAGAGTAGGGAAAATATTGTACAATGATACCAATCGTAAGATAAAACAAAGTGACACCAGAAAAAATGAGAGCAGAAACTCTTCCGTTCACGTTAGTTAAGCTTAAATCACCAACCTCCGTTCTTCTCCCTTTTCCATCTAGATCAGTCCACCCACCAACGAGTTCATCATCGCCGTCTCCACCTTGTCGCTCTTCGAGCCAACCAGCAACATCTTATGACGAGCAGGTCATCCCGCTCCTCGATGCCAAAGTCCGTGTGCATTAGCATGGCCAGCGGGTCAATGTCCCCCATCGTCATGCCGTCCACCGCCGCGAGTGTCCTCGGGCACGGCGGCGACGGGATCAATAACCCCACGGGGACTTGGGGCACCTGGTCCACGTTATGACGCACCCCTCTCCTAGGTGGTCGTGGGCTTTCCTAAAGTTCGTCCGAGAGAGCGTCCAGTACACAGCGGGGTTAGGAACAGCAGCTTGTTCAAGCCCGAGGCAAAATCGTTATAACACGCGATGCTCTTGGCGTCAGATCCACCGCGATCTTGTCGAGTTGCTCCTCCAGGGGGCCTGTAGCGTCCCCCATCTGAGCCGCGGCGTGTTCTGCGAGCACCCCCATCTCCCGCTGATGGGCGGCGAACACTTCTTCGCACGTGACGAGTCCCCGAAGGGCCAAGGCTTCGCGCTGGTGACGCTCGTGTTTGATGTTCTTGTCGTCCATGTGGGAGCCCTTGACGATGGTGGGGACCACGGGGGTTAGCCACGGGGGCGAGGGCCGGGTAGCTGCGCTGGTAGCTCATGGCTAGTGGGGAGGTTGTTGCAGAACGGAGCGAATTGATGAATGGACACGGAAAAACATCCAGGGTCGAATGCTTCTGGGGTACATGTTGAAGAGGTCTCAGCGCTCGGAAACTTAGTCAGTTAGAATTAGATCTCGCAGGTTTACCTGTGCAATATAATTAATAAAGACAAAGTTGCTGAGTACAAGACGCTGAAGTTAGATGTGGACACAGAATGGCGACCAAAATGTCGATGCCTTCGCCAGCGCTCGCTCTTTCTGTGTTTATCAGTGACAGCGAGACTAGTGGCTTTGGTTGCGGTGATCGGTTTTTTTTATCTCTAAGAGCTCATCGAGCTTCGCTTTCTCGTCCTTCATCTTTGTTTCGTCTCGTTGGAGTTCTCACTCAGGAAGGGGAGGCGAGGAACTAGCGCGATTCTCTTCGCTAATGGCAGAGCGAGTTCACTTCAATCAACTCATCGCGTATATCTGCGTGAACTCGTCATAAGTATCTGGCCCCATTTCGGCGCCTGTAGCATCGAACGTTGTGTTTTTCCTGACCAAGTTACCTTTCGGCAGCAGTTTATGGTATATTGTCACGTATATGTATTGTGCCTTTCACTTATTCTGCCGTGATAATTCTGGCATAACTCTAATCCCTTATCGATCTTAATTACGCGCCGAGTTAGCTAATTCCCATGTTAATTCCGGGTCGTTCCTCCGTGGCCGAATTAGGAGCGGCGATGTGAGGCCGAGTTAAGGCGGAATAAGCTAATCCAGCATGCGATAGGCGGAAACAGAGCGATTGGCGGTTTCCTACCCGCCAATCCATGCCATTCTGCTCGTATCTCCGTCGATTGGCTCTCAAATGCTAAAAGATCGCGGATGTTAGGGGAAGCGCTCACAATCTTAGGCAGAATTAGCACTAAATAAGCGTTGATCGCCCTTTTATGACTCTAATTCCGCCTGAAATAACAGCTCACCCGCCAAAATACGTGAAAGGCACAATATTAATAAACTAGCTGAGCAGCTCGAATCGAGTTGCTGGTGGGCCGACCTCTTACGTACAGTAAAACTGTACATTTGACGACGTCCCCAAAGCATCAGCCTAAACTTATTAGCGCTACTAGTCAAATTTTGAAATGTAAGCCTAGGCTTTAGACCTGCCTTGCTGTAAGCTTCTGGGACGACGGCGACTTGCACGTCTACCGCTGGATGGACAACGAGCGCAACCAGAAGTGGACATACGACAACGCGACCAGCACACTGCAGCACGCGACGCACAAGGGCTTCTGTCCGGATCAGGACGCGTCGCAGAACAACAAGATCCAGCTCTACGGCTGCTCGCCCAACAACGCGCACCAGCAGTGGGAGGTGCTGGTGTCGGACGTTGTACCAGATCCGACGGCCGAACGCTCTTCACGAAAGAAGGCAAAAGGAAAGGTAAATAGATTAGCGGTGGAGCTGCTGCCAGCTCCTACGGGCCTTTGCTCCTTTCTCATACAGGGACCTTGTTCTCTGAGAACTCCTACTGCTGCATGTCTTACCATCAGTGCAGGTCCCAGGCTCATTCTTCAACTTGCTGCAGTTGAAGCTGGCCTGCAATATGCATTCCAACAAGCCTCCCTCGAAGTACAAACTTCGACCACCAGAATGCGCTTCTTGAGGCAGGTTCTTCATCACATGCCACCGGTCACGCCCACGAGCCACAACAGGTTCTTCAGTCGCTGCTTGTCTAGTGGCTTCGTAAACGCATCCGCCGGGTTCTCGGCACCTTTCACCTTGCGTAGGTTAATTGCGCCCTTCTGCACTTGTTCACGCACGAAGTGCTATCGCAGCTCGATGTGTCGGGTACGGCGACTGTAGGTAGGGTTGGTCGCCAGCACATGGGCCGCTTGGTTGTCAATCCCGATCTTCAGCTTCACACTTCGCTGTGGTAGTACCTCCTGCAACATGTTGCTGGCTTCACACGCGGCCACATACTCGGCCTCAGCAGTTGAGAGGGCCACGATCGATTGGCGACGTGACATCCAAGACACAGCTCCGCCTGTTAGCGAGAACACGAACCCGGTAGTACTCTTACGTGACTCAGGGTCATTGGCCCAGTCACTATCACAAAAGCCTTCCAATACAATAGTGCTTGGCACCTCCGTAGGTCGTTCATACGATATGCCATAGTCTACTGTACCAGCAAGGTACCGCAGTACACGCTTCAGTGTCCACACGTGTCTGGCAGATGGCTTGGCCACGAACCGACTAAGTTGCCCCACTGCAAACGCCAGGTCGGGTCTCGTTCCCGTAGCCAAGTACATCAACATCCCGACGGCCTTTCGATAGTCAAAGCTAGTGTCAGACTCCTCACTCGCATCCAAAGGCGCCAGCCGAACATTTGTCTCCATCGGGTTGCCCACTGCATGGGCGTTCTCGTACCCAAATGTCTGCAATACCTCTCGAGCATACTTGCTCTGGCGAATGGTGATGCCCTCATCAGTCTGGTCCACCTCAATGCCCAGGTATTCCTTGAGAATCCCCTGGTCCTTAATGCCGTACGCCACATTCAGCTCCTCAAACAGCTTGCACTTGTCCTCTTCATTGTTGGTCGCAACCATCAACGTAGACAAGCACGAGCATGATCGAGTCTGTTCCGAACTTGTAGTACAGGCAAGATTCAGTGAGAGAGCGGAGGTAGCCATGCGCCAAGAACCAGTTGTTCAACTCCGTGTTCCATTCACGCCCCGATTGCCTCAGTCCATACAATGCCTTCACCACCTCATACATGTGCCCGTTAACCTTGCAGGGGAACCCTTCAATCCACTTGAGATACTGGTAGATCCCCAGCAAGGCATTCAGGTACGCGGTGTCAATATCGCCGCCGTAGAGCAGTAGATGTAGCACAGCAGCAAGTGCCACGAACATCCGGAACGAGGACATTCTCGCGACAGGAGCGAACGTCTCGGAGAAATCAATTCCAGGTCTCTGGTAGTTTCCAAGAGCTACAATTCTCGACTCGAAACGAATCACATATCCCTGGCAATCAGTCTTAAGAGACCGCACCCAACGTGTACTAATCGGCTTTGCATCCACCGGAACTTCCTTGCAGGGAATCTATCTGATCACTCCCTTGGCACGCAGCGCGCTCATCTCCTCCAAATCTGCCTGCAGCCAGAACGCTCGGTACTTCGATCTGTACAACTCGCGGCGATTCTTCGGGAGCTTCACATTGCTCGCCAGAATAGGTTTACCATCTTTGTCCAAGATTCGGGCCGAACACTGCGCGACATTCACTTCATAGTCATCCAGATAACGAGGGCGACGCCGCTCGTGATACTTACGAAGACCAGTCCGGGTTCGCTTCGGCTGCTGCTTGTCAGCATCCTGCTCCACGCGCAGCTCCTCGGACATCGTCTCGTCGCGGTGCGTCCGCTTTCCCGTCTGCTTGGCGAACTCCACGGCAGCCGAGTCGCTGCCTCCATGCTCAGACTGAATGTCTTGCAGACACTCATCATGATCGACAATAGTCATTGATCCACACACACTAGCCACCGTAACTTGATCGTCATTAATTACGGACTCCTCGTGCTCAATAGTCTCATCAATATCATCGACTTCATCCTGAGTTTCCTCCTCATCAATCTCGTCCAGTTGCTCTAACGCAGCGGCGGATCCACAGACACCAGTAGTCGACTCGTTCCCATCGCTCACTTCATCTTCCTGCGGTTTCTCGCTGCTCGCAGTTGCAGCTCGTTGCGTTGCCGCTTGAGATGGCGATGTATTGGTCAGCCGTGCATGTGTAGGTCCAACCTCAGTGGGGATCGCTGCCGTCACACCTTCAATGTCTGTGATGTCAGCAGCACTTGCCATAAACAGAGTCGCCTCCCTGCTTTCAGCTCCTTCTGCAACTACAGAACCAGCTGCACCAGACACTGCAGATCGTGACTCATGCGCACTGTCTTCCTCGCCTCCCTCGAGTACACGGGACTGCAAGCCCGAAGACTCGCTTGCAACCGAAGCCATCACTGTGCTCTCCATTTCGCCACTTACAACCGTCTCATCCGCTCCAGTGTCTGCGTCTCGATTAGCTGCAGGCACATGCTCAAAGTGCAGCGATTCCATATCTGCATCTTCGACCAGCTCGAAACGATCGCGGTAAACAACATCTTCCGCAATTCGCAAATCCGCAACAAATTTGGCTGTGTGCTCTTCAGGGAAGTATACTTTACACCCCACAACATCCTCCGCATAGCCGAGCAGGAACCCGACTTTAGCGTTGTCACTGAACTTGCGCCGCCCAGGAGTAACGGGAACATGGACGTAAGCGAGCGCCCCAAATTTGCGGATGTGGTGGACGTCTGGCTTGACTCCAAACATCTTTTCGTACGGAACCCACCGTGCCCCTTGTTGAACACTCGGTTCGTCAGGTAGACAGCATTTCTGAGAGCCTCGGGCCACAAGCTCGTCGGAAACCCAGAGTCCAGCATCATCGCCTTCATCATCCCAACGAGTGACTGATGGGTTCGCTCACACAAATTTAGTTGGGAGCTCTTGGGTCCGACACGTATGTGCTCGATGCCATGAGCGCGGTACCATTTCTTCATGGCGGAGTTCATAAACTCACCGCCTTTGTCTGTCCAGACTTGGCGAACTCTGTACTTCACACGCTCCGCACCATCCTTGCTCCTCCCGGCTTGACGCTCAGCCCACAAGAGGTACTCCTTAATATGCTGGTTGATGAACTTGCTGTTCAACATGTGCACGGTCACGAACCGGGAGTAGCCATCCATAATCACCAGCACCGCCTCAAAGCGAGTGCCATTCCCCTGACTTGGGATTAGCAAGTCCACATACACTGCCTGATTAGGCGCTTTCAGCCCACGGTTCAGCTTCTTGGCGTGTGGTGTCTTCTTCTGCTTCCCTAAATGACATGCGTCACAAGGGTCTTGTTGCTCGCGCCTCGTCAACATCAGTCCTTTCACCAGACCCATGTCCACCATGGTCTTCAAGTACTGTGGGCAGATGTGTCCAAGTCGCTCGTGCCAGAGCGCAAGTGAAGCAACCCCATCAATCGTAGTAAAGTTACACATTGTTCTGTCTCGAGGCAGCTCTAGCCCCTCATTCACAGGATGGGTCACAAGGAATCCCCACGTTGCCTCGTACGGCGAAGCCACGATAACAGTCCGACCTTCATACTTGATGCGGAAATTCAGTGTAAATTCAGTGTATCATGCTCATAGTCAAAGTCGAATCCTTGCTCCGCGGCAAGTCCAGGTGAAAAGACTCCGTGCTCAGCACCGGGAACGTAAACGACATCATTCAGGTAAACTACTCCACGTTCACCATCCACTTCAGTCACCAAAGCTACAGTTCCTACTCCTGCAATCCGCGATGCAAGAGCAGGTGCCACTCCGTGCACGCTCTGTGACTGACTGGTATCCTCCGTAAATGCTACGAAGTCCAACAGGTTTCCTGTGACGTGCGCATTTGCCACAGTGTCGAAGAACCACCATCCATTGGAGTCTCCAACTGCATCGTCAGCTTCAGCACTGTTCGCTTCCTGAGCATCTACATCACCAGGACGCTTGGGTTCTGGATCCCGTCTGTCCACCTGGACCCCAGCGTCAAGTATCATCTGGTCCAGCGCGGCCATTTCCACGCTAGAGCCACCGTTGTCACTATCTGGGCTCGGAGATTCGCGGACCTCCTGTCGAATAGTCACATTTCCTCGTGGCTTACGCTTCTGCTCAGTTGCATTAGCGCCATCACCACTTGACTTGTCAGTCCTATCTGGGCAAGCAGCTCTGAGATGTGCAGTACTCCCACAGATGAAGCACTTCTTCAATTTCTTCTTCTTGGAGTCACTGCTTTTCTCCTCATGCTGATTATCAGCTCTGCTCTTCGTCCCATTCACTCCACTAGCCCCACCATTACTCCCAACACGAGGTCCTCCACGCTGGCCCTTGCCACGGTACTCGACTTGGCGGGCAGCGGCAGCACGAATCAACTCGCGGACCTTGGTAGGTGTGAACATAGTAGTGTCTGCACTGTAGCGAATTGACTACTTCAGGCTCTCGAACTCCGCTTGGGCCAGCAAGCTCTCCAGCATCATCTCAACCATGTCAATATCATCAACTGCATACTGCAATGTCTGCAACTCAGTCCGGATATTGAACATCTTGCTCAAGTGCAGGTTCATATTTCCACCCGGCGAAAACTTCACAGTCCAGAGTTCATCACGAAGGCGACGAATAGTGTGAGCCTTAACAGTTTTATTCACCTTGTTCTCAAACAGGTCACATAAGGCCTCCCACATCTCCGTGCCTGTCATCTTGTCCCTAATCTGGTGCAAGATCTCCGACGGCACGGACATCCCAATCAAGCGCATGATCTTGGTCTGTTTCTTGTCGAACTTCTCCTCACTCTCCGCATCCGACAGCGTCACCTTGGTGATCGTCCCATCGACAATCTCCATGAGCTCCGCCTCACGAAACACCATCTGCATCGCAAACTTGTATGCCTGCCAGTCCTTGCCCTTCCAGTTCTTGGGCACACCCTCCGACGGGAACTTCAGCTGGTCCGCTATCCTGGATCGCTTCCTGTGCAGTAGCAAGTCCGCTGGTTTGGGCTCAGAACCCTGTCGGACGTTGTACCAGATCCGACGGCCGAACGCTCTTCACGAAAGAAGGCAAAAGGAAAGGTAAATAGATTAGCGGTGGAGCTGCTGCCAGCTCCTACGGGCCTTTGCTCCTTTCTCATACAGGGACCTTGTTCTCTGAGAACTCCTACTGCTGCATGTCTTACCACCAGTCCAGGTCCCAGGCTCATTCTTCAAATTGCTGCAGTTGAAGCTGGCCTGCAATATGCATTCCAACAGCTGGACCCGAACACCATTTACTGCCAGGAGGGGTCGTTCTGCAACCCGAACGAGCAATGAGCTTGGAAGTACTGCGGTGTTGGTAGGCATTCCAGATCGACTCTTTGAATTTCCTTTTCGCGAGCTGCATAACCATGGAATGCTGCGATTTGCACTCTTGTTAGTTTTACTTTTCTTTGGGACGAAGTCCCCATTATAATGACTTGGTACCGGTATACCTATCCTTACCGTCGTGTCCGGTGATTGATTGGATGAAAAAAGTAGGTTTAGGGTTGCAATGAATAGCAGCCTCGACCTCCCCGAATTTTACTGCTTTTGGGCCCCTCGGTCGAGGGGCCAAGAGACTCCTCACAAGTAAGGGCACCGTCATCGGAGGGCCTTAAAGTAATGGTACATAAGTGCACGGCGCCCCTTCGTCTCGCGGTATCACGGCGTCGGATCGCTCTTGGTACTCTGTCGTGGCGATCTTGAGTGTTGCCTCAGCGAAGGGCTTGTGTTTGGCGGGAACGTCTAGCTGCAAGATTTAGATGCGATGACGAATTGTTGCATTGCTGGCACTGCTTTTTGATGCAGGGTAAGAGCTGCTGGCAATTTTGATGCCGCGCAGGAAGGCGTGCTGGGCGATGTCAGACATGCTGCATCTCCGAACCTCGATAGGTAGGTTGAGTGCACGGCTATCAGCTGATCACTCTTGGTGCAACGGGGCACATAGCAACCATCCGATAGCACAACGCTGTGTTGGAGCTTGCTTGCTCACGAATAACCAGCATTCGTTCTGACTCGAGCTAGGTTTGCAAAAACTTGCAACAAAGCGCAGCCTCGGTCAGGTTGGTTCCCTTGCTACCTGTGCATGCAGTTTTAATTAAGAGCAACACTGCTGGCGGAAGATGTTTTGATGCAAAACTGTGCTAGCAATACCGGACTGCGATCAAGTAAGGCAGCTATTCTGTCCCCCAGCAGGTACTGAAAACCATCGCAATAGTTTCTGTAGCTGGTTCGATGCCCATGACTAGTATAGATAGCTAGAACTGTTTACTATCTATATGGTTTAAGGTGCTAGATACATTTGAGTGCACAGCAGGGCTGGTACGCGTCCAGGCAGCGGTCGCTGCTCTTGGAGCGGATCTGCTGCGTGGTCTCGTCAAAGAACCACGTCTGCTGCTCCTGCGTGAGCCAGTTGTTCGACTTCTCCGACATGTACAGCTTGTCATCCGCCTCTGAGAGCATGATGCTTCCCTCGGTGCGAATGAGACGCGGGGCCCTCCAGTTCTCGAACTGCAGATTGAAGATCTCCTCCTTCATCACGCCAGCCTTCTCATAGACACCCAGGTGAGCCTCGATGTCGAGGTCGTTGAGCCACTTGGCGTCGAACGCGTCGGACCAGTAGTAGTCGAGGTCCTTGTGGGAGTGGGCCATCCGGATGAAGTCCGAGAAGTACTTGGCCTGGTTCTTTGGGGTAGCCAAGTCGGGGATTGGGTTCATGCCGCCAGAGCTCCAAGCGGTATCAATGACAACGGGCTTGTCCTTGTTCTCCGCAGCAATACGAAGGCTCTTCATGCGGTCGAGGGTAACAGCCACGCCTTCGTTGACATCCACTCGCTCCCAGAACGGGGAGTAGCCCACCGACACGTAGTCGACCGCTTCGAGGAGCTTCGGGTTGGTGTTGTAGACTTCAATACTGTCCGCGATCGTCACCGAGGCGTTCTTGCCGCGACCTCGAAGGAAGTCGCGGATCTCCGTCATGTACTCAAGCGCAGTGTCGACAGTGACGTTGTCGCGGCTGATAGCACCGTTGCCAACGTGCACGCTGGTGACAGTGTCAAAGCGGCCCTTGTCGATGATTTCCCCGAGCTTGACCTTCTCCTGGAGGAATTAGTCGCGGCCCTTGGACGTTTTGATTCCCAGGTCGACCGTCACGCCGATGCTCGAGGCGAACTGCAGCACAAGGTTGGCCACGTCGCACTCAATGAGCGAGTTGGTGCGAACCTTCTCGGTGAACGTTTGGAGGGTCAGCATTTCATGGTAGACGTCAGTGAAGCTCTTGCAACTGGCGTTGTTGGTCTCCCAGTCCGAGCCGTTGCGAGCGTCGTAGTTGATGCCAGAGACGCCTTTAGGAACGGCGTCGACACCAGCGTAGAGCGTGGCGATCACAGCGGCGACGAGAGTCGGTAGGTAGAGCTTCATCTTCAGTGGAGGGAGGCTTGGTCGTCCGCGGGGAAAATTGAAAGTGACGGCTGAAGAGCACGTGGCACAGACAACATTGAACTCGATCATGTCACGGAATCGAGGAGGACTGTGTACTGTATGCACCCGATCCAAGCATTATCCTTGGGATAGCCGAAGGAGGAGCACGATGGCGATGAGCTTGCGACGCTACCAAACCGAACACTACTAGTATATCGTACCTTGCGTATAACCATTAGACAGGAAGTAGGATGCATTTTCCACCTCATTGATTAGACATACATGTATGAGTCGAATCTAAACGTTGCCATATTGTTTTAGGAGCAGAAACGCGATTTGAGTGCCTTGTGCACTGTAGGATGGAGCCAAAACTAACGCATATTCGATATAAGACTGACGTGGAACTCCGCACAACTATCTATGGAAAACAATCATTCACATTCTTGGAAAACTTGCCAAGCCTATTTGCAGGAGATTTCAAGAATATTGAAGGAACCAGAGATTGTTTGCTACCTGGATGCCTGGTGCGCTGATGAGATCAATACTAGATCGACTACGAGATGTACTACACCGTTTTGAATTAATCATTGACTAGTATAACTCCCATTCAGGACTCTATCGCAAAAAAAATCTAAATGGCAGCCGTCAGTGAACGCATTTTACAAAATGGGTTCACTGACGGCTGCCCTTTACCAATTCTTCGTGCTTTCATTCGTGTATGAGGGGGTCTGACCGTGCCCGCTTTAAGCGGTGAAGCGTGAGCTCGTTAAAAGTGTCATAGCTTTTTTAAAAGAAAATATGCATTAGGTTTAAACGCTTCAGAATTTTCGTTTTTTTTCTACCAAGCCAACTGCACCATTTGTTCGCCTTCCTGGACCAGAACTCCGGGGTTTCTCAAATGCACGATACATTTCCTGTCGACTTCAACGGGACCACATTTGGCGCCTGGGCGAGAACTTGGCCAGAAACCGCCTGAATTTTCTACTGTTTGACGTCTCTGGTTTGCCAAAGCACCTCCCCATATTTTTATGGCAGCGATGCGACAGGAAGGTTAGCATCAATTCGCACTCGGAAGGAGTGGGCTCCAAGAGGAACGCTTCTTCTAAAGAGTTGACACCAACTCGCAAGGCACCGATTAGCTATACACTCTCACGAACCATCAGCTGGGGGAGCGTTGCCTTGTCGGCCGTCATTTTCGCAGGCAATCCAACCAGTGGTAGCGCCAAGAACGCGTAGGATTCCTCGTCACTCAGCAGAAAATACCCTCCCAAACGTCTTAATCTCATTCACCTACAGTACTGCGCGGCATGTGTGGTTCAGACTTTCCGATAGGCCGGTCGAGTTCTATCCTGTGACCAACGGCGCCGATCGGATTAAGGACCTCCGCGAGAAAGTAGTTTTCGAGTTCTTGACCCGCAAGGTTCTTGCCGCCTGATGACTCCTCGCGTCAGGTGGACGAGATGGCGGACACGCTCGACCATATCGAGTAAAGTTTTTCGCGTCTCCAGTATAACACGCCAATCAAGCCCTCGACTCCGAGACAAAAGTGAACGGACTTAGAGTCGACTTGGAGCACCCGATTCTCGTGGAAGCGCCACTCATGTTTCTTCGGATTCGCATCGTTATGCATGGCGTGAGACTCGAAGCGCCGCGCCTTGAGCGCGAGAAACTACAAGACGACGTGAACACGAGTCTGCTGGGCAACCAAAAGCGATTTGTGCTCCTCATAGTGCCAGGGGAAAGACTCGACACTCGTGTTATTCGACCACCACCATCATGTTGAGCTGAATTGCGTCTTCGCCTCGTTCAGTTGGGAAAAGGGAGGCACTGAAGCAGCACGGACTTGATACCTGTGGGAGGAAGTCGACTCTCTCTAAGGATCAACAGCACATTGTAATGATCGACGATGCTCAAGAAAAATGCGAGGATAGGGCGTTCTGGAAGGCTCTGATCACGTTTCTCCGTCGTGGTTAGCTAGCGGCACCCGTTCTATCATCGCTGCGAATCACGCACTGCACGGTGAGAGCCCCATCGAATTTCAGTCGATTAAGACGTTTGGGAGGGTATTTTCTGCTGAGTGACGAGGAATCCTACGCGTTCTTGGCGCTACCACTGGTTGGATTGCCTGCGAAAATGACGGCCGACAAGGCAACGCTCCCCCAGCTGATGGTTCGTGAGAGTGTATAGCTAATCGGTGCCTTGCGAGTTGGTGTCAACTCTTTAGAAGAAGCGTTCCTCTCGGAGCCCACTCCTTCCGAGTGCGAATTGATGCTAACCTTCCTGTCGCATCGCTGCCATAAAAATATGGGGAGGTGCTTTGGCAAACCAGAGACGTCAAATAGTAGAAAATTCAGGCGGTTTCTGGCCAAGTTCTCGCCCAGGCGCCAAATGTGGTCCCGTTGAAGTCGACAGGAAATGTATCGTGCATTTGAGAAAACCCGGAGTTCTGGTCCAGGAAGGCGAACAAATGGTGTAGTTTGCTTCACCGGTAGCTGAGAGGTTTTATTTCAAGCGGCTTGGGATCCAAATTCACTGCATGATCTTATCAAATTGGTTTTGGGAAGCATGTCAGCCAATGCGCTACAAGAAAGCGTTGGTAAAACGGGCGGTATGCCGGACGAAGTTATTTTTCGGCAGGAAATCATGAGAGGTATCGCCGTGAATACCTTTGAAACGTGCACCATTTGTCCTGGGTTCTCGCGCGTGTTCCTGCCGTCAACGACTGATCAATGCGTGTGGTTTTCTTCGTGGGGCCGACTGATAGATGGGGACCGGAAGCTTTCGTGAATGGCCAGAACGCGCAAGACTGCGTCCCAGTTCGCTCCAGGTGAACGCTATGCCGCGCTTGAAGTGGATGACTACGCGGTTGTTTATCTTCGTGGCAATGCAAGTGGAACCGCCCCCGCTGATGTCGCTCTGAGGGAGAAGGTTATCACGGTGTTTTTCAAGTTGGAAGACTTCTCGAAATGCGAGTGCGCTCTTGGCATGGGCAAAACGTGGCGTGATATTAACCTCAGCTGATTCAGTGCTGCGCCACGAGGGGCGGATACCTTCGAGGCCTGCGTTGCTATGGCACTACTTTGCTTCGATATTTTTGTTTGGGACAGTCGGCGTTGGAGTCGAACTTATTTTAAGTTCTCTTGTTTTCGAAGGTTGCCACACAGCTCGCGAGGTTGAAACTTGAAGTTCTTATGTTGCCTAATCTTACAGTAAGTTGCACTAACGTCGCCAAAATGATTCCATCACGGCTTCATCGCGAACATTTATAGGGAATTCTTGCAGTTGTACATGTACTCAAGTTGAATGACATGGAGCCCCCCCCTGCAGCTCAAGATCGTGGCGCTTGCGCTCCCCCCTCTTGCCGATGAAGCGCAAGAGAGCATCGGCGCCGCCCTCGTGACTGACTTCCTCGTGCTCGATATGCCGCTGTCCAAGGCTGTGGAGCTGAGCCACGCTGGCTTTGTGGCGTTGTTAGACCTCGTGGGGATGCGGGGCCTCAGGGACGCCGAGAGACGTTGGTGGACAGTCGACAAGCTCCTCCACAGTGAAAAATATTACTACATGTGGGAGTTCTCGCTCGCGTTAGCGCCGGCCGTCCGCTGTGCGGATCTGCGCATGGTGCAGAGGATCCTGCAACACTTTTCCGGGTGTCCAGTGGAGAAGGACGTTGTGGAGGAGTGTGGGTCCTTCAGCTACAGGAAGCGGACCCTTCGCGTGGGGGGATGTGACGATGATGCATCGCCTACCCAGCAACCTGCAACGAGCTACCTGCAACGAGCAACCTGAAACCAATTGCATCCGTTTTGCAACGGACCGACTGGCGCATGCAAGCTCCCTCTGTAAGCCTAGGTAACAGCCGTAGCTTAGAGCTTCCTTCATTCACTTCATTCAATCTCAGTCTTCATTTTTCCTGTTCAACCTCAAGTCCTCTTCCCAAGACTCCGTTCGTCTACAGAACACGTGACAGGGGATCGAGTGGGGCGACGAGTGCTTAAGCGAGGCAGCGAGGCGCCGACACTGGAGAATGGTCCACTGGCTGCACGAGAGGACCGGGACGCCCTCGCAGCAACGCTATAGTGCTTTGGAGAATAATGTTGCCGAGTACGCCCTGGAGCAACACAATCTGGAGGAGCTTCAGTGGGCGATTGCCAGTGGCTTCCAAGTCTCAGTGAATGAACTCCCGAAAGATTGCAGTGAGGCAGACCGCGAGAGTTGATGGGATTGTATTCGGCTTTTGCTGGGGCGAGGCTACGGCGAGCATGAAGGGTTTGCGGAGAAGACAGTGGCGCTGGCAGCAAAGGTGGGAGACCATGAGTTTGTCGGATGGCTATTGCAACATCATTGGAATGGCCAGGACAACGTTGGCCCTAGGATGAAACTTACGGCAGCTTTGGAAGCTGCGGGGAAATACGGGCATGTCTCGGTGCTGCAGTGTCTGCTAGCTCGTCTTACTGAATTGAACCTGCAAAGTGCGATGTATGAAGCAGCGAAGAATGGAAAGCTGGAGGTCGTGAAGTGGCTAATCGACCGGTATTCAGCAGACTCTGATGTTGATGTTGAGCTTTCCCGAGGGCTAAGCTATCGCCAGTATGCTATGAGGACGATGCAGCCTATGACAGTGATGGATGCTGCGGCTAACCACGAACACTTGGAAGTGCTCAAGTACTTGCACCACGTCGATGCTTTGCAACGAAAGAAACGCAAAAGAGCGGAGCGGGACACGTTTCCTAGCCGCGGCAACTGCCGACGGTGCACGACGCAGGCAATGGACGTCGCTGCCTCAAACGGGCACTTAGATGTGCTGAAGTGGCTCCATGAGAACCGAAAGGAGGGTTGCACCAAGTTTACGATGGGCGAGGCAGCAGCAAACGGTCATTTGGACGTGGTTAAGTGACTGCATGCAAACCGCTCGGAAGGCTGCTCCGAGAACATTTTTGATGACATTGCTCACTGTTGGTATCGCGTGTCATTTTGCTGTGGGAATCGGATGCCACCTCGTGAATACTACGAACCCAACACGTTTATCAAGTTTCACCTTCCGAGGATCAAGTGGTTGCACGCGAATCGTTTAGGAGGATGCACAACCAAGTCGAGCGCGCATTTCATCGACGCTCTCAGTTCGATCAGCGCGCTGCGCATCCAGGTAGCAAACAATCTCCGGTTCCTTGCAGATAATAGCGCGCTCCATCGTTGCATTCATGTTGAACCCATCGTAGTGCTCAATGAGCCACTGGTCAACTGCCAAGTGCCCGTGCGAGACAGCTCTTAACTCTCTGGACACGTAGTACCGAGCGATTGGCTCGGAGCCACTTCATCAGCTCCAGATAGCCTCTCGCTGCTGCTTTATCCATCGCCGCCGCTGTACAACCTTCCGATCGATTTTCGTGCAACCACTTGACGATATCCAAGCGGCCTCTAGCAGCGGCCTCGTCCATTGCTCGATCTGTGCATCCAGCTCAAGTGTTTTCGTGGAGCCACTTGACTAGCTCAAAGTTACCATTACACCGTTTGCAATCAATCGTTGAACTTTAAGCCTGTTTCACCACTACACAGGTCCCCATTTCAATAAAAAGCTTTACAAACCTTTATACTGGGATAGCAGTGGCCGATAGGTCATGCTGCTAGGCAGCCCAAATCGGGTTAATTCGCGCCTCGGTAACTGAAGCCAGTAAACTGAGGCCGGTAGCGTAGTTCTTTGTCACTGGCTGTCTTTCTCCTGGTGACCCGGTAACTGGAGCTGGTAACTGAGTCCGATCTCGAGTCACTTGACTTCAGCCATTTCGCATTCTAAAGCAACCGGCACCTACGTTTCTCTCCGGCGCGGCAAGAGCAGCCCGACCGACGTACCTATCCCCTGCTTTTCCTTTATCTCGCGAACTATTGCTCAGTACAACCACAAGTTCCCTACACTAACATGGTCGCCCGTTTTTCGCCATAATTCGTCACTATCAGGTTGACTACGACGCTGAATTCGAGACGTGGTTTTGGCTGACTGTTGTAGTTGACGTCGCAGGCCGTGTCTACCTCGCTGATAGGCTACAGCTATTGTGCCATTTCGCATTCTACCACTAAACCAAGCAGCCGGCCTACGTACCTAGCCACCCGCCTCTACAACGATTGCCGGAGCACCACCCACCACCACGGCACTAGGGCCCCGCAATGGCTAGGATAGGGGTCTTTTGACCGTATCTGTAGTTGTTTTGTTTTTAGTTTATAGCAGGCTTTTTACTGGGATAGGAAGCAACGTTAGTGCTGCTATCGCAGACCAAATAGGATTATATCCGTGGTACGTCAAGTCAAACGATGACCCCACTTGACATCTAACTGGTATATTTTCTTGAAACCGGTGTGGCCCCAGTGATGCACTGGGCCCTCCAAAAGGTTTATATGCGTGGGCAAATCGAACCGGTAGAATATTTATTACACCGGTATGAATCCGGTGCCGCACTGTAGCCTCCAAAAGGTTTATATGCGTGGACAGGTCCAACCGGTGTGCAACCGACGACACTGGTATGATTCAGTACGTATATTCGAGCAGTGAACGAATTGAAGTAAAGAGAACGATTGAGGCGGACTGTTGTAGCACTAGAAATAAGCATTTGCATTTTCAAGTATAAAACTTCCACTACAAGCTGCAAACAGATCGCAGCCAAGGTTCGCATTTGTTGTAAAGCGTTGCCAGTTGATATCTGGCATCTACAGTCTTAAGGACAATTTTCGGGCAGATGCTGCGGCTGCAAAGCAGGCGCAGGAGATGACCGTAGCTCATAAGAAAAGACATCAATTCGCAGTTCGAAGAACTGTCGATTGGGGAAGGTTTTTGGATGACATCGAACGACATTCGCGCTATATTCGTAGGTTCCCCGCCTAGCGAATGACATTGAACGACATTCATGCCACATGAAACCGTGGATCTTCCTCAATCAATTCACCGCTCGGATTGACACGTAGATAAACAGACAACTGGAATTATAAGTTGAAATCGTAGCCTGCTAGCTCTGGAATAAAGTTGCGCCTGAAGTCACATCGTAGTCGCGGAGCTCGTGCAGTGTGCCGTTCCGCCAAGCTGGGGGTGAAAGACTTTCAGAAGTTCAAACGGAGTAGCCACGCACGTAGAAAGCCACGCTTGGCTTGGTGACCATTATCATACACACTTGCTCGAGAAAATTATGAAATTATGCGCAATTGATCGCCTTACTGGTATTATTTGTAAAAAAAAGCATCTCCAATTTATGGTAGGCCTCGAAGATGGTTTGAACCAGTTCTCGACCCTATCTAAAGTGGCCCGAATCGACGATTACTTTAATCCTTCCATTTCTGGGCTTGCTCACAGAAACGAAACTTTAATTTAAAACTGGGCCTGTTCGTTGGGCACTTGCCTGATCGGCTTAGCCGTAGTTTGTTTTTGATGTAAACCAGGTTATCCAGTTTAGACATGAACACACGGTTCTACAGACTACGACGAAATATCCGGCAGGATGGAGTCCGGTAGACAAAGTTGTGCAATGAACAACAAGAAATTCGCCTGCCAATATGATGTGCTATTTTGTACTTCATAGTTTTGTGCGTATTTTACGCCGTGTCACAGTATTTTCAAAATTTACATATACGTTAGAATCGCCAGGTGTCGAACCGCACTGAAGGGCAAGAACGTATGCACCCCGAGAAAGTGGACTCCATCGAAATACACGTTTTGTGGAGAAAGAATGCAAGAATGCAGCCCGTGGTACCTTGTTCGTCGTAGTAGCATGCATCGTATAGCTAGCTACTGACAACTATATTCTACAACGTTGAGCTCAATGTTGGATATACGTCCTGATGATGCTGATCGTGAGCCCAACCACAGCTTCCAATAAACTATACGGACATTATCACAGCACTACGTCGTACTTGTACATGTAATATGTTCAGAGCACTTAAAATTGTACTTCGAAGTAGTACTTTACTGACCCCATTGGCTATCGATCCGATCGTATTCTATGACCTCCTCTTTCAGACACACTAGAAGATAATATCGCAAACGTACTCCACATGCATAGTTCTATTATACGAGGCCGATTAATTGGCCATGTAAAATTATCCTGGAAGAGGATCTCGACAGGGTGAATTCCTGCACATTCATTAGAACGAGTCTTTGTGGATTGAGCACCCAACAAGACTTCCACGAAAAATATTAAAGTTGTGCAAGCCAAGGTAGATTGCTTGCTACTGTTTCTTATTTGCCGAACCCCTTTTAGGCACAAGCAAAACTGTTTTGCGATTGAGAGGATACCATGTTGTCACTGAATACGGTGTATCGTATTTATGATGGTTCCTTCTGAAAACACCTTATAACCAATACACAGCGACAAGTAGAGCTTTGGCATATGCATGGAACTGTTCCAAAAATTGACACAATTCTTCATGACACAATTTGTGGAGACGATATTTGCGTCTTCGCATATTGTACTGGGTATGCAGCCCTATTTTTGTGCTCATGACACATTTATTTTTGTGTTGTTTTTGGAAGAGTTCCCATGTATCAAGTGAAAACTAATTAAACCGATTTCTTGCAGCACTGGCAAAGTTACGACCTCTTAGTCAACTGCGTTTCGTTTACAGCTGCTTTGGGGTTTTTAAGACATCTTTTGTTTTTGAATGATAATTTTTGAATGATTGATCAAGGCTTGATCTCGACAAGAGCTCATCGAGTTTGGTTTCATTTTGTAGCATTTTATCGGTCCAAACTACCCCACCAAACAAAAATCCTTGTTAGAACTGACCGTGAGCTTGCAGCAGACGAACCCAAAGCACCTTACCAGGTATGTACTCCCTGACTTGTGAGTTTGAAGCAGATGCAGCGTGTTCAAGCTGTAAAATTCACTACCGGCGGGGCCAGCGCTATAAATTCGTCGATTTATTGCTGTTCGTCACGATGGCAGCTAGTCTTGAGCGACATGCATCCACAATAGCGGTCTAGTTACTAGACTCTAGTACAGGTACAAAGCAAATAAGACTTCTAATATCTACCGCCTGCACATCACCATACCAGGTAGATGCTGCGGCTGCGAAGCAGGCGCAGGAGATGCCTGTGAATAACACAACTTTGATAATGTTAACGGGAGATTGCGCGCGCGGAGTGTGCTGCTTGTTTTACTTTCAAGTACTTGCTTGGCTACGAGATATCCGACGATGTAAGCAAACGTCGTGATTTTAATCTATGTTTATCTAGTATCCACAAGTGCTTTGGTTTTATTTTTCTGTGAACACAGGCTGTCTACTGGGCGAACCTCATCTAGAACTATTTCGGCGTACATTCACCTTCATTAGCTCTAATGTTTCATGTAGCTTCGAACTGCGAAACCCCCCCGGGTTCACCACCCGGGTCACCAATAAAACTAAAGAGGGGGTTTATACCAAAATCCTCCTATCCCAGCCTTCGCGGAGCCCTAGTATCCGTGGTACATCAAGTCAAACTATGAACCCCTCTTGACATTTAACGTGCTCGCCCGAATATAAGCCCGTACCAAGAAATACCGGTACTTAACGGTTAGTCCATACAAACTCAAAGCCTTGGAGCTGATACTATATCTGAAAATTTCGGCTATAATAGGGCGAGTACCTTAACTGGTATATTTTCTTGAAACCGGTACGACCCCAGTGCCGCACTGGGCCCTCTAAAAGGTTTATATGCGTGGGCAGATTGAACCGGTATGAGTCAGTAACATATATCGAAAAGTAGGAGTGAAGTAAAGTGAATGATTGAAGCGGACGAACTGCTGCAGAAGCATACAAAGGTAAACATTTTCATTTTCTACAAGCTACAACAGATCTCGAGCAAGGTTCGTTTTATCACTGTGTATAAGCACTATCTACAGTTTTGAGGTGAATTACCGGGCAGACGCTGCGGCTGCGAAGCAGGCGCAGGAGATGCCCGTGGTTCGTAAAAAAAAAACTCATAATAATAGAAAGCGATTATACCAAAAACCTCCTATCCCAGCCTTCGCGGAGCCCTAGTATCATTACCCATTGGCGTTTCCTGCGCCTGCTTCGCAGCCGCAACATCTGCCTGGTAATGCGATCTGAAAAGTAGGTACTGTCTAGTAAGTTTGGAGCTGTCCTCAATTATACCAAACTTTGGCATTGAGCAGACTATATTTTTTAGAAATCCTTAAATTTCAAAGCTTACGACTACGTTAATGGCTCCACGACCGCTACGTGCAGCGATATTGCAGCTGGGAGGGTGTATACGGCGCGCATCTTGGCGCTAGAAGTCGTGGTCTACAGATAATTTTCAGGGTGCAAACAATGCAAAGAAAACAAAACGCAACGTTAACTATGATACAAGATATTCAATGCTCCAGGTTTCTCATAAAGGTCGCCCATGAAGCTGATAGATCTTCCTCTTGCTAGGCAAGAGAGGCGACGAGTAGTTGAGCTTTGAGGTTGCGCTCGCACGCCTTGATAGTCGTCGTAATACTACTGCTGTGGTGGGGTCGTCCTTATTTTCGAGTACATTTCGCGGACTTTCGAGTAAAGAGTAATATACTCGGACTTTCGAGTACATATACCTCTTTTGAACTCGTGCGTTGCGTTAGCTTCCAGCTACTGACTCCGCTCTAAGAATGTTGAATGTCGGTATGGCATTCACGAACGTAAATAATGTGCTACTAGCCCTTTAGGGCAACTTGTCTGATGTTTTCTGCTGGATAACGCCTCAATTAGCTTCCTTACATCCGCATAAGTGGTTCGATGCGTTACTTCCCCAGATACATTCATGCTGTGTCTTCCCTCGGTCTCATCCAGGGTGGCAATGCCGGACGTGGCGCCTTTCCTAAGCCACGAATAAGGTTTATGTGAAATTACTCGGAAGTCAGTGAAGTGTACTCGCAATTAAGTAGCACCCGCTGTGGTGAAAGTTCTGGCTGCCCCCGTAAATTTGCTATCCCAGCCTATGCGTAGCCCTAGTTTTGTCACTGGCGCTCTTTAGCTGAGGTTGGCGGGCTGTTTTAGATCACGATAGCCGTCGGCAATTCTAATGGGCGAAGCTCGACAGATAATCTAGCTGCGTCAAACGCCAGTTTGGAAATCGATATGCTTGCGCTTTCTTTGCCTTACTCATGCTTTGCATTGAAAGACAAGTTGAAGCAACCATCCCGACTTCGTCTATCACTAAAAGCTGTAAAATAACAGATCGGCAGCGCAGCAAACGTCATCCGTTCAAACCATACTGAGATTTAAAACTTACATCACTCTTTCGAAGAGAGAAGTATAGTAGAAACAGGGATGTTAAAAGAAAGCCCATCAAAAATGAGATTTTTTCTCAAGGATATAGGAAGATAAAAGAAGATTTTCGGGTTCTCAAATTACAGCGAGCATATGTGTGCGTATACCTACCTAACCCACGCCCCTACCACTTTGTCTACTTGCTTCGCCGTTGAAGTTGACGTTGCTACACTAACACTGTTGCCTTCACTTTGGATATAGATATACGACGCAGACAGAGTCGGCAGCATACCTGAAAATATAGCAGGCATTTTGTTGAATATATTGGACATGAAGGGATGACAAGGATGTAGTCGTCACTTTGTTGGAGTGACCTATGACTTCAAAATTCCGTGAATAGAAAACAAATGAACTACTTCGAAGTATTATACCGTAGTTACTGCTCCTTTCTAGCTCCTTTCCCCTCGTATCAACTAACAGCTTGAAAATAGGCTACAATATAAGAAAAAAGAAAAAAATCGGCCTCTGGCACCAATCTTCTTTTTCAATAAAAGAAGATATAAGAAAAATCAAATAAAGAAAGTTTACCATCCCTGAGTAGAAACGATCAACGCAATCAACGCTGATACTACGTAATTTACCATTACAACAAATTCTTCTCTTGTCGTGGAACATTAAAAAAAAGACTTGGAAAGTCTTGACAAAATCACCGAGGACCCCGTTCTCCTTCGCCTCTTCAGCCTAGACCAGCCTTCCCAACATTTCCGTCATCGTCGCGTCCGTCTTGCCACTTTCCGTTCCAGCCGCGAGGAACAGTAGCAGCTTGTGGCGACGCACGAGCAGGTTGTCCCCCTCAGCGATGTCAAAGTCTGGAAGCTGATAATGCATCCCAAATATGTGCCCAAATCGCCCCAAATGTCCCAAATAATGAATTGTCTCTGTAACATTTAGGTACATATTTGGGGCCAAGTATATGACTGCTTTCTCGTAAAACTATCCCAAATATGTACCAAAACGGAGTTGACTGATTATAGTCTATAGTCTATGGGCGAGGGCGAGTGGACGCGAGCGCGAGCCTCACTCGATGCATTCACTAATCGCCAACACCCGCCGATTAGGCGGGGGCGTGTCTGTGCGAGCGAGCGAACGCGAGCGCTGCAACCCGATATTTTTTTTCTAGATACCGCGCCTACGGGCACTTGGGGCACCTGGTTCATGTCGTGACGCACCCCGGGGGTCCCGGCTCCGAGGTGGTCGTGGGCATTCATGAAGTGTGCCAAGGGGAAGGTGTGGTACACGACGGGGTTATGCCCCTTCGCCTTGTTCATGCCCGCAGCGCATGAACATGAACTTTGTCAGTCATAATTAAATCTTACCGGATATCCGGAAAATACCTATGAAATCAGATAGTTGTTGTCAAAGTTACTGCGTATAGAATGTTGAAGTTGGTTCGAGACCCACTGAACAGAATAATACACACAGATATGCGATATTATGGGCGGAGGAGTACAGCTCACAGACCATCACGCAATCGTCCGACCGAAATGTCGAAGCCGAAGCCGTCGCCAGCGCCTCGCTCCTTCCCGTGGGTGTCTGTGGTGGTGGGACTGGCGGCTGTGATCGCAGCTGCGTGGACTGTGGTGGACCCTTCTGAGCTTCAAGCGCGCGTGCAGCTGCTGGTGGACAGCTATGGGGGCGTCCCGCTCAGCGCGACAGCCCCAGAGAACGCTGTGGTGGACTGCTCGCAAGCGCAGCAGTACCTGACGGACGTGCTGCCGGTCAAGGGCTTCCACGTTCTGTGCATCAAGAAGGTGCAGGAGGGGGAGAGTCTGGCGACGTACGTGGGATGACGCAGGGGATATGATATAATATGATATGACGGAAGTGTAACTTTGACACTTATGATATGCTTCAGGCTGGACGTTGTGGCGTTCAAAGATGGCAACGCGTTGTCCGTGGAGACGCAGAGCTCCGTGGAGTTGGACGACTTGAAGAGCAAGTTGGAGACGCTGCTGGATATGCAAGGACCCAAAGACGAAGTTGCTGTCAAGTACAAGCAGCCATACGCGTTCTTCACGCCAGACGGGAAGAGGCTGCAGAACGTGGAGGAGATGGCCAACCGGGTTGTCTTCCTCTTTGAAGGAGGACAGTTTGTCTGGCCCGGAATTCGCATAGGACACAAGAGTACGTCTTTTTTTTATGTATCTAGAGAGGATTCTTTTACTGACATTTATTTTTTATATAAGCTCTTGTGAAGGACGTGGCTGGAAAAGGCGACGTGGTGCTGGAAACGCTGAGCATGACCCCTTTGGTCTTCAGTGTGGAGGAGTTCCTCAAAGACGATGAGATCGACATCATCATGAACTTGTCGTTGGAGCATTTGAAGCCTTCCGGGGTGACGCTGATGGACGGACACGAGAACCGCGCTGCGACGGATTGGCGCACAAGTACGACGTACTTCTTGCCGTCAGACGCTCACCCGAAGATCGATGAGATCGACCAACGAGTATCGGACCTGACCAAGGTGCCTATCGACCACCAAGAAGACGTGCAGGTGCTTCGGTACGAGAAAACGCAAAAGTACGACCACCACACCGACTACTTCCCAGTGGAGCACCACAAGAACGCGCCTCATATTCTGGAGAGCATCGACTATGGCTACAAGAACCGGATGATCACGGTGTTCTGGTATATGTCGGACGTGGCGAAGGGGGGCCACACCATTTTCCCACGAGCTGGCGGCGCACCACGACCGACGTCGATGAAAGACTGCACGACAGGACTCAACGTCCCTCCGAAGAAGCGCAAAGTTATTGTGTTTTACAGCATGTTGCCAAACGGAGAAGGCGACCCGATGAGCTTGCATGGAGGATGTCCAGTTGAGGAAGGAGTCAAGTATTCTGGTAACAAGTGGGTCTGGAACAAAGCGAGGTACTAGACGATCTTCGTCAAAGGAATGAGCATCAGTGTGTAGAGGAGGGATGCAAATGAACAATGCACGAGAAGTTCTCATTTTTTTACGTCTCCGGGAAAATATAAACAGCTAACCAGTTGCGTCAACGGCGTTAGAGCTCAGTATATTCTTACAACCAACGACCTTACTAGTTCTGTGGACACGAAAGCTAAGGCCTCATCTCGTAAGGTAGGGTGCTGTCAAATTAGCCTGCATGGCTAATTGTTTCGGATGAAAATTGTAATGTAAGATCATGATGTTCTCGGGCGAAATCTATTTGTTTGTTGAGTGTCCTCTGGATAATTTGGTCAGCTTTCGATCCGCTAACTACTCACTACAGTAGGGCCCGCATTTTGACTAGAGCTGAGCAAACATGTAATGCGGTAGGTAGTGCGCAAAGTGGGTTTTAACTGAACATGTGGATAATACACCAATGATTATGCTAATGTCTCGAGGCACAGTTGGGGTCTGTTTTCCCTAGGGTAGTACACGTACTACATCATGTATCATAGGACATTTCGTTAGCCTCTTGATTCTAGAAATCGTAGCGCAGCAAAACACGATCAATTGCTGCTGAACCTATGAATACGTGAGTTAAGAGTCCCAGGTTCTTCGACGTTGTTTTAAAACTTTTCATAACGTCAAAGGCCTCAGATTTCAACCTTTTGGGACAGTTCATCAAATCAATTCGCTGCCCTTACAACAATATGACAATCGTTTAGTTGCTACTTTCACTACGAATCACTACGAATCACTAGCACCAGGGGTCGGAAAAAATAATAGCAAAACAATTATTATGGTATTGTCCCACTACAATTATTTATTATTGGAAGTTCATGAAACCAATTCAATATGATATTGCCCCAATAATAGCAATACAATATCAAATACTATGAATTCTGGGATTGGGCGTTCATAAATGATGAAAATGCTATAGTAAACTATTACAATCTCTATTTTTCGGGTCGAGGACACAGCCTTGGGTTGCGAGGCTTTTGTGGAGCAAGCGGTGTATACTCATAGCGCTTTGCCGGACAGCAACACTTCCCAAAACCGTCCTGGAAACAGTACAGGGCTATTGTAATCGTCATCAGCCTCCACCTGTATTTTCTCACTGTATAGATTGGCCTGACACCTCAGTAATAGTTCGATATCAGCCATGGGACGTTTGCGTAAAGCTCGCGTGAAGTTTGCGGCCTTCATGTCACATTTTGGCAATGAATAGCTCATGCCACGAATGGTACAATATACTTATATTGTACCAATTATTATTATTGGTTGACCTCATATTGCCGTTATTACTACTGCAGCTTTGGCCTCGCAATACAATTTCATACTGTATTGTCCGACCCCTGACCAGCACTGTATCCCAAAGGATGCTACATGTAATACCGACTTCTGCTGAAATCAAGATCACCTGATCTATCCCACATTCTTACGGGTAATGTAATACTACAGTCAAGATGGAACTTGTTTGTTAAGAAAACACCATAAATTATCCAGGGTTATATGAGTTTGCGTGTTCTTTGTGAAGCAGATGTCTGTATAACTAAAGTTAGAGCATATCCACGGTGCTGAGTAAAACTAAAAGCAAATTGCCTTCAGATCCGTGTCTACAACGGCACAACCGTGCTAAAGACAGTGCGCAGCTCCACCGGTCATTGAGACTTGCAGCGAGCGCGTTAAAGCTCTTAGCACGGCGCCAGCAATGGCGACGGCGAGTCCTAGCTGTATAGCCCTATAAAGATGAAAACGGGCCCGGGAACACGTTGACGAAGACCCAGGGATGACGTAACATAGGCGACACTGCGGTCTGTGACACTTGCGCTGTTTAGAGCGCTCGACTAGGCCCTACTACTGGCTGGTCGACATTTCTTCAACCTTTTACTCAAAGCCTCCCCCGTAGGCAAACTTGTGCAAAATTTTGATCTGCGTAAAAAATGGAGGAATTTGCTCAGCATTTACTCAAACCGGTGGAGCTGTTCAGAACTAAAACTACTTCAGTATAATTAAATATTGACAGAAAAGGGGTAAAATTTAGTTTTACTCACGACCACCGTACGGTAGCGTCGCAAGCTTATCGCACTTTGCTCTTGTTCGGCTATCCCAACGATTATCCCTGGATTGGATGCAGCTCCTCCTCGATTCCGTGACATGATCGAGTTCAATGTTGTCTGTGCCACGTGCTCTTCAGCCGTCACTTTCAATTTTCCCTGCGGACGACCAAGCCTCCCTCCATTGAAGATGAAGCTCTACCTACCGACTCTCGTCGCCGCTGTGATCGCCACGCTCTACGCTGGTGTCGACGCCGTTCCTAAAGGCGTCTCTGGCATCAACTACGACGCTCGCAACGGCTCGGACTGGGAGACCAACAACGCCAGTTGCAAGAGCTTCACTGACGTCTACCATGAAATGCTGACCCTCCAAACGTTCACCGAGAAGGTTCGCACCAACTCGCTCATTGAGTGCGACGTGGCCAACCTTGTGCTGCAGTTCGCCTCGAGCATCGGCGTGACGGTCGACCTGGGAATCAAAACGTCCAAGGGCCGCGACTATTTCCTCCAGGAGAAGGTCAAGCTCGGGGAAATCATCGACAAGGGCCGCTTTGACACTGTCACCAGCGTGCACGTTGGCAACGGTGCTATCAGCCGCGACAACGTCACTGTCGACACTGCGCTTGAGTACATGACGGAGATCCGCGACTTCCTTCGAAGTCGCGGCAAGAACGCCTCGGTGACGATCGCGGACAGTATTGAAGTCTACAACACCAACCCGAAGCTCCTCGAAGCGGTCGACTACGTGTCGGTGGGCTACTCCCCGTTCTGGGAGCGAGTGGATGTCAACGAAGGCGTGGCTGTTACCCTCGACCGCATGAAGAGCCTTCGTATTGCTGCGGAGAACAAGGACAAGCCCGTTGTCATTGATACCGCTTGGAGCTCTGGCGGCATGAACCCAATCCCCGACTTGGCTACCCCAAAGAACCAGGCCAAGTACTTCTCGGACTTCATCCGGATGGCCCACTCCCACAAGGACCTCGACTACTACTGGTCCGACGCGTTCGACGCCAAGTGGCTCAACGACCTCGACATCGAGGCTCACCTGGGTGTCTATGAGAAGGCTGGCGTGATGAAGGAGGAGATCTTCAATCTGCAGTTCGAGAACTGGAGGGCCCCGCGTCTCATTCGCACCGAGGGAAGCATCATGCTCTCAGAGGCGGATGGCAAGCTGTACATGTCGGAGAAGTCGAACAACTGGCTCACGCAGGAGCAGCAGACGTGGTTCTTTGACGAAACCACGCAGCAGATCCGCTCCAAGAGCAGCGACCGCTGCCTGGACGCGTACCAGCCCTGGGACGGCGGCGCCGTGCACGTCTACCGCTGCATGGACAACGAGCGCAACCAGAAGTGGACGTACGACAACGCGACCCGCACGCTGCGGCACGCGACGCACAAGGGCTTCTGTCTGGATCAGGACGCGTCGCAGAACAACAAGATCCAGCTCTACGGCTGCTCGCCCAACAACGCGCACCAGCAGTGGGAGGTGCTGGACCCTTAACACCATTTACTGCCAGGAGGGGTCGATCTGCAACCCGAACGAGCAGTAAGAACTGACTAACGTAAGGTATAGCAAAGTTCGCGGGTAGATCTCAACACCTTCGCCGACAACGACGTCTTGTCGGTAGAAGTACGAAGGAATAAATGTTAGGGCGTGCACGCGAACCCTAAGGTATATTGCAATTTCATACCATCGCAATTTCATACTGCACACGCGAAGAATATGTCTACCTCTTGGCTACGAGTTGGAGAAAAATAGTACCCGGCGATAAAAATAGTACCCGGCACTATACGTGTAGCGTAAGCATGTCAGACAGCAGAAGTCACATATTCTCTGTGAGTATTTGCCAAACACAGTTGTTCTGCTGCGTTATGATGCATATGTGCCCCTATTTGTTTCTCATACTGTATCCTGGGGCCTGAATGGTCCGGGGCCCGGACCATTCAGGTGTACGTACATGTAGCGATTTGATTAGAGCTCGATCACAATGCGTCATACAGAAGATGCCACGTGACGATACATTTTAATCCCTGTGGACAAGACGCTGAAGTGATTATGGTCTTGTACACTATGGAAACCTAAGCAAACTCAAAGGCAAGAGGCAGTCGCGTTGTAAACACGATGTAAGGCATCCCTAGGTGGCATTTTTCGGTTGAGGAAACACTTGTGGTGTAGTGTGGCGCATGGATTTTGTACTTACATGTATCTACGAGGACTTTATTCATACATCACTACTATAAGCGGCCCACAAATACCGGATTCCAAAGTCCAGATTCCACCCGTGCATCGATTGCCGCTCCTGAACAATATGACAATTGTTTAGTTTGTGTTCATGAGTCTTCGGGAGCGCCGCCAATAGATGAGGAGAACGTGTGGACACATCCGCCGATGACTCGGAGGATCCGACGGCAACAGGAGAGCCGGCGGCAGCCGGGCTCTGGGTACACCAATGACTGGCCAGGGATACCCATATATACTGAGATCAAGTCAAGCGGAAACCGGGAGTAATCCGTCTGATGAGAGGCACCAACGAGCACAAGGAGAACAAGAAGGAAATCAGGAGGGGAAGACTAGAGAGTAGTTTGAGAGACGATAACATTTAATCTCACTTCGGAATTTGCCCCCTCAACCACAAGCTACAAACCAACAGGTTAACAGCCGCAAAAAGCTCAAGTCCTCCCCGACGACCGACATGACGACGTCCAGCAAGAAGGCCGAAGTCATCCTGGGAAGTGACAATTACCTCCACTGGGAGTTCGCGATGCGTATGACGCTCGCGAGGAAGGGGCTGCTGGCGCACGTCCAAGTGGTGAAGGACCCGACGGAGATGACGGAGGCCTGGGTGCTCAACGACATGAAGGCGCTCGGTCTGATCGCTCAAGGCGTGGCTGTGGAACACCACACGAAGATTCGGTCGGCGACGTCGGCTATCCAAGCCTGGAATACTCTACGCGAGTTCTACAACCGGACGACGATGCATAATCGGGTCACGATGACTCGTCGGCTCCACGAGTTCAAGATGGAGGACGGTGCGACGATGGCGAAACACCTGGACAAGTTCGACGAGCTCATCGTGGGCCTTCGGACGCTTGGAGAGCCCGTCGATGACTCCCGACAACTCGTCATCCTGCTGAGCAGCTTGCCGGCGGAGTACGAGTTGATCGCATCCATCGTCGAGAACTCGAAGGACGTGACCCTCATCGAGGTGAAGGAGAAGCTGCTCAAGGAGTACGAGCGGCAGGAGAAGAAGGAGACCACGGAGCGCGCGTTGAAGGCTACCTCGTTCGGAGGTAGGGGCCAGAACGGAAAGTTCGTCAAGGGCGGCAAGGCATTCGGCCGCAAGCGCAACGGTGGACGAAAGGTCGGTGGCTTCAAGGGCAAGTGCTTCAACTGTGACCAAGTGGGCCACATAAAGCGGGACTACCCGGAAAAGGCAAATGGATACACCGCCGAAGACTCGGTGTTCGCTGTGGCGGAGAATCCATCAGCGGGTTGGCTGATCGATAGTGGGGCGACAGCTCACATGACGCCTCACCGCGATGACTTGTTCGAGTACAACGAGTCGTCGGCGGACATGTATGTGACAATCGCGGACGGGAAGAAGATCCGCGTGGCAGGGAAAGGGTCGGTGCGCCTAACGGGCATCGACGGCAAGCGCATCAAGATGGTGGAGGTGCTCCACATCCCCGGACTTGACCGGCGACTACTCTCGATTGGGAGGTTGGCTGAACGCGGCATGAGTGTCGAGTTCCAGCGGAAGTCGTGCGTCATCTGGGACAAGACGAAGGCGATCGCTTCGGGGAAGAAGGTCGGCAAGGCGTACTTGCTGGACTGCCAGCAGGACATGGTGTATTACACCGAGTACTCGGGAGTCGACGGAAAGTGGGAGCTATGGCACGCTCGTATGGGACACTTGAACGGAGGCGCTATGGCGAAGACCCGCGAGGCGACGGACGGGATCCAGACGACTCAACAGCAGACGAAGAACCTGTGCGGAGGATGCATGAAGGGCAAGCAGACGGTCGCACATTTCCCGTCGCGGTCGACGTCGGCGACGACTCGACCGCTGGAACTGGTTCATACGGACGTGATGGGTCCTATGAAGACGAAGTCCAAGGGCGGAGCGAGGTATGTGCTCACCTTTGTCGACGACTACTCGTGACACGTCGTGGCGTACTTCTTGACCAAGAAGAGCGAGGTCGTGACCAAGTTCAAGTCGTTCATGAAGCTGTACGAGAACCAGTGGGGGCAGCGTATTAAATGCCTGCGCTCGGACAACGGCACTGAGTTCGTGAACACGCCGATGACTGAGATCTGCCGGGTGAATGGGATTATGCATCAGAAGACGGTCCCGTATTGCCCCCAGCAGAATGGCGTGGCGGAGCGGATGAACCGCACGATCATGGAGAAGGCTCGAAGCATGCTACACTACAAGGGCGTGGCTTCGATATGGTGGGCAGAGGCGGTCAGCACTGCTGTCTACCTGATCCACCGGTCGACGAACAGCATGCACCCGACCAAGACTCCGTACGAGTTGACGTTCAAGTCGAAGCCTCGGCTGGACCATCTTCGAGTCTTCGGGTCGATTGGTTACGCCCATGTTGACAAGTCGCGACGCACCAAGTTGGAGCCGAAGAGCTTCAAATGTATGTTTCTTGGGTACGCCGACGACTCAAAAAGCTACCGAGTGTACGACTTGGAGTCGAACAAGGTGAAGGTGTCCAGGTCGGTGAAGTTGGACGAGCGCGAGGTGAACGGCATCTACGACACGTCGCCCAGCGAGAACTCGCCGATCATTCAGTCGACGGAAGATGTCGACGATGAAGTGGCGCTGCACGAGGAGATGCAACGACCTGCCGCCGACGAGCCGATGGAATCGGTGGAAGAGACCGTCGAGGACGCGGAAATGCATGAGGCGGAGACGCCGGAGCCATCCATGCAGGAGCTGACAACGTACCGACGACTCGCGAGACCGGTATTTAATGATGACATGGTCTTCCATCCGGAGCCGGAACGGACCCGGCGTGCCCGAGAACCGGTACTACTACTTGGAGATGGTTCCGCAGACGGTGAGGAGTCGAAAGAAGATGGTCCCGATGACTCGGACAACGATGATCACTTCTGGCCACCGTCTCCAAAGCGACCCAGGGTGGACGAAGACAGCCTATTGGCTGAGGCGGTGCTGGCCTACGCCGCAGACGTCGGCGATGCCAATGACGCACCCACCACGTATCAGCAGGCCATGCAGAGCGACGAGTCGTCGGAGTGGGTGAAGGCAATGAATGCGAAGCTCAAGGCACACGCGGACAACGGATCATGGACGCTGGTCCGTCGGACACCGAGTGCTCGACCGATCGGTTGTCGCTGGGTGTTCGCAAAGAAACGCGACGAGCACGGCCGAGTCATCAGGTATAAGGCCCGCCGGGTGGCGAAAGGGTTTAAGCAGAAGTATGGCGTGGACTTCTTCGAGACGTACTCGCCCGTGGCCAACATGAACTCGATCCGAGTGGTGTTGTCGGTTGTGGTGGCCGAGGCGTACATCACCGAGCAGCTGGATGCGGACACCGCCTTTCTCAACAGCGGGCTGGTGGAGCGCGTCTACATGGAGGTGCCCTACGGAATCATCAACGCGAAGAACATGATGTGTTGGCTGCAGAAAGCGATCTATGGTCTGAAGCAGGCGGCGAATGCCTGGCATAAGACCATCCACCGAGTCTTCGTGGGCATCGGATTTCGGAGCTGCGGCGGTGACCAGTGCGTATTCGTCAAGGGCGAGAAGGGCAGGTTCGTGTACGTCTGCCTGTACGTGGACGATATGATCATCGCAGCCAAGACGAGCAGCGAGATCCAGGAAGTCAAGGTGGCGCTCAAGAATGCGTTTAAGATGAAGGAGTTGGGCGAGGCCAAGTTCATTCTTGGTATAGAGATCGACCATGACTCATCGGCGAAGACTCTCATGATCAAGCAGACTCGATACATTGATGATGTGGTGAAGCGGTTCAACCAGCAGGACGCCAAGGTGGTGGTGAACCCGTGCGAGTCGGGCATGAAGTTGTCGAAGACTCAGTCGCCGATGACTCAGAAGGAACGTGAGGAAACGCAGGCGAAGCCCTACCGAGCACTCATTGGCTGTTTGCTGTACATTACAACGTGCGCCAGACCTGATGTGGCGTACATCGTGACCCAGTTGTCGCGCTTCCTCGAGAACCCCGGGCAACAGCTGCCATCCGCGTGCTCAGGTACCTGAAGAGAACCCAAGACATCGGCATCGCCTACAATGGGAACGCGAAGAAGGTCGAGGTGACGGCGTACACCGACGCCGACTGGGGCAGCAATCTCGACGACCGACGCTCGGTGTCGGGCATCATGGTGATGATTAGCGGGGCGCCGGTGGTCTTCAAGTCGAAGTACCAGCGCACGGTGGCGCTCAGCTCGGCGGAGGCCGAGTACATGGCGCTGAGCCTGTGCACGCAGGAGGTGCTGTGGACCCGCGCCATGCTCAAGGACATGGGTCACGAGCAAGTGGGAGCTACCCAAGTATGGGAGGACAACCAGGGCGCGATCGCCCTCGCAAGCAACGCTGGCTATAACGCGAGGACCAAGCACGTGGACATCGAGCATCACTTCATCCGCGAGAATGTGTCCCGAGGACTCATCGTCGTCAACTACGTGCTGACGGAAGACCAGCTCGCGGACATGCTAACCAAGGCGTTGGGGACGAAGAGGCTCCAGTACCTGATCAGCGCAAGCGGAATCGTCGGGACGGTCGTGCAGTATTAGCGGCGAGTGGGAGTGTTCATGAGTCTTCGGGAGCGCCGCCAATAGATGAGGAGAACGTGTGGACACATCCGCCGATGACTCGGAGGATCCGACGGCAACAGGAGAGCCGGCGGCAGCCGGGCACTGGGTACACCAATGACTGGCCAGGGATACCCATATATACTGAGATCAAGTCAAGCGGAAACCGGGAGTAATCCGTCTGATGAGAGGCACCAACGAGCACAAGGAGAACAAGAAGGAAATCAGGAGGGGAAGACTAGAGAGTAGTTTGAGAGACGATAACATTTAATCTCACTTCGGAATTTGCCCCCTCAACCACAAGCTACAAACCAACAGTTTGTGATATCGCTAGGTACTAACCAACAGATAACTATTATTGTACTGGCCATAGTAGTTGAAGCCGGAGTTCGGAGGCATTTTTCTCCCAGAAGATGGTAACTTTCCATATACGATAGTTAGATATAAGGGGTAATTTTCGCCGTAGATTCCGCTTCTGCTGTCAGATTTGACGAATTCAGATTTTATGTATGCGTAATTAAGTCTTGAAAACATGACCTCAATTGCTCAAAAGTTTGGGGAAAGGGCTCAAGTAGGGTAAGCCAATGACAAACCCAAAGACATGAACACTATTGGCTTAAACGGCAAACCATACGCCAAAACAGACGGTGGTTAGGTGAATTGACTGCTCTTGTTCACATTCGCCCTGAGATTGCCAACTTGCCCTTTGTAACATACCGTCGTGTTTGCATAGGATTTGTATTTGATTTGGCAAGCATGGATAGCATCTTTTATCTTGCTGTGTTTCGGTAGTCGCTATTCCGGGAGAGAATACAAGTTTAAACAGGTAATTGATATGTACCGTTAAGTATCCGAAGGATGCCTCGGCGACGACTTCGATGAAGTTTGCTGGACTTGGTACGCGCTCCTGACGCGAAACGCCCTGCTCACATCGGGCCCAATACACTTCACTACCACTTCGCGCGCTTACCGCATCGTCTTAGGTTTTCCTTTCATTGTTAGGTCCGAAGATTCATTCATAGTGATTACGGCAACTCCCTCATCGGCATTTACTTTCAGGCCAATATCCATTCGTTAGGCCCTGGTGCCTTGCGCTACACTCTTGTTGTGCATAGTTGAGATAATTGCTCTTCTTTTGAGGGTCTTTTGAGGTCCCTGGGCCTAAAAATAGCTAAGCTATCGGTGCGAGCGTCCGCGTGTTATAATCTCCAGCTTCAACTATTTTGGCCAGTACAATAGCTGTGTAGCTTCATACGCCATGTAGCCTACAGTTTGGCCGCGTCGCAAGCCCATCGCCAAGCTGCTCTTGCTTCGGCTATCCAAACTAAATTCCTGGATCGGGGTACTTACGCATCTCTCCTTTAGTTCCCGATTTGCGCCGAAGGACCGAAGCGAAACCGACGAAGCCAAGGAAGGCCGAGGGGCCCGGGAACTCCCCCGAAGGGAGACCTCTCGGCCGGCCCCGCGCTAGCCAAGAGTACACGTGCACACTGGGGGACGGCAAGACACCGCAGCTGAGGACACCCCGAAGGAAGGCGCAGCAGAAGAAGACTCCGCGGACAATAAGGAGCGCCTGACCCATACTGCGCTACGAGGAGTTGGACCCAAGAAGAGAGCGACCAGTCCGAAGAGTCACCGCAATTGGGGCCAAGATATGAACACAGAAACGGCTCGCACATGAAGAAGAGAAGGATGATCAAATTACAAGGACCACCCCATGAAGAAGAAAATGAACAAGAAGATACAAGAAACAAGGACCACCCCATGAAGAAGAAAATGAACCAGAATATACAAGACGCAAGGACCAGCTGCAGCTATGCTGCCGGTGCAGCACGGTGCAAACAGTAACACGAGATACACCGACCAAGTGACACAGTCCCACGAGTAGACGCTTACGGAAGTGTCGACGCTTGAGAATGGGTGCCTGCCAAAAGGGTCATAAGGACCTAACATAGTTACCGCAGATATGCGGGTAGATATGTCGACATATAGCCTAGTTGCACCCGCCACAACATGCTTATCGACAACAACTCCGTCCGATTACAAATGCCCAAATACCACCTCTATTCGCCCTACAGCGTCACTTCGCTCCGGACATTCCTATGGCTCTGCAGTTTATCTCAGCCTGCTCATTTACGATTCAGCGCTCTTCTGCCCACGCTGCCGCGGTGATGGAGCTCCAGAATGGTACGTGCGACGCTCTGTGTGTGCTGTGCGAGGCCTACGTGAGCTACAACAAGGACCTGCGCGCTGTTCGACGCGCGATTCACAAGCGGCTGGTAGAAGAAGATAATATATATTATATGACAGCCTGTCATTGACAGGCGATCTTCACAAGAATGATGGTCGACATATTCAATACAAAGTCGTAGTAAGTCGTTAAGATGGGTACACGGCATAACCGCCAGTTTATCGAGACGATTTTCCGGTCTCACGAGATTTATGTTAGCTTATGCCGAGCATATCTGCTGCATTTACGCCGGGTCCTTATGACCCTTTAGGCAGGCACCCAATGGTCCAAAGAAGCCGATGATGACAAGAGCCCCCAATGAACATAAGAGGAATCTTGAAGAACATGAAGGCCGTTGATGGTGCAGCGGCATGGCAGCTGCAACACGAGGGACGCCGGCGCCCAGTGAATGCAGCGCTCCGATCCAGTGAATACCAACGGCAGTTGGCGAAGCGCACGCAATAGACTGGAACAATGGCAACAACGATGTATGGGACCTGGCAGCAGATCCGACCCGAGATGCATCCATCGCGCTGTAGGCTACCCAGCAGATGGAGAACAACCGTGAATTGACCGACCCGACGGATGCACAGACATCTATAGGGAGATAGCTATCCCGTAGACCCCTTGCATATTAGGAAATCCCGATTAGGTGACGTATAAGCGCAGGAATGACAGCCGTAGCCGCCGGGTACCAAGTGGGCCCGGTAAGCGGGGCTGATGCAGTGCTCGCCCTGAGTGCAACCGGCGTTAACCGCTAAAAAACATCTCTCCTTTGAAGCAAGAAGTAAAATGTCAACCACTGAGTCGAATTCACATCCACTGTTAGAAGTCACTTTCAATTTTCTCCGCGCTCGATCAAGCCTCCTTCCACTCAAGATGAAGCTCTACTTCCCCATCGTCATCGCCTCCGTGCTCGTCGCTGGCATCAACGCAGCTCCCAGCGTTCCGGCGTGAACTACAACGCGCGCAACGGTTCAGACTGGGAGACCAACAACTCGAGCTGCGAAGACTTCAACGGTGTCTACACCGACATGAGGGCGATGCTGACGTTCACCGCCAAGATCCGTATGAACTTGTGGTGTTGTGGATGAAGATATTTTTGTGCGGACAGCATCGACAACCCAAGATCAACAAAGGCGGCCGATATCGACTCCGTGGAATAACACCAACGACGTGCGGCCCGGCGTAGTTTGGAACTTTGTCAACGAGCACGAAAGTCGAGTCTGCGACTTCAAGTGAAACAGCTTCTTCGGAGATGCTGGCGAGCCAATCCCCGGTATATCCGATCCAAGTCGACGATATCGATCTTGGCGAGGATGACGTGATCTCGGAAAAAGAGTGATGATCTCGGCCCCATGGGTTGCGCAAACACCGCACGGAGAGCCAGCGGCACCACCAGTGTTCAAGGGAGCCAGAGAGCACGCGCCAGGACCATAAGAGAGCACGAGAACGATAGGACAAGGACTTAGGCAAAGCTAACATTTAAACAGAGTTGATTTTACCTCTTTCTTCACAAGTGGTCTTCGCCTTCGCAATACCGGGCACGGGATATACTTTGGCCCACCCGACGCTACGCGAGTCGACTTACACCCCAAGATCAAGGAACCTCGGACGACAGGATAGCTTGGCCCAGCGTCCGTCAACCCTCACTTCGACCCACCGCTACAGGAAGCGGCAAGCAAGGAAAGGAAAGGAAGGTCACTCACCGACCACAAGGCAACCCCAGGCCAAGATCACACCTGGCCGGCGAGTGTCGATCTAGACAACCCCAGATCGAAACCGCCACAACTACTCCGGCACAGCGTGAAGCATATCCGCGTTGCTGCCACAAGTTCCCGCTGTCCACCAGACAGTCCAAGACTCAACCTTCTCGAGATCACCCGAAGAGCGATCCAGCCCACCAACGGGTACACAAGGTGCGGATCAGCGACTTCACGGAAGATCGGAGTACCCCCTCCGTTAGTCGGCAGTTCGGGCGCCGTGTGCAAGAGGGCCCCCGCGATCTGCAAATTTCGCGGATCCACTTCGCCACAATGGTGCGCGTGCCCGGATCTTTGAGTGACTCGGGATTTCACCGTGAGTCCCTACAAGCGGATGCGCAAGCCGAGTTTGGACAAGGGAATGAAACGTCGACAGAGATCGGATCGCCATCGACGCCGCTGAAACATAATCGATCCGCGGATCGGCAGAGCCTAGGGAGGAGCTCTACCGACGGAACAGAGGAAGGTCCGGCGACGGACCTAGAAGAAAAACCTCAACCTCCTCCCCAGGTCCCCTCGGGGACCCCCGCAGGGCACGATGCGAATCGTGACCTGCCGGACGAAAGTCCACCGGTGCAAGCCGGAACCCAACCACCCAACGCTAGATCGACCAAGAAGAAGCCAGCAGGATCGAAGTCGTCGGAAGAAGATGAAGGCTCCAGACTCCGATGCTGACGATCGAGCCGATCTCACGACCGTGGTTGAGGACCAACTGGCTGTAACGTACTACAAGAAAGAGCTGAACGCTTTCCTGCTTCAGGACAACGTGATGAAGCTCCTCCGGCCGAAGCTCCTCGGCGATCTTGCGGGACCGGTGTCACAGCCGACCCCTGGATCGGACAAGTTGGATGCCGTACAGACCCTGCTATGGCTCTTCAAAGTTGGCATCATCGCAGGAGCGCTGGATGCGGAAAGCCTGTTCAATCTGAAGCCCAACACGATCCAGAACTCGACCCAGAGGCTGTTCCTGTTACTGAAGCCGTTGGTCGGTGAATCGAGTCGATCCTTGAAAGAAACATCAAGATCGCCTCAGACGCTATCGAGATCGACTCCCGCCAGATCGACGCCTGCGCGCAACCCGGGTGACCAAACTCCGACGTCATCTCCGTACGTGTCTGCAACGGAAGACGTGGACTCCGATAGTGTCGATGATCCGCCGCCACGTATGACGCTTGGTCCTTCCGGTGCCGCCATGCTACGAAGTCGAACCGAGCGTGCTGGGGGCGAGGCCGCGGTGCCAAGGCGAGAGCCGAAGGCCACAGCAACCTCGACGCGACACTCACCGGAAAAACTCGAGTCATTCTTCCAAGCGGCCATGGAACGTTTTCTGAAGGAGCAGCAGCTACCTGCTATCGCGTTGAAGTCGCGACCGACCGGTGATCAAGATGTGGAGATGGGGTCGGTTGGATCACCAAACCGATACTCTACGTCATGGGAGTTCGATCCTGACGACCTCGATCTTGGTCGACCCGTCCGCACAGCGATCGCAGCGACAGCTACGGCTTCGCCAGGAGGAATTGAGTCTGCACCACGCATTCGTGTTTCTGCAATGTCGGAACTGAAGGAGTTTTCCGGAAAGGACGGCGACGAAGATCGAGCTCGAGCTTGGGTCAGCAAGGTAAGATTGGCCTTCGTCCGCGATCAAGCACCTGATGATGAGAAGTGTCTGGTGTTCGGCGACTTGCTCACTGGTCCAGCGAGAAACTGGTGTAGACAGCTGAGCCGAACAACTCGCACCACGTGGAAGGACCTGCTCCAGAGTTTCCAGCTCCAGTATTGTGGTCGTGGTGTCTCGGTTGCCCGCCAGTACTACCATGCTCGGAAGCGATCTGACGAGTCGCCTCTGGAGTACCTCCACAGGCTCAACGTCGCAGACCTGCGGACACGTCTACAAGTCAAGGACGGTCCGCCTGACGTGCACCGGGAACATGTGGAGCATTTCATCGAGACGTTGGACGACCGCGATCTAGCGGACCAGTTCGCCTTGCTGCGGATTCCTGATGCGGATACCCTGGAAGAAGTTCTGCGATCTCGCCAGCGTGCCAAGGCGCGGCAGAGCAAGACAGTGTATGGCTCGATCAAGCCCCGTCCGAAGCCACCAGCTACCGCCGGTACCCGCGCAGTGCGAGCGATCCAGATACCGAGTGACACTAGTGACGCCGACTCTGGATCAAGTGGATCGGATGAAGATGGAGATCTGCGCCGAGTGTACGCGACCGCGGCTGGCAACAGCAACGGAGCGACTGAACATCGTATCTCTGGTCAAGACCGGCGTCTACCAGAACAAGGTCGCAACCGTCAGGATCGTCGGCCCGGACAACACTTGAAGCCAAACGACATGGGAGCGCCCCTCAAGCGGTGTACTCTGTCAAGCATGATGATCTGGGATGTTGGAAGCGGCTGACGTGCGAGAAATGCGGCAAGCGTGGTCACCCGTCGGATCGCTGCCTCTTTGTCTGCAAAGCCTGTGGCGAAATTCACGACGAAGGGAGCTGTCCGATGGAGGAGTTCTACAATTTGATCTGCCAGTGGTACAATTCCACCAAGCACGGGGGCATGTTGCCCGAGTCCGCGGAGAAGATGTTAAACTAGGACGCCCGCCGGGTTGGAATCCGGTACGAGACGAGCGTTCTCAGTTCTGCATCTTTGCGTATAGTCACAGTCGACTGTAAGCAAACTCATCGACAATACATGTGATCTTCAAAAGAAAACTACGGCTGCCGTGTCAAGCCTTCACCAAGTTGATGACTACTCAAGATCGAGTGCGAAGATGGCCTTGGATATCGCGTTGGGGGAGTCGCGTGGTTACTGGAAATACCATGTGCCCGACAAGAAGTTCAAGCAAGCGAAAGCTCTGGGCAAGATCAACAACGAAAAAGCAACTCTGTTGTTTGACAGTGGTGCCGAAGTGTCTATCCTAGACACCGCCTTTGCTCGTAAGATGGGGTGCTACATTGATGAAAGTCAGACATTGGAGTGCGAAGGCGTTGGAAAATCTCCATACATGGCGGAAGGACGTGCGCGGGTCAAGATCACGCTCGCGGGATCGCTTGTGTACTTCTTCGATGTCTGGGTGGGGCCGCCGACCGGCGGCCAAGACTTGATCCTCGGCATGGACTTCATGGTGCCGGCCGGGATCCGCCTTGATCTTGCCGACGGAACCATCTTCCTGCCGGACGAGGTGCGAATTCAGCTTGCTGGAAGACGCCCGCTCTACGGTGACAAGGTCGAGCAAGTGAACTTGGCCGACTATTGCGATATCGACGTGGCCGGATCAACCGAGGTGAAGCTGCGCACGAGACCAACAGAGCATCAGAAGCTTTGGGTCACACGTGGCGATCGATGGGTGCCTACCGTGACTGCAGGCCCGGGCAGGGCTCGTTACCTGCAACTGACAAACGTCAGCGAACGCAAGTTAGCGTTGCATCAAGGTATGCGACTCGTGATGTGGCTGTCCGGAGATCGAGTGCTGCGCTTACCTGGGTATATCTTCGTCGGATCTCGCCGCTACGCTGAGTGGCAGAACTTGGCGTACCAACCAACCACCGACACTGCGGACGATGTGCCTGAACCTGCCGGTGTGGAAGAGCCTGCTGTGGAGCGGCCTCAGTATACGACGCCGACCGCGATCTTGGCCCGCCCTGCAAAGCGACCGGAGGTGGCCACAGTGTGTGCCGAGTACATGTCGCCCAAGAACCCCGACGACTCCAACCCAGAAGGGTCGTGCGACGACCCCACCAAGTCTCACGCGATGCCCAGCAGCGACGAGGAACCGAAGAACATCGACGAATTGCGCGCAGAAGAAACGCGCCATGATTTCGCCACGTCGCTGGGGGCGGAGAGACCATCGGGTGATTATGACGCTGAAAATCCAGTCTGCGACACGGAATGTTTGGAAGATCATGCTCCGTCGGTGCGACAGGGGACGTCTAACCGCGATCGAGTGGTTGCGACGGACGCAAATCAGGCGTCTCATCAAGATTACGGTGGTGCGACAGGCGCAAATCAGGCGTCAAATCAAGATCGGCGGAGCGAAACGGATGGGCCCAGCGACTTCCAGTGATGTTGGAGCGACGCGTAAACCCGCACCCATGAGTGATCTTGAAGTTGACGCGCGCCCAAGACCGGTCGAATCAGATGATCCTGAGGTATGCATGACGGAAAGTGGCGATCTCTACGCGGAAGACGTGGAAGGTCAAATGGCAGTGCTCCCGGAGTTCTCTACGACCGATGAAGTTGTGATCACGGACATCCAAGTGGGCGATCTTGGCGAAAACACGCCGGAGGAAATGGACCGACTGCGGAGGATCATCTGGCGTCGGAAGCATCTACTCATGGGAAAGGGAAATGCCTTACCAGCTGCCGCAAAAGTTGCGATCTGCGACATTGACGTTGGAAATGCGAAGCCAGTCGCTCAGCGTTGCCGTAAAGTGGCGCCGCAGTACCGCGAGAAGCTGGCGCAGCTAATCAAGGGACTCCTGTCAGCCAAGATGATCAAGATTTCAACGTCTCCTTGGGCATCACCGATCGTGGTGATCGTCATAAAGAACGGAGTCGACATCAGACTCTGTATTGACTACCGTCTGGTCAACAGTCTGACGCGTATAATGGTCTACCCGATGCTGCTGATCGACAATCTCCTCGAGGATCTCGACAAGGTGCTCTGGTATTGCTCGCTGGATATCGCTAGCGGTTTCTGGGTGGTGACGATGACAGATCGAACTCGTGCGATCTCCGCGTTCATCACTCCATGGGGACTCTACGAGTGGAATCGAAGGCCATTCGGATTGAAGAACGCGCCGCAGATCTATCAGCGGTTGATCGACAACGCACTCTACGGCTTCCTCAAGATCACGGACAACCAAAATCGACAGGGACAGATCGACCTTTTCAAGGACGGAGAATCAAACGTCGAGCAAAAGACCTCTGTCCTGGGGCGTCGATCTTATATCGATGACATCCTGGTCACGGCCGGTTCGTGTGATACGCTGTGTGAGAAAGTGGAGAAGCTGCTAGATGTCTGCGAGGAATGAAACTTGTCGATCAGCGTGGCCAAGAGTTTTTGGGGATTGATGAAGGTCGACAATTTGGGACATCGAGTGTCTGCGGAAGGTCTAGAGGCTCACCCGAAGGATCTATCAGCGTTTGCTAATCTGCCGTTTCCGACCACCCTGAGATCGATGCAGTCGTTCTTGGGTAGTCTCAACTACTACAGCAGGTTCATTGATGACTTTGCGGTCTACGCTTCCGTGCGGTATGAGCTCCGGGAGGCTGACTTCTACGAAATCACCCGACAGCAGTCCAAGATCGGTGTTGCTCAAGGAAGAGTCGAACCGGATCAAGATCAACCGGGCCAGGACAAGTGGGGCCGGGCCATCACGGCGTTTACAGTGTTGAAGGACAAGATCGTCAAGGCGCCGATCCTGCAGCATTTTGACCCAGACCGAGAACCAGTCGTCGTAGTGTACGCCAGTAAGTGGGCAATTTCCGCGGCGTTGATGCAGGAACACGACGGAGTGTACAAGCCAGTGACCTTTACCAGCCGGACGCTCAAGCCGAACGAGATCAACTATGGAATGGTGGATAAGGAGGTGTTGGCACAGCTCCTGATATTGGATGTCTGCTACACGCAACTGGTTACCAGATCGATCAAGGTCCTGACCCGATACTCAACGTTGGTTTGGCTGGTGCACTCATCCGGCCTGCAAAGGCGCCTTGGCCGTTGGCCAGTGTTACTGTCGTCGTGGACACTGGAGATCGTGAAGTGCACGAAGGGAGAAAATGAGATCTTGGGTGTGATAGCTGCGAGCATAACGCTACGCGAAGAAGTCGACGCCATGCTGACGTCGATCTCCCCCAGGAAACAACCGCGACAAACGATCACGATGCCGCCGCCCGCTGTAGAGATTGGTGAAGAACTGCTGGTGGTTAGCTTCGACGGATCAGCTCGTGTGAAACGAAGTGGGGGTGCCTACAGCGCGATTGTGTAGGGATTGCCGGAATGGAAGGTGATCTCGGCCGCCTCGGAGTACTAGGTTGATCTTACGGTGAATGAGGCGGAGTATCACGGCTTGCTGCTTTGTTTCGATCTCCTGGCTAACCTGGACAGAGGGCGCCGCCTGATCATCTGTGGTGACTCCAACTTGGTGATCCGTCAGATGCGTGGAGAGATCGAGTGCAAGGCCCGAGTTTGGTACTACCACGTCAGAAGGCCATGGAACAGTTGCGATCTTGGCCTAACCACGAATTTCTCCACATGAAACGTGACTGGAACCAGAGTGCAGATCGACTTGCAAGCGCAGCACTACAACGGGAAGGTGACTCCATCGTTACAACAAACGAAGAACGCGAAGATCTGGGGACGCTCAACCGCCTCGACGAACGATTGGTTCCTCGATCTGACGCGGCAGTGATCAAGATCGCGGCGGTTACGACGAGCGGCCTCACAAGTGTTGGATGAGTTGATGGTACAACGAATGCGGACGGAGCGCATTTGCCAGGCCCAGGATGAAGAGAAGCGGATTGCCGATCTCAAGAAGTATCTACTTGGGGACGTGCAGGACCTTACCTCGGCGGAGGCTAAAGCGTGTGCCAAGATTGCCGATGACTACGAGGTCGACGAAGCTGGATTGCTGTTCTACTGCCCGCCATCGAAGCGCTCTGATGAAGGTCGTCATCTTGTGATGCGGCTGGTGATCCCGGAGACCTTGCAGCAGGACTTCCTACACCATTATCATGCCAGTCTCGAGGGTGGCCACCAAGGCATTGGAAGAACCTACCAGCGGATTCGTGCCCATTTTCACTGGAGAGGCCTCTACCAAAGTGTACAACGATACGTGGGGCTGTGCGTGGACTGCGAAACCGGGAAAGGGAGGCCGACTACACAAGGAGAATCTCCCGGTAATCTTCAGGCTACCTACCCGTTCCAGATTATTGCCATGGACCACATCCCGTCATTACCCAAGTCGTACAAAGGGAACACCGAGTTGTTGATCTGGATCGATCTTTTCACGGGATTCGTGATTGCAAAGGTCAGCTCGTCTAGAACAGCCCAAACGATCACTAAGAACTACGAGGAGTGCGTGTGTCGCCGATTTGGCGCTAGCGAAGCGATACGACATGACCGCGAGCCAGGAGTTATGTCGGATTTCTTCAGATCATTCAACAAGATCGTCGGTCAGAGGCAACGTGCGACTATGGCTTATCGGCCTCAGGCCAATGGTACCGCTGCGCGGATGGTGCAGACGCTCACTCGCGCTCTGAAGATGTATGTCGAAGACATCAACCAGCGAGATTGGGAAGAGTACGCGGAGCGCCTTACTTTTGCGCTCAACACGGCCCAAGATCGAATTCGGGGAGAGTACATGAGTGGGACCCTCGATCTACTCTGGAGGCAATGGTACCGCTGGGATCGACGCGCCGGCGGGATCGACAGCCTCGCAGGTGGCGCTATCATGTCCAGAAGCAATATCAGCAGGCCCGGAAGCAAGTCAATGAGTGCCTACGTGAGGCAATTCGAGATCGAGCTGACCAGCCGTAGGCTTTTTCCAATCGGTGCCCAAGACATCTACATTCTACCATACTGTATAATCGTAAATCTCTCTTACATGCATGCTACTTCTCCACTATCTCCATTACTGTTTTTTATTGGGAAGGGGGTAATGGCGCAAAATACTTCGATCTGATCCCTGAAAGCTTTGAAACCTGGACTTCTGCAGTGCTGGTATCCTCCACCGCTTTTATGTTTTTGCTTGGCGCGGAACCAACCGCAAATTCATTGGGGGTGGTCAGCGGGGTTGATGCAGAGCTCGCCCTGAGCGCAATGGGCGATGGGAAAAACTTTTTTTATGCATCCATCGGCTACTTTCTATTACATGGGGATTTATTGTATTGCACAGGATTAATTCTATTATCAACAGCTACTTTTGACGCAGTAAAAATTTAATTAGACGCCACCTCCGTGAGCAGTTGGAGTTCGGATATGCACCGCTACTAAGCCTTCATGGACTACAAACATGCATTGAAGAGGCCGGAAGACTTGATATATGACTGCTACCAAGCCTCTGGGTGCACTGTAGGCTTGATTTACAACTGTCACTTAGTCGCACTACACAGTACTGTAGTTGATTTAAAGTAGAGCTTTGCATAGTTTATTCCACGATTAACTATCCACACAACTGTACTTATCTACAGGACAGGATTTTGCCGCGGCGGACTGATGTAGTAATAGTGTATATTAGATGCGACCAATCAAGCGACTGTGAACCTCGATCGACTGTGCCGTCGATGTTATCGACCGCCTCCGACAGGACCTGTTGAGGGCAGAGCGGGTCCTTACCGATGGAATTTCCCGCCTCTACAGAAACGCGTCGCGCACCTTGCGCCAAGTCGATGGCGAACCACTATCGTCATCGTCCGACGAGAGCAGTGATGATTCGTTTCGGCCTAGAACCCCACCGTTTGTCGACAATTTTGATGACGACAAGATCCTTTTTGGCCAACCAGGACCCCCGCGCAACAATTTCAGTCAATCCGAGCGCACTCCTAGCATTTCTGACCGATCAGAGAGTTTTACTGATGCCTCTCCTAGCCAATCGAATTACTCGTCCTCTTCGCTCAGCCAATCAGGAAGCGACGAAAGCGAAGGAGAGTACAAGATCGAGACGGCAGGGTCTGCGAACAATCCAGTTGATTTAACTGACGATAGCGAGTAAGTTTTCTGTTTTCTTTTCCTTTTTCCGTTAGGAAATACATACTTTCTGAACTGCTGTGTTTTATTAGGTTGATTAAATTTGGGCCTTTCTGGATTTAAAGTTTACCTTTTCCGGCTTTTGTACGGTAAGTAAACACATAAATTACCTCAGAGACTGGACATACAACCGCCGCGGTCCCTGCGCTTTTGCTAAGACCACTCAGTTTACAATTTCCAAGCATCCGAACAAATCTTTATCTCAGCTTCTGTCAACAACTCCGTCCGTGACCTCCACACCCGGCTACCCTTTCCGACATTTGCAAGCCCGAAGACTGCTGCCAACGCACCGCTTACTGTTGCGAGGCGTCGACCGTGCCTGCAATGGAGACCGAACCGGTCGGCCGCTCTACCGGGCCCCCGTCCTCAATATCGCTCACCCCATCTTTAAGTGATAGCGAGGATTTTTCGGGTGTGGTAACGCGACGTCGATCAGCCGTCATTCTGTGTCGCAGACAGGTAGTGCTGACAGCGAAGAAAAGACCGCCGAACACGACTTCGATGACGGCGCTCGTAAAAGTCCAAGTAGCCGTGATGAGGACTATGACTACGAAAGTGACAACGAGGGAAGCAGTGGCGACTCCCCACCGCAGCGAGACAATACCACTCCTCCAGAAACCTGTCCCTATGAAAGTGAACGAGCTGTCATGGAACACCCGGTGCTGTTCGATACGATGTAAGAGGCAAGGGCAGTTTTGGATGGGCTTGAGAACGCTGGTTTTTCCATCGACAACAATGGGAGAACGACGACGCTGTTATCGTGCACGTCTCATGTCGACTGCGCTGCGGTGGCACGGATCAAATGCAACAAAGATGAGCAGTATGTTTTATCCAGAAGTGGGATGCACACTACTGAGCCAGCCCCCGTTGAAGAGCAGCGAAACGGTATTCACAAGCCGCTGCTGCCTGAGATCGACAATTTGTTGCTCGGAGGCCAAGGACCCAAAAAGTGTTTGAACACGCTTCGCATGAGATACAAGGAGTCGCCTGAACAGCTCAACTTGCTGCGAAGCACCAGCCTGCTCAAAAACCGAGCTCACAAGCTGAGAAAGCGCGGCGATTTCTCCATCACGACCTACTCAAATGTGGTGGAGTGGGCATCGCCGAGGATGTGCACAACGAAGGAGCAATTCTTCCAGCATATGAGTTACCTGGTGGAGTCGGATGATATGCGGGTATTACTATAGCCCTTCGGCTACCGCACGAATTGCTGGTCTTGGACTGCTTTCCTGATCACCTGGACGATGGCGGACTCTCGCTCGGCATTATAATTACTTCCCGGCGGTTGTTTCGGACTCTGCCACGAGTGATTCTCGGTCAGCGGTCGCAAGTACTGGGTGCAACCGACGGAACGTACAAGCTCCACTTTGGTGGATGGACGCTTGTTTCGTTTGGTACTTTCGGTGTTCGATACACGGCGTCACACTAGTACCAGCACAAGTTTTATCCGATGGCATTCATGTTTGTGCGAACGGAGACGGCGTTTGCTTACGCGCGGCTCTTCACAGTTTGCAGAGAGCGCGGTAAATCGTTTTTCGGCGGCACCCTAACGCTTCAGCATGGATCCATGGATCACTCGACGTCTATTGCAAACGCGTTTCGACAAGAGTGGCCTGACATCAAGCTCCTGAACTGGTGGCCTCATTTGTATCGTAAAGCCCGCGGCAAGAAGGCACTTTTTTCCGATCGTGGCCGGTATGACGATATCATCAAACCTCAGCTGGAATATTTGAGTCAATGCCGGACTATCGAGCAGTTTGAGGCGTTATCAGATCTCGTAACGGAGAACTGGGCGTCTACGGGTGAACCCGAGTACGCGCAATGGCTCGACGATGAGTATTTGACAGACCCATGGGATCTATGGTTTTACGCCGCGAGCGGTACCCCTGGTGTGGTGCCAAACCAACATCCGATTGAATCCCATCACCGTGCGATTAAGGCGACGGCAGTTGACCACCTTCGCGCTGCGACGAGCCATGTACTTGCGGGAACACTACCCAAGATTTTGGTTGAGTGTGCAATGGATATTGGCTCGGATCGGATTCGGCACTACGCGTCAGGACCCGTTAGCGCTGAAGTTCTCGGGGCGGCTGTGCAGCTCTGTGCAAGTGCCAATCATTATCCAAACCACCAGAGAAAGTCGCAACGCGCCATCAACCGAATTCAAGAGTACTATTTCAACTCCAACTACTAGGTCGTTCGTGACGACAACTTGCATGGGCTGAAGGTTAACGCACATCGCGTCAAGACGTACAAGGCATCGCTGGATGGTACGCTCAACAAGGACGAGAAGGTCGAGAACATTCAGCTTCGGTACTTGTTGCTCCACACGGTTGAAGTCCTGGACCGCGTTCCCTTCGATCACGCCTGGGATAACCCTTCCTGGAGTCTTGAGGAAATCGAAGTGATTCGATCAAAGTTCAAGTGCGACTGCAAAGCGTTCTTCCAATCGGGGTGGCTGTGCGCTCATGTGTTGGCCTGCTTACATCTGGTCGACTCGTTTGATCTCCAAGTCATACTACCCAGTCTACCGGCTCGGAAGCCACCTGCAAGACCTCGAAAGGAGACCAAGTGCCTCGCGTGGGATGGCCCTCGGAAGTCTCAGTACTCGGTAGACGCGCTCATCAAGCGGCTGGTTGACAAGCCTGCAAGCGTGATTAACTGGAGCATCTCACAGGTGTGGACGACCACTGACGAAGACGGCGAGGAAACGGAGCTCAACTTTGTTGGGAAAATCAAGCCCCCATTCACTCGCGGAGGCAAGCGGTACTGGAAGGTCGAGTACGATGACCGCGAGGAAGTTGACACACTGGGCGTGGAAGGATCAGCAATGGCGATCGACTACTCCTTCCAGATGGGCCACAACATCGTGCCAAGCTAAGGTGACGCGGTCGCTGGTGCGACGGATTGAATGATTGATGATATACATATTACTTAGGTATAGAACAAATTAGAAACAGAAAAACGATAAAATCCCCCCAAAATACCAGAAAAACCTTGCATGTAAACCTCGTTTTCACTTTCGTTTGTTGGTAGCATACAATATCACCCTCATACATACAATTAATCGCCCTGCATTTAAAACAGCCGCTAATTAATAAAAAACAGTCGTTTGGCACGTAATGAAAAGTAGACGACTGATGCATAAAAATAATCCGCCCCCATGGGCGATAACCGCATAAAAAAAAATAAAGCAAATTCATTCGGCGCCGTTGTGTCAGGACGGTAAATCTCGTGACCATCAAAACACATGTTGTCAAAGTGCGAGGGAGACACAAGAGCTTCTTGCCAAAGCTCCTAGAGATGGCAAGGCCGTGCCTTTGACCCGAAGAAGCCCTGGAATTTGAGGTTAAAAAATGAAACTACTACCTATATGGTATATGATGAATCGAACAGTGTTCGCCTACAGCAAACCCAGTGTTCGATTCGAACACAATAGGTTTGTAAGGCAACTAGAAATACAACCGTTATTCCCGTAAGTTACTGCGACTTATTTTTACGGATATTGGAATTTACCAAGTCCTGCAGCAGGAGGCCAGACCTTGGAGCCGAACTGACATCATAAGGATGCAATCGGAAGCAGCTGTGCGCAGATTACAGAGAGGCGTTGCTGGGTTGGAGGAAGAGTGCGTGGCATTAAATGCCAGGCCGAAATGAAAAGAGATACAGAGACTCAAAAGAAGAACAAAAACGTATCATAGCCTATCCATTAAAACGGTTTAAATGTATATACACCAGTAGTCGAGCATCTCAGTAGCGTTGCTCCGTTGAGTTGCTTGGGGGGCCGACGCCCTGCAGTGGAATCTCCACTGCAGGCCGACGTCCCCGCTCTCCTAATGGATCTGACAAAGCTGTTGATTAGTTGGGTCCAAGCCATCATGTGCGGATCAGTGCAGCATCCGAACCGACGTCACAGCTTCGATTAGGAACACTACTATCATAGAACTGCATGAAGAACTCGTCATGGCTTGTAGGGAGTGCGTTGTGAGCTTTAATTACTGGTGGTTGCAACCCCAGACCCCCGCAATAGAAAACTAACTCCGAATTGGGGCAATAGGTCCGTTCGCAGGAATGCTCGTCGCTAGGCCCGCCTACGCAAACACCGCGCGGCCCTGCTTCGCGGGCACTCCGCACGGGTTTGCTGCGGCTAACCCCCTCGCAACCGCTCACCACCGCTGATTGTACTCGAGCACATCTCGCTGGTAGGCAAGTACTTGAAGAGAGAGTCTGTCGAATTATTTTCTTAAATAAACTGAAGGAGACTGAGTCTGACGCTCCCCTATATAAGCTTGCTGGCCCTGTTCCCATCGCTCTAAATCAGGGTATGAACGTGTGCGACGAGGCGTTTAGTCACATCATCAGAGCCGATAAACTGTAGCATTTTAGCTAAAGCTGCACCCGTCGTCCTGTTGCTGAGCCAAATTACCATTTCTCTGTTTGGAAAGTGCCCTCTAAATCGTGTACCTCTGATTTAATGACATATGGTCACTAAATTCCGCATCTTTACGCAGTGAATCTCATATTCTATCCATATCACAAATCTAGAAACGTCAGTAAACACAGGAGGTTCTGGTCAAAAATGACCCTGGGCGACTTAATCAGAATACCAGCCCTAACCTGTCCCTTCTAAACTGATATCAGGTAAGTAAATGCGGGTATGAACCCTTGAAAAAGCTAAGTAAGAGTGAGTGCATCAATGTAAGGGGGGACTTCGTCCCCAATAATGACGGCGTTTGTGATACGGCTGGCATCACAGTCTGTCACGCGGGTCGGTAAATTTGAAATGTTAGGTAAAGAGACAGCGTACTACACACTATGTTACCCAGCTACTTCCCTCGGTACCGACAGAACCTATTGTAAAGTTTGCCGCACGACAACTCTTCAGCTCTCTTCGGCATCGCGGCGAACAGTTTGGACAGCATCGTTGCGAATACAGACAATCCCCTCAATAGTAATCCCTAGGTGTGGAATACCCGCTCATCAGGAATATAAAGGCGGGTCCCAACGATTTCTGAATGACCGTCCAATACAAAGTCAAGAAATTATTCCCCATCACCTCTCAATCGTCATAAGGGATGAAAAATCACGGAATATGAATGTTCTGGGGTGCTTAACTATAGGAAAAGTCCACTTTGTACAGGACGTCTGGAGTAGTCTAATCAGGACACCAGCACCTATTGTCCATGTTTTCGTGCCCCATTTCATATTTAACAATCGCACTAGCTTTCGGAGCCGGCTTTCAATGGAATGGAGCTTGGTTGCATGGCAACATTAGTGAGATGGAGCCCAATACTAACATGGCAAATTAGTTTGCTCTCAGCATCACTACCTACATCATGTCCCACATCTCTTACGGTATTATATCAAATATGTTTTTGCGGTGTTACCGAGGTATATCGTTATCTGCACGAATTCCATACGTGCACGCTCATCGACTTAAGCAACCTTTTTAGGGCTGTGCAACCAAAAGACTGCAACAAACCGTACCATATGTGTGGTACACTACGGTGCACCACCCCATGGCACACCCTACGACAGGAATACCCTCGCCTAGGAATATAAAGTGCACTCCCAACGCCATAACTACCAAGGGGATTGTCTGTACAGTGTCAAAGATTTCATCGGCAGTAGCGATTGGTCTGAAATTCTGCTGACACCTACCGGTAGCGCGTTATCTTCAACTGCAATTTGCTCCAAGTACTCCATCACGATGCTAACCTTTGAATGCCTCATTCGATGTGCAGGAAGTATATCGTACTGTTTACTCAGCAATCGGTACGGTCGAATCTTGGTGTCATTATCGCCGAAAAACCAGAGATTCCAAATTGTCTTTACATTCGAGCGAGCTGGAATTTTCCAGCCTTTATGAACGCTATGGCAGATTTTGTCGTCGTCCCTCGACCACGATCTTCACTCCGGTCGAGTCTCTTCTGAAGCGCAGACATTAAGGCTAGTGTTGGAAGTTTAATTCGCACTAAAAATGGATCGAAATTCAGCAGCCATATTGGCTCGAAGATCGTCAATCCTTCGCTCAAGATCTCTCAGGGAACGTGAGCGACACCATTCATCACAAAAGTGCTGCCGCAACTCGCTATAAACTTTCATAGCAACCTCATTTGGTAGCTTCTGCGCAATTCCGGTCTTGAGATCGTCAATATCGGAATGTAGACTGGCCACGTGGTCTCGTAAATCATTTACTTGCTTAACGGTAGCAAGATGTGCTGGAATTCCAGTCGCCTTTAATCCACACACCGGTGACGTACCAATAACTAGGATGGTAGCACCACGCTGCACTTGAAGGAGCCTATTGGCTGAAAAAACTCTTGCTTTGAAGATCGGATGCTGTGGACACAGCGCGTGACGAAGATATTGTTCGTGGTGAATAAGAGAGGCCAGCATAAATAGGATAGTCGACTCGGGTAGTTGGAATAGCCGCTTAGAATCTCCTTCCATTATTTAATAGACACGTCACATATCTGATCGGGCGTGAAATGTGGTGGTAACACGTCAAATCGCTCCGAATCAAACGGCAATCCCGCTATCATTCTCAGTTGGTCAGCTCCCTCCCCGAAATGTGTATACCTGTTCTTCAGCTCCCCGAGGCTCTGCCCCATGCGCAGATAAACAGACACAGGAGTACTCGCCCCAGCGCATAAGAACTACCGCCTTTGCGCTGACTGTGGGTGCCGATGTCAGCAGGAGCACAGCCCAGTACGCGCGACCCCTCTTCGTTAAAAGACTTAATTACGCGACGCAGCAACCGCTCAAATCGATATTTGCTGTCGCTGCCGATAAATAGCTGCACCGACACAACGTTCTGGACAGGAAAATAAATGCACGGCGAGAGCAAGTATAGTGCCCTTTGAAGGCTCGTACGGGTTTGCATACACGTGTTTGCAGAAATTTTCAGTCCCCGTTTGGTCCCCTTTGTGCCCTTGTTCTTCCACAACAAGACCGCTTTCCATGTGCTGTAGCATGATTTTGTCCAAAGAGTCCGCTGTACGCATCAAGTTCCACATAACCACGAAAAAAACGCCACCCGAACGACATTATACACCACTTCTGGCCCTTCTTCACAGGTTTGAGAGTCATCAACATAAATGCCACGGCTCCGAACCCACCAGCCTTCAGATCCTGCTTTCCTTCATTGATCTTCATTAACCCACGCTGTTTCAGGCTGTTGATGGTTTTGTCGTAGCCCTCCAGTACGCGGTGTAGTTCTGTTTCAAGTCGGGAGTCCATTTCAAGGAGATTCGCGTGGTATACATCGACGAGATCACTACGATGTCCCCAAACACACGACGCCTATAGGGGCACACTTGTCGAGACAGAATCGCGATCGCTCATGTGAGCAGGTTCGCAGAGATGACCAAAGAAGCCGAGAACGACAGCGGTCGCTGTCGCTGTCGGAACGCGCATCTGCTTCGTGTCGTCATCAATTGTGTCAGGGTAATGAGACGCTAGCCGTGTCGCCATCGTGTCCACCTTCGAGAGATAGATACGTTTGGTACTAGTCTTGGTCCACCGTGCCACATCGGCTGGGTCTTCAGCGTCTCTCTTTTGGCTGACCGCCATTTTCACTCTGGGAGCATGTGAAAGGTCGCAAAGTGACCGTGATTTCGCCCCTGTCACACTTGCCGTAAATCTACCGCATTTACATCGCACCATACCTAATCATAGTCAAAGTGTCATGGAGCATCAGGTCATACACGGCAACAGTGATAGATTCGTATCACAACCCCCTACCAAAAGATCATGGCCTTATCACAAATGCAGGAAATGGCTGGGTTACTGCCCACGGGTAATGTGTTTATGTGTCGTTATATTCAGACCAGTAAAACCATTTGATTGTCTCGAATATTGATATTTAGGACACCGGTACAACCTCTAATTAGCCTGACTCTGACTAATTATTTATAATTATACTGGGATAGGAAGCAACGTTAGTGCTGCTATCGCAGACCAAATCGGATTATATCCGTGGTACGTCAAGTCACACAATGACCCCTCCCGACATCTCACTGGTACATTTTCTTGAGACCGGCTGTTCGTTCGCTGTCTGCATCCTGCTCGGGGTCTTGTTGTACTTCTAACACGTTTTGATGGTTAACTAGATCGTGGACACCTGCTTCTTCGAGGCACTTCCGTAGTGCGTCGTGTAGACCATCGCACGTGACAGTTACATGCGCCGATTGCTCGTTCTCCCAGCTCATGAATAATATCCTTCACAATTTCGCGACGGGACTCCTCAATCTTTTCGATAGTTGACAGCGTATCGTCTTGTAGTGCTCTCATTTGACCTAAAATGGACACATGAGGTGGAAGGCCGTTGCTTTTAGCTGTGTGTTAGGTCCAGCGTATCCACACTGTACACGCGAGCTTAAGTTCCCGAGAAGCTCAGCATCTTGAAATAAAGCAGTCTCGAAAATAGGGTGACGAGGAGGGAGGTGCGTCCGAATGTGCGGCGTGTGGTACACTTATGATGCGAGACAAAACTCTCCAACAAACAGTAAATGCTCAGGTATTCCTCGGAAAACCATTGTAACGCCGCGTTTTACTAATTCGTCTTGATCCACGAAGTGTGGTGGTAGAACTGCGAACCCGTGACTACCCGATGGAAGCCAGCAACCGTTCTACCGACATACATATCCCGGCTGCCGCGTAGCGTAAGTATGTATTCTGAGAACCACTAAGTGACCACCCAGCACGCAAATGAACCGCGGTTGACGACGGACAAGCTGTCGACCCGGACGCAGGGTTACACGCACAAGTGGCTACAATCACTTGTAACTCTAACAGAAACGACGTCTGTTAGAGGTTCGAAAGACTTTCTCGACCTTGGTGTAGACACACCAAAGACTACATACATTTACGATCACCACGACGGGTGGTCCAGCATCTTTTAGCCAATGAGTGACTTGCATGTTAGCAGAATCCTGCCAACCAGCCGTTGGCAGATTCCTAGTTTAGAATATTACATTTAGAGGAAGTCAGAAACATAAAACAAAAATAGCAGTTCTCATCTTTTACCAAAACCCGCTACTTGGAGTCTTTATCTTGTTTAAAGTATACTCGTGGATCTCGAGCATACTTAACTCAAGTAAAAGAAACCTACGCTTCCTCATACACGTGCGCATACGTGTAAGCCGTAGTAGTGAGCCAAGGTAGGCCCATTACACCTGGTAGCACTTTGTAGTCCGTCCAACGAACGACCGACTACCTAAGTTCGTACGTCACCGCACGAACGCGGAGCTGAGAACCTTCCCATGGATACAGAGGTGCCCATGGAAAGCTCCACTACGCCTGCAACTCACGTTGCACGCGCTGACTGTCCCCACCTGTCGGATCCAGAGTGGGAAGCCCTCCAACGACTGTCAACAGTCATTGGTGAGGCGGCGGTAGCTACGATGCTGCGTACGCTAACGCCGACAGAGCAACACGGTGTTGCTCTGGGTTTCATCCTAAAGGAGCAACGCGATGTTGCTGCTACTACCGCGGTGCCGTCCGGGACGACACCACGCGCGCAATCGCTGAAGCTCAATGTGAGCAACTATGTCGGCAGCCATTGCGGCTCGACGTATCGTCGACCCGTTGTCGAAGGTTGCGTTCGCCATGTCATGTCTTGGCGGACGTGCAAGAAGTTGGGCGTATGGACGCCGACTCTCGGATCCTACGTGCTTTAGCACGTACGAGGGTTTCAAGGAAAACCTCAGACAAGCATTTGAGCCCCCACAAAACGAGTTCCGGTCGAGGGCGGAGTTCCTCGACCTGCAGCAGGGCAAGCATGATGTCCATGCTTACGCTCAGAGAGCACGGTACTTGGTCTCGAACATCGTGACCAGGTGCCGTCGGGAAAACCGAGAAGCGCATGCTTCACGTATGAAGATCAAGAGTTTGTCGAGACCTTTATCGTCCTGGATCTGAACGATAAGTTTGACATTGTATTGGACATGCCGTGGCTTGCACGGCATGATTCGGTCATCGACTGGGAGATGCGCACTCTCGTGCGCTTCGGTCGCGACAGCGGAACAGTGAGCGATGGCTCTGTTGCCGCTACGCACGCACCGACAGGTGCGCGCGACTCCCCACTCGAGATATGCCGCTGTCCCGGAGTGCCCTGGGCGCGCGCGAACACGCGCGCAAGAGCAACTAGCGTCGGCGTTGCCGCTGACAGCTAATGAAGGAAATGTGTTGGCCTCGGAGGCTGACACCCGCTTTTCAGCCAATCAAGAAGAGTCTCCGGCCTCAAGGGGCACGGATGACGCAGGCGAGTCACACGCCTCAGCCGTGGAGGCTGACGCGAATCTGATTGGATCAGGTCTGGCCAATAATAAGAGCCAAGGTGACGAAACGCCGTCGCCTCCGGGAGTCGATGGCTTGGGTGAATTTGATTCGTCGGCTCGGGGAGCCGACGCACCCTCCGTAATGGAGGGCTCCGCCAATAACAGACGTCGAGGTAAGGATGGCGTGTCGGTTCCGGGAGCCGACGCTACAAGCGGTGCGGACGGTTGCAAACGTCCCGCACAGGAAAAACGTGCATGCTGTCGTGCAGCCGGGCTGCACGACGAAGCGCCAGGCGACCAAGCCGGGCTGCACGACGAAGCGCCAGGCGACCAAGCCGGGCTGCACGACGAAGCGCCAGGCGACCAAGCCGGGCTTGAAGTCGCTCGGCCGCGGGATATACCCGCCGGCGGTATACAAGAACAACACTCGTCCACGGCTGGGCCTGGACGAGGTCAAGAACCAAGCGGAGCCGGGCTCCGCAAAACAAGAAGATGGCGCATGCGAAGGTCGCTGCGCAAGTCTCGGCCTGGGGCCGAGACGCTACAAGAAATGTCTGCCGGGCAGACGGGGGCCGAGAAGCCGGACGTCGAGACGTTGAACGTACCTGTGCCGGGTTCCGGTACAGGGAGATGACTCTCGCTAACCCTCCGACGCAAGCGTCGGAGTTGACTTCGCTTCCAGTCATGAGCTGGAAGCGCTTCGCGCGTGACTTGCACGATGGACGCATCGAGCAAATATGCATTCTCTCGGACGCCGAGAGAACGAAGAGCGAGAATGAAGAACTGAGGCAGTTCTTCATGGAGAGCACCACTGAGAGCGAGGACACTCTCAGTGCGAAGACTAAGAAGGAGCGCTTTGAGGAGCAGAGCTGGGACTTGCTGAAGACGAGTCCCTTCTACGAGATTCTACGGGAGCACGCGGACGTGCTTCCGGAAGAGATCCCTGCGGAGCTTCCGCAGGACAAGGGCATCCAGCACAAAGTACTGTGTCACGCGGCAGTGGCCACTGCCGCGAGAGCAGGTCAAGGCGATCGACGACTTCTTTGAGAGTCGTCGCAAAGCTGGACAAGTGCGGGAATCGAAATCCCCGCACAGTGCTCCGACGTTCTGTGTCAAGAAGCCACAGGGCGGCTGGCGCATCGTTCATGCGTACAACAAGCTGAACGATGCGACGATACTGGCGCAGACACCGATACCGCGAAAAGATGTCATCATCGATTCGATGGCCAGGAGCACTATCTACAGTGCTCTTGATCTGCGTGATGGGTTCTATCAGATCCTCATGCGTGAGAGCGATATCCCTCTCACGGCTGTGAGCACGCCGAGCGGCATGCTCTGGGAGTGGCTAGTGATGCCGCAGGGTCTGAAGAACGCCCCTGCGACCTTCAACAGGTGCGTGACGCACTTGTTGCGCTCGGTGCGCGACTTCGCACCGAGCTACTTCGACGATGTGTTCGTCCACAGCCGGGCTGCGGACGGGATGAGCGATGTTGAGATGCACAAGGTGCATCTCCGGAAGCTGCTTGCGCTCATGCGCAAGCACAAGCTCTATGCGAACCTGAAGAAGTGCATCTTCGGGGCGAGCGAGATACCCGTGCTCGGGTGTCTCGTCGGGAAGAACGGTGTCCGCCCCGACCCTGAGAAGGTCAGAGTGATCAATGAGTGGCCGACGCCGTCGAACGTCAAGGAACTGCGGCAGTTCCTTGGCTTGACCACGTACTTGTGCAAGTACCTGAAGGACTACGCGGGCATGATACCGCCCGCTGACCCAGCTCATGAAGAAGGACGCCGAGCGGGTTTGGACTGCTGAGTGTCAGCAGGCCTTCGATGCAGTCAAGCAGGGCTTGACTGAGGCGCCGATCTTGGCAGTGGCCGACCAAGATCGCCCGTTCCACGTTGTGTGCGACGCATCCGACTTCGCAATCGGATGTGCGTTGATGCAGCACGATCACGAGGGTCATGATCGTGTTGTCTACTACCAATCGCGTCTGCTGAAGCCAGCTGAGCGCAACTACCCCGTACATGACAAGGAGCTCCTTGCCATGAAGTACGCACTCGCGAAGTTCCGAGTGTATCTACTCGGAAGCAAACCGTTCGTGGTCTATACGGACCACGCGTCGCTGCGGACGGCTGTGAAGTCGCCGCACATCTCGCAACGGATGGCGAGATGGCTCTCATTCTTCGCAGAGTATA